TATTGTTGCAAGAGTCAATAATTAGAAATGAAAAGATATACAGTTAAAAATCATACACAGAATGCATATATCCATATCTCGCAGACATCAATATAATCCTACCATTTCACCCATGTGCCTCAAATGTAAGACAGAAATTGGTACCCTAACTCACAGCTTCTGGTCATGTTTGAAATTGCAAGAATATTGGTCTAATGTGTTATCTGAAATGGAGAAGATTTTCGGTTGTGAATTGGAGATGGACCCTCTGTCTCTCATACTGGGCCTCCCCAGCCGGCGGTTAATATCCAAGAATAATAGGAGATTGTACTGTGTTCTCACCTATGCGGCGAGGAAGAATATACTACTCCAATGAATTTATGAAAAAGCACGAACTATTAAAGGTTGTCAAAGAGTAGTGTTGGATCTAGTGCCATTGGAATATCTTACATGTATACTGCACTCAAAAACAGATCAACTCTTTAAGGTGTGGGAACCATACTTGAATTATGTGGAACCTAATGTTTCTAATATTATGTCACAAGGATTCTCTTGAGTGTTCAAACTGCAACGTACTACTGGGACCACAGGTATTGTACTGTATTGTATTCTCTCTTTATTTATTTATTTATTTATTTTTTAGATGGAACTGAGCTGGTGTTCTGTGCTTAGTTATCAGTCTGTTTGTTTTTGTTTTGTTTATTTATTTATTTATTTATTTTTATTCATTTATTTTTGGTTCTGAATTGTACACTTTATTATGTTATGTAATTATGTACTATTTGTGAAAACAGAAAAACTAATAAAAATATATATTAAAAAAAAAAAGAAATGAAAAGATAAAAAAGCCTAAAATCATTGTCGATTATGAGATGATGAGAAGAGATAGCCTTTATTTGTCAGTTGCAGTTGCCCACAACCGAGATGACAGACCTTGCCAACCATACATGCAATACACATCATCACATTGGGGAGACAGGTCAGGCTAGGTAGCAAAAAAACCAAAAAAACAGTGAAATGTGTAACACAAAAGGATAATCCACTAATGCACAGATATCATCATACTATAACACAATAAAACAGAGACAAGCAACATGGGAGAGTATTCCAGAGTGCACAGCTGGATCTGGGACCGCTGCAATCTTTGATCACGCCTCCAGCTGATCCGCTGTCCACATCGGATGGTAAGCATGGGAGGAGGCGTTGGATTTAGAGGAGGGAGGGTGATAGTGCATATCAGTATCAGGTGTACATGTGTGTGCGTGTATCCCATGTTCAGCTGAGAGAAAGTGTCACCACGCTTGGTTAAGCGAAGGTCAACAGTCTCCAGTGGACCCAAGTGGCCTTGAAGGTGGGACAAATAGTTCTCACAACAGTCCTGTTATCATGGGAAGAATTTTTGTTGTTCCAGTCAGCTTCAACTTGCCAGGCCTTCAGCTGGTGCCAGTGAGATAGCCGCATGAGTGAAGATGGTGAATGTTTTGTTTTAGTGCGAACAACTGCATTCAGTTTTTACAGTTGGTCTAATGTCCATCACTAGTCACCAATTCTCTCAATTCCCGTTCTTCTTCTCCAAGATGTTATTCATATTGCGTTCAATAGTAAACACAGTCTGAGTACTGACAGCCCTGCCCATCGTCTATCATGTCGGCCAGCCTTGTGGGATTTTGAACAGCTGTAGCCGCTTCTTGTTCTTCGATAAACCAGGTCCGAGCCAGCTCCAATCAGCCAGAACTCTGTTATAATGGTTTCAAATTGGTAGATGTCATTCATTGTCCTTCATCGAGAGTGTCGCCAGACACACAATGCAAACGACCATCGAGTATCCGGCAGCAAACATCTCTGCAGGACAATGGGCTCTCCAAAGCCCAGGAGGGTGTCAATTTTGTTACGGGACCAGTTAATCGAATCCATAATTCTTTAGGTTTTAGAGAACAAGACTGAGAGACTCTTTGAGGGTTAGAGTTAGAGTTAGACGAGACTAGACAAAAGAAATAGAAGTAGCAGCAGGGAAGATAAGGCAAGGAGAGGGTGAAAGATGCGTCCACCTCCTCCAAGAGCCAAAGCAAGAAAAAAATGTTCAAATTTTAAAATATTCAAATTGTTAAACACTTAACATTTTATTCCCTGGTCAGAGGATTCAAAATTAAACAGAAAACACAATACTTAAATTCAATAAATCTATACAAATGCCACTGATTTGTTCTCAACCTGTTAGCTAAAATCAAACTGTAGCTAAGACTAAAAAGAAGTAAAGTTCCACACTAGCAAACACCAGACTGTTCAACAAATAGCTAGCAAATAGCTAACAGAAAATCATTTCTGCCTCCAAGAAAATAGATTATCATGCTCAGGAATTATTTTCTGTTAGCCAGTTTTGGAAAGATCTGGTGTTTACCAGCTAACTTGCTAGTAGCGCATTCTGCTGTTAACAGGCCGTTATCATATTTAACATTTCATCCTCAAAATTTGCAGTGTGAAACTCATCACTAACTTAAATGGAGAACACTGACTGTTAAAAACATTATAGACTTGATACCAAATTTAAAAAGTCGCTGCTAAAGGTGCGGCACACTGTTGCTATTTTTAAATTCACTGTTCCTCCTCTAACAGGGGGATCATTAAGCAACATGGTTTCCTTGTAGTCCAATTACAAATAAAAACATGTTTTTGGTGGTTCAAAATAATTTCCAGATCAGCACAAATCTACACCACTAGTGTTCCTGAATATCTGACCGTTGAATTTTAACTGGGAGAATACTAACAAGGCTACACCTAACTAAAACTGAGTTTATTTTGAATCAACTTTATGGCTGATTGTGAATATTACCTGCTAATAAAAGGATTTGTGTTGCCATGGCCCTGCTTTTATAAAAGAACCACCCAGACTTTATTTTATCTTTAATTATGTATTCAGCACCTTTTTAAATGTAACCAGAGGTGATATAAATATAATTCTTAACTTTGTGACAGCATTTGTCAGCCAATCAGGTTGACTAAATCTTTGAGTGCTTTTAAAAGAAAAATCTGTTTTGTTGATCAGAAGTTCTTTAACGATTTTCTGCTTGTTTTAGTTGTCCTGGTCGTGGGATCTTTCATTTCAGCTCTGATTCTTCCCTTCCCTTTCATGTTTCAAAAAAAGCACCTCACAAAACCTTCGACACGGCGTAACTCGGCTCATAACCGTAGCACGTCGGAGCAGTGTGCTCACGTGATAGAGCGGCTGTGTGTATTTGTAGCCTCATCCAGCATTTCATCTCCGAGGAAGTGATCCCAGAGAGAAGTAAAGCAAGTGTGTGTAAGTTCATCTCTGAATGTTTGTAAAGCATTCTGGCATTAAGCTTAACAAGCGATATATGGAGCGACTGCCTCTTCTCTCCCCTCCCTCTCCTGCTGCTCTTCAATCATGAAACTGATCAGTGATCAGCTGATCGGCTTTTCTGTCGCAAGTCCGTCTCTCGTTTGTTGTTGGCCCACTTTGCACCAGTAAGACAAAACCAGCGGCTAAACAATAGCCGCACCTTTAAGCTTGATAAGCTGTCATAGAAATTATTTAATATTACTTTCAGGATCCTTTTCTACGTAGCTGACGCTGGTAACTGTGCAGGGGCGGGTCTAGCAAAGTTTTGCCAGGGGGGCCGATAGGGCATTAACAAGGAAAAGGGGGCACAAAGACATACTTTTCTTTCTTATTCTCATTTAAAATGTCTAGCTTTTAATAAATAATTATCTGAATCTTACACCCAAAGTTTTAATCTGACCTAAAATGTATAGAAGTCCATTATTGTATATAGTAACTATTAAGTCTAATATACCCTAGTAAGCTATAGTACTTTTTACTTTGGGATGGTACCATCTGTGCAGTCTGCAGTTCTGTTGAAGAAAAATGTTGAATCTATTTAATTATTGTGGAAAAATAATTGATTACTGTGCATTTTTTTTCCACATGCGTTAAAGTTGATTACCCCGATTAAGTATCACAAGGTGGAGCGTGGTTCCCTATTTTTTTTTTTTTTTGCTGGGAGTTGGCAACCCTATTAGTTAGGTTTCTTAATATTTCTTTTAAGCACTCTTTAAAATACCAGAATAGGGAGGATGGTGTAGGTTTAAGTTTATTAGATTGATCAGTATTGCTGAACTATGAAATATTTTGGGTGTAGTGTATTTTTTACATACAGGTATAACAGCATAGCTTTAGTGTTGTTGTTTATTTAAACTTGAGTATGAACTTATACAAAATGCAGCAATATATAAAAAAAACATTTTATTGATTAAGAAATACACTATATCGGATTCATATTGGTATTGGCAGATATCCAAATTTATGATATCGTATCGGACATTAAAAACTGGTATCGTGCCATCTCTAATAAACACTTGAATAAACAAACTAATTGATTTATTGATTCATTAATAATAATAATAAAGCAGGCCCAATGCAGCAGTTTATACAATATGCTAGGATTCAAGTAACATAAAAAAATAAACTGGCTAGAGAAAAAAACTTGCAAACTGAGCTGTAAAACTAATCCTCTCCAAAAAGAAAAGCAGAGCATTTCTTGATGTCCAGAAAACTATGAACACAACAGGCACAAATGTCTCGATGAATTTGGTGGTTTGTTCAGGTTTTAATTGATGTTTAACAGAACAGCAGCAAACATATAATGCTGGAACCTTTTCTTTTTAAGAAACTGAAGCCAAAGATCTAAATGAGCAAAAAAAAAAAGTTTAATAAACTATCAACACCTGTCAGGTACCTCCTGATGACCTGTTAACTAAAGTAATAGGGACAATTTTTCAATAACATTTTCACATAAAAGATAAAATAATAGAAAACAGAAAATTAAAACTGTGCTCTTCACCAGCCTGTACAAACAAAAACAAAACATTAACTGAAAGGCTGCGAGACAATTTATGAATGAAGACATATCATTTACAACAAAAGGTACCACACGGTGATTAGTTTAGTTTCTGAACTAGTAGGATCAAAAACATTGGCTTGTTCTCCACAGTGATGTTAAAATAATCAGTAGATCAGGTCCATCAGTCAGAAACGGAGCCTTGAGACATCTGAGATGACGTTGTTGAAGCTCTTTGTCGACGTTTCTCATAATATTTCTACAAAAAAACAGAAAAGTGAGAAACCAAACATCGTTAGGCCAAGAGTGTGATTTTGTGTACTGAATGGTGTGTGCGCATGCGTACCTGCAGGTTGTTGTAGTGTTTCTGGCTGCAGCAGTGGAGTTCCTTGGCGGTCTTCTCATTCAGGTAGAAAACAGAGCAGATGTTACAGAAAAATCCTGATTTTGGGATCACAAACTCCTGACCTGCAGAGGAGTAGAAACAGGAAAATTAGACAAGTGTTAACACAGCATTTGAATCGCGTGCGTGTGTGTTTATGTGTGTGTCTCACCGAGGGGGCTATTGGGGTTGAACTGAGGCAGTCTGAAGTCTGCTACAACACACGGAGACTGAGAGCGAGATCGCTTTGCCTCAGGTCCAACAAGCTCCCTCCTGCGTTTACCCACAACTGAAAATGGAAAGAGCAACACCTTAATCATCAACAAATCTGCTGCAGGAGCCACCGGGTTTGTAAATATTAAATTATAACTTAAGTAATTAAACAAATGATTTTTGATTTATTTGAAAAGGTGAAATGTTTGTCAGCCACTTTATTAGGTACACTTGTTTGACTGCTCATTAATGTAAATCTCTAATCGGCCAATCACATAGCAGCAACTCAGTGATGTAGGTATGTAGACATGGTCAGATGACCTGCTGAAATTCAAACTGAGCATCAGAATGAAGAAGAACACTGGGTTCAACTTCTCTAAGTTAAGAACGCAAAACTGAGGGCACAATTCACACAAGTTCAGCAACGCTGTAAAAGAAAAAAAAAGTCTCAATTTCTGCTGTGACATTAGGATGGCAGGGTCAGAAAGCTTGGATCCATCCTCCCTTGTATTATTCTTGGCACACACTGGGGCCCTTAGCACCAACCACATATGTAAAACATATTACTACCACCACAAGGTAGTGGAAATGCATCTCAAGGCTGTTGGTAATCACTGAAGAAGGAAAAAAACTACCAGGCATCACGCAGGCTGAATGTATGTAGCACAGTGAGGAACACAAACATGAGATCAGAGCCATAAAATATCACAATTTTTCTTTTTATATTCAGTTTACTGTGTTTTCGCTGTCAGAGTGATGTATTTTGTTGATTTAAAGCAGCTCTTTGTACCTTTAATGCCAACCGTGCTCCATCCATCCTTCTCCTCTCCCTGCTCTGCCTCCTTATCAGGACACGTAGACTCTGGCTGCTGTCCAGCAGGGGCAGGTGCAGCATCAGGCTGGGTCTCTGCTTCCTCTTCGGTCCTCTGGCTCTCCGCCTGGCCGTCACCTGGCGGCGCAGATGAGTCTCGGTCCTGTGATAAAGTGGGATTAACAGAAGCTGGAAGCAGTGGTTCTGTTGTTTCCTCCTCTTCCGTCTCTTTTGTGCTCTCTGGTTTCCCTCTAGCAGATTTTCTCACTGTGGGAGGAAACAACAGATTAATTAAGCTTCATGTCTCAGAGCTCTGACACGACTTTATCCCAGATGCCAGCCACTGGAGAATATATGTACGGATGTTACATATTTAAAATACAAAATATGAGTAACTGTATTCCATTATAGTTACCGCTTAAATAGTAGGGGTGCAACGATATTCGTATCGATATTGAACCGTTCGATACAGTGCTTTCGGTTCGGTACGCGTATGTATCGAACAATACAACATTCGTAATTTATTTTATCAATTTTCCTTCTGACGATGCTGTCTGTGTTGAGCGCTCAGTGAATCTGTGTTCGACTACTCCGCCTAGGCTGCACTGTCGAGCGCAGATCCACTGAGCACTCAACACAGACAGCATGGAGAAGGAGGAGCACAGGGCAAGCTAGCAAGACAGAAGTTAAGCTCTCCTTGCAACATGGCAAATTGAACCTCCCCCACCCTCATTCAGATCTGGTTTTGGAATTATTTTGCTTTTCATGTGACGTATGATCCTGAAGGTAAGCGAGTCATGGACTAAAGTAAAACAGTATGTTGGATGTGCCATGCAATGCTCAATTACATTGGTGTGAACTAGTGTGCTAGCGCAGTTAGCTCGTTAACGTGTTTGCCGTCTAGCCCCATGCACGGAGCGATCGGCGGTAGCTCGTTAACGGAGATTTGCCGTGTTGTGGCATTAAGGTCATTTCAACGAGATTAACCTGAAAGCACTAGTGGGAACACGACGAATATGACTGCACATTTACGCCGACATCATCCTAGTGCAAAGACAAAAACAACAAGCATGCTACTAACTTTAGCCGAGTCATTTAGACAGCTGTTAGCACATGATTCTCCTTATGCTGCTGAGAATATAGCCCAGAAGAAGCGGATAGTATAGCTTTTATTTTGGAAAGAGCCATTTCTCTGTAATAAACTCTCTTTTCCAAAGATGAGTGATTCCTCAATCAGATACAGGGCTTGCAATATCGCTAGCCCGACGTCCCGGAGCTAGCGATTTTTTCAGTCGGGCTACCAAAATCTATCTCTTCCCTGCCCGTCGGGCTATTGTAGGAAAAATATATGTCAATGCTTTTGCATTCTTTCAGAAATGTATCTGGGTAATTATGTCATTGGGTGAGCCACTGTCAATATGTGACATATTGAAGTCGCGTTTGAATTTGCGCTTGTTTTTTTGCTTTCACTTTGCAATCGTGCGAACTGTGTATAGAGAGCGACAGCACTGATCTGTGAGTGATGATAATTTGCGCACCAATTCCTCTGACATCGTCTTATCAATCGTTAGCTTACTATGCAAACATGACAAGTGAAATCTCCGGCAGCAAGCTTAAACATGTGAGAGGTTGATCGCGCAGAGAATCGCTGAGCTTATGTGAGTGCGTGTGTAAAAGCAGCAGGATATATATTTGACTACGATGACCTGGATGACTGAGAACCTTCACAGACAGATATATATTTCAGTTCTGCTGAGCCAAATAAGACAGGTCAGGGTGAAGAAGTGACAGCCAAAGAAAAGCTTACCACAAAACGGAGAAGTTATGACAAATCAGACTATAAGGCAAAAAGAAAGTGCAGCTTTATGGTTTCATGGACAAAAGAATTTCTGTGGCTGCAATATGACGAGCTAAATAACCAGGGCTGCACATAAGTGGTCCGCAGGTGCGCATTCGCTGTCAAAATAAAAAACACGCACAAGGGTTAGGGTTAAATTTAAAAACTGTACTTTTGAGTTAAAATATATATTTATAATTTTAATAAATGACAAATTAAAAATGCATGAACATTTTTTTGTATCGAAAAAATATCGAACCGTGACACCAAAGTATCGAACCGAACCGAACCGTGAATTTTGTGTATCGTTGCACCCCTATTAAATAGGTGATAATTTATTGAAATAAATGGATTAAACTGCCGTATTTTTCTGTTTCATATGTTAGGCCCTCTCTACTTTTGGTACATTGCTGGAAACCCAAACAAAACACACAATAAGAGGGTCTAATGTAAGCATCCTGTGTATGTGCGTCAGTTACACGACCCGGAGACAGCACAACGGAACCAGCAGTGCATGGGCAGGAATGCATTTCTTACTTGGAAATTCCTACACCACTTCATAAAGAAGAAAGGGAATTTGAAAGTGCAATGCAAACTCTCTTTGCCAGCAACCAAGGTGCTCTCAGCATCCAAAGACTGCAACCTAAAGAAAGGTCTGGAAGTTCTTTTTTAAAAACTAACGTTAGCCTGCTGCAACTACCTTGCTTTAGTTGTGGTAGCTTCCTGGGTTATGCACCACTTCAGTATCTACGTGACTTATTACTATTACTGAAGACTACTCGCCACTGAGCAAACATCTTATCTTACAGGGAGTGCAGAATTATTAGGCAAATGAGTATTTTGTCCACATCATCCTCTTCATGCATGTTGTCTTACTCCAAGCTGTATAGGCTCGAAAGCCTACTACCAATTAAGCATATTAGGTAATGTGCATCGCTGTAATCAGAAGGGGTGTGGTCTAATGACATCAACACCCTATATCAGGTGTGCATAATTATTGGGCAACTTCCTTTCCTTTGGCAAAATGGGTCAAAAGAAGGACTTGACAGGCTCAGAAAAGTCAAAAATAGTGAGATCTCTTGCAGAGTGATGCAGCAGTCTCAAAATTGCAAAGCTTCTGAAGCGTGATCATCGAACAATCAAGCGTTTCATTCAAAATAGTCAACAGGGTCGCAAGAAGCGTGTGGAAAAACCAAGGCGCAAAATAACTGCCCATGAACTGAGAAAAGTCAAGCGTGCAGCTGCCAAGATGCCACTTGCCACCAGTTTGGACATATTTCAGAGCTGCAACATCACTGGAGTGCCCAAAAGCACAAGGTGTGCAATACTCAGAGACATGGCCAAGGTAAGAAAGGCTGAAAGACGACCACCACTGAACAAGACACACAAGCTGAAACGTCAAGACTGGGCCAAGAAATATCTCAAGACTGGTTTTTCTAAGGTTTTATGGACTGATGAAATGAGAGTGAGTCTTGATGGGCCAGATGGATGGGCCCGTGGCTGGATTGGTAAAGGGCAGAGAGCTCCAGTCCGACTCAGACGCCAGCAAGGTGGAGGTGGAGTACTGGTTTGGGCTGGTATCATCAAAGATGAGCTTGTGGGGCCTTTTCGGGTTGAGGATGGAGTCAAGCTCAACTCCCAGTCCTACTGCCAGTTTCTGGAAGACACCTTCTTCAAGCAGTGGTACAGGAAGAAGTCTGCATCCTTCAAGAAAAACATGATTTTCATGCAGGACAATGCTCCATCACACGCGTCCAAGTACTCCACAGCATGGCTGGCAAGAAAGGGTATAAAAGAAGAAGAACTAATGACATGGCCTCCTTGTTCACCTGATCTGAACCCCATTGAGAACCTGTGGTCCATCATCAAATGTGAGATTTACAAGGAGGGAAAACAGTACACCTCTCTGAACAGTGTCTGGGAGGCTGTGGTTGCTGCTGCACGCAATGTTGATGGTGAACAGATCCAAACACTGACAGAATCCATGGATGGCAGGCTTTTGAGTGTCCTTGCAAAGAAAGGTGGCTATATTGGTCGCTGATTTGTTTTTGTTTTGTTTTTGAATGTCAGAAATGTATATTTGTGAATGTGGAGATGTTATATTGGTTTCACTGGTAAAAATAAATAATTGAAATGGGTATATATTTGTTTTTTGTTAAGTTGCCTAATAATTATGCACAGTAATAGTCACCTGCACACACAGATATCCCCCTAAAATAGCTGAAACTAAAAACAAACTAAAAACTACTTCCAAAAACATTCAGCTTTGATATTAATGAGTTTTTTGGGTTCATTGAGAACATGGTTGTTGTTCAATAATCAAATTATCCCTCAAAAATACAACTTGCCTAATAATTCTGCACTCCCTGTATGTTAACATAAGTCTTTTCTCCCCTACAGTAAATATATTGTCTATTCAGACAGATTTGGGCTTACAAGCTAAAAACAAACAGGAATTGGCAGGATGTGATTGCTACATTCATGTAGTTGTGAAAAGCAATGACAGTATATTAAGTAATCCAAAGTATTCAGAATACATTACAAACTACATTTTGGTGCATGTATTATGTAATCTGTAGTGGAATACATTTTAAAAGTAACCTTCCCAACACTGACCCGGGGTCTGCCTGGTTCTCTTCCTGGGTCGACCTCTTGTCCTGGTAATTACCGCCTCCTTCTCCACAGTCTCTCCCACCTCGTCCACCATCACAAAATTGAAACTCTCCTCTAAAACAAGAAATGAGAGGTCACAGGCAGTATTGACAGTAACAACTTTCATTTCTTGTTGAAATATACCCAAGTTAAATGCTGTCTTCTAACAGGGCGATGTGGGAAAATCTCCATTTAAATAAAACTATTTCTGTCAAGCATAAAGTTTCCTGTTTCTCCTAAGAGATGATATAGGATTAAGTTTAATCTAAATGCTTTTGTTGAAGTTGAACTAGTTGAATGAGACAATTCTTAGCAGGGTAGATGACTACCTTGCTCAGAAGCAAGACAAATCCTGTTTTTCCAACTTTCCTAGAGGACTTCCTAACTCTGGTCTAACCACATGATTAGGTTAGTGTCTGATTGTCAACAGTCTTTTGCGTTGTCTGTCAAAACACGGATGAATCAAACTTTGTTGACTTTACTGTGACTGTATTTCACGTCGCTGTAGAGCAATGTTTTTGCACACTAATACTTTTTATTGCTTTATCAGCAGATCCTGCTCTTTATTTCTATTTCATTGTGCTCTGGATCAGTAAAATATCAATCTAACTCACTTTTGGAAGCAGGGATTGCTCTTAATGTCTCTATTAAGTTTGATGAAAGCAAACTGATTTAAACTTCAGATTTTCTGGTTATTCAACCCATAAATCGTAACCCGGCTTCCACACAAACTAATGTTGTCTTTTAACTTCATGTTCTTTAGTCTTTTAGATTCTTCCTTTGGATCAAATACACAGAAAAAGTGAATTTGAACAGCCTTTAAACACCTGAAGATACTTTAAAATTATTTAAATGGACTGATAAATCCAAATACATGACACCAACCAGGGCTCCACACTAACTTGTTTCCACGGTTGCACTGGTGCCAGCACAAAAGTTAGGCGCACCCACATTTTTCAACTGCATCACTTAACACCGCAGTTTTACATGTGCATTTTTTTTTTTTTTTGGGGGGGGGGATTGATGTCCATACAGACAATATTGATTTGTATAATGATTAACTAACAATCTTGTGCTTGTGCTTAAAGTTCTTTGGCAATATTGTAGACAACATTAAACTTAATCATCTCGGCCTCCTCTGATGACCTGTTTGCTGCTGGCTGCCGCTGAAAGGCAGTGGGGAGAGGGGACACTTGGGACGTGCATTTATCACGACATATGTGATAAATAAAGAAACTGATTAAAGAAACTGATGGACATTATGGACAATGCCAGGCATCCTCTGTACACAGCCATTAACAACCAGAAGAGTCTGTTCAGTGACAGGTTGCTTCTCCCAAAGACAAGAACTAACAGACTTAAAAACTCCTTTGTCCCACACGCCATCAGACTGTTTAACTCCTCTCTGGAGGGAGAGGGAGGGAAACAGGAGGACAAAGGAGGGGGGAACAACTAAGCTGTAGTGCCTCTTCACCTCACTGTGCAATACCTTGTGCAATACTTTTTTGTAAATAGTCAACGGTGCAATAGACTCAATACTTGAAATGTGCAATTCACTTGTATTTTTATTTTTATTCCTATTTATTATATTTATCCCTTCGTATATTTTATTTATATTGTCTCTGTATTTATATATATGTGTGTGTGTATAACTCTGTAACTTCTGTCGGTGCTGTGCTTTTTTGGAAATCGAATTTCCCAGAGGAACCCACCCGAGGGATTAATAAAGTTCTAATCTATCTAATCTATCTAAATAATAAAAATAAAAAAACAATGTGTTTTCTGGATACATTTTTCAACGTTCAGAGGTTGATGGCTCTGTGTCAGAGCACTGGCTATGAATTTCACATGGATCAGGCCTTAATAAAAAATGTATCAATAGTTCTTTTCATCTTTTCTCATTACCCACAGCTACATCCACTTCTGTCAGGCCTAGGCTGCTCACTAGGGTTGGGTATCATCACTGATTTATATAATCCATTCGATTACAATTCACGAGGTCCCAATTCGATTCGACTCATTTTTGCCTCAGACAGTCAGAAATATTATAATTCTGATCATTTATCAGTACTGATACTGTGAGACTTTATCAGAGGTGTGAGCATCACAGCAGATGCCTTTGTGTCAAAGTAACTGAGAATAAAACACAGAAAAACATGAAGGAGATTTTGCTGGCCTGGCTTCTCATAGCAGATAACCTTAAAAATATTCTGCAACTTTACATAATTTAAAATTTTTTAAATTTCTTCAGTATTGAACAGCAGAAATTAGGCTTTGTTCTCCAAGGTCATTTAAGTAAAAAAAAAAAAAAAAAAAAACAGACAGCGGCCGACAGCGCTGTAAACAGCTGTACACTGGTGGGTAATAAGTGAATGAATAATGCAGAAAACTAATTTGAGATGGGAAACTGTTCTTGAAGTACAGAGAGAAAGAGAGTGTGTACATGACGTGCGATTTTTATTGTGGTGGAAGCAAAACGGCAAAAGTAAGAGGGAATTCATGACGATGTTTATCAAATCTGTAGCGTAGTTTGGATCTTCTTTTGCTGCTGGTTCAGTGAATTTTGGTTGGACAGAGACAAAACCTGCAGCTCAGAATCTAGAAAAAAAAGACGTAAACACAAAGCGCAAACCCGACGCATCAGAATCAGTGAGCTGTCGGCTCCCAGTCCTGACTGCATATCCGTCTACGTGCCGTCGGTGAGAAAGCCGAGAAAGAGAAAGCTGATTCTGATACGACGGGGTGATACGTGTGTTTACATCTTTGTGTGGAATCCATTTACCTGCTCTCTTTTACTGTTTGGTGGTTGTTGAAATAGTTTTGTGAGCTTTAACCTGAGATTCTCGCGTTTCTGGCAAAATACATTTATATTTAAAACTCTATTCAGGATTTAATGAATCAATATCGCTTTATTCAAGCTACTCACCTCTCTCTATCCACCTGCACTTTCAAACGTACACGAAGGACTATCTGGACCATAATGTGGGCATCATGTGTCTGTTGTTGACCACACGGAGACTTTAAGAGTTGCAGACTTTTTTTGTTACTCGAACAGCTGGTTGCACCGGTGTGACCTAAGGTTTATTTTAGTCGCACCATTGAAAAATTTGGTCACATTTGTGACGCACTCTAGAGCCCTGCCAACAAAAACTATGCTGTACACATTCGCTTCTCCTCCACAAAATCTGACCGTGCAAATCGAACTCTATTCAGGTGGTTTGAGTATGTGACTAGGATGCCTCCTGGGCAACTCCTAGGTGCTGTGGTTTACATTTGTTCAGTACTGAACAGCAGAACAGGCTTTCTTGTTCAAGGTCATTTGATGTCCTATTGGGAGGAGGCCCCGGGGCAGATCCAGCAATGAGACTATCAGGGAAGTCTGAACTTCCGACTGCCCCCACGACCCGAACTCGAACAAGCAGTTAAAAAAATGGATGGATGGAGAATGAAACTGACCTGTTTCATCATGTTTGCGTTTAGCAGATCCTGATGTCTTCTCTGCTTCCTCTTCTACCTCAGCTGCTGTCGCAAAAGTCTAAAAACAAAGACACGAAATCACGACCATCGAGTTTTCTGTTTTTACTAAAGAGGAAACAAAGATGCTCAAATAAATCTCAACATTACCTCTATGTCTGCGGCCTCCACCGATTGGCTCTCCTGTGTTGGTGGGCGGGGCTCCACTGTGCTTTCCTCTGCCTTTTCCCCCTCCTCCTCTTCTTCTTCTTCAACAATCTCATCCAGAGTGATGAGCTCTGCAGGTTCTCCCTTGGTGATCTCCCTGCTCCAGTCCTGACCCTCCACTGCTTTTTCCTCCCCAGCATCATCTGCTCCCACCTCATCCAGAGTGACCAGCTCCAGGGTGTCTTCCTCCAGATTTGTCTTTTCTTCTGGTGCAGCAGCCTCACTTTGGGACCCAGTGGCCTCTTTAGTATCTGTTTTTGGCTTCTCTTCCTTCGTTGCTGTACCAGACTCGTCTTCAGCAGATAGAGCATCACTAACCTCAGCAGTGTGATCCAAACACTCCTCTTTATCGACCACCTCCTCATCATCTGCATTTTTTGGTGATGCTGAGTCTTTATCGTCTTTAGGCACTGTTGGCTCTTCTGTATTCTGGTCTTTCAAAGGCTCATTGTCAGCCGTCTCATCCTCAACTGAGTCAACAATCTGATAAATGGCCTCCTCCTCATCAGCCACTTTACTAGATGCAGCATTCTTCATGGCAGCTTGTTTTTTAGTTACTTTAGTGTCCTTCTTTGGTCTTCCCCTTTTTCTTTTTTCTGGAGTTATGGCCCATTCATCCTTAATAACTTCATCCTGCACTGGGTATACTATTGTAAAGGTGGCATTCCCCTCGCTCTTCTTTGTTGGTGTGCTCTCTTTCACTTGCTGAGGTTCCTCCTTGTTTGGTTCCTGAGAATCTCTGGCAGGTGTCGGCCGCCTCCTCGTTGGTGTCTTGTCTTTTTTTGAGACGTCTTCTTTAGTTTCTCTTCTTCCTCTGGTTGACCTTGTTGTGATGGTTGGTTCGTTCATGGCAGCCTTACCCTCCACTGAGTCTAGGATCTCAGACGTAGATTCCTCTTCCCTGACGGTTTTTATACATGCAACTGTGGAAGTTGGCGTCTTTTTATTGTCTTTGTTTCCTCTGGCCGACCTCCTTCTACCAGGCCTCTCTGTGGTGGAGACATCTTGAACAAATTCATCTTCAACAGAATCCACTACCTCAAAGATCATCTCCTCCTGTGTCTCTTTCTCCTCTCTTTTAGATGTTCTTGTTCTCGGTCTACCCCTCCTTGTTGGTCTTTCAGCTCGTTTAGCCACTTCAACGTCTTTCTTGGTTTTTTCCTCCTTGTTCTCAGCCTCTGCCTCGGTCTCTGTGGTCGGTGGCTCTTCTTCCACAGAATCAATTACCTGGTAAGCTTCTTCCTCTTCTTCAGTTCCTTCAGTGACTGCTTTCGAAGTATTAAGTTTCTTCTCGTCATCTTCTCCTCTGGTGTAATCATTGACTGAATCTAACTTCTCAGAGGCTTTCTGTTTAGTAACATCTGCTGAACTGCCTTTGTTTTCTTGTTCTTCATTATTTGGAGTTTGGCAAAATGCTTTGGAAGCTTTGCTTGATTTTTCTGAGAGCATCTCCTCATTCATTTCTTTTCCATCTCCACTGGACCTTGGAGTTTGGTTCATGCTTGGATCCAACCCTTCTTTTTTATCAGCTGCATCTGGTTCTTGAATCTTTTCCTCAGACAGCTGCTTTGCTGTGGCAACTTCATCTTTGACCAGATGACTGTCCTCTTGGACTGTACTGGCTTGGTCTTCACTAACGTTGTCTATCACATAGAGAGGAGCATCCGTTTCTGTTTTACTGGACTCCTCTGAGCCTTTATCATCAATGCTGTTCAAGACCTGACTTTCCCCCTCATGCAAACTCTGGGTTTGCTCAGGCCCTGATGACTCTGTTTTAGTCTCTTGGTTTGAGTCTTCATCTATCTGTTCATCTGTTGGCTCATCGATCGAATCAAGGATCTGGTAACTTTCACCATCATCCTCCTCCTCCTGTGGATATTTCCCCACATTGTCTTTTTCCCCATCTCCTTTGCTTTTCTTTGACTCTTTGTGTGCGTCCTTACATTCAGTCTCCAGAGTCTGTGTTTGGCTCTTCATCCCTAATCCCTCTCCCTCTGCAGGTGGCTGTGTCTCTGATGATGTTTCCACTTTAGTTTGATTTTCCTTTGCTGACACTTTGAGGTCAGACTTTGTTGCTGCACTCTCCTCTGTTAGCTCTGCAGCAGTGGTTGATGCCATTTTTGAACGGGTCCTATAACCCGAGGACGAAGAATGCGGCAATTTGTCTGGAGGTTTGCTTGGCTGCGTTTTCTCACCAGAAAAGGAAACAGGCTTACTGACACTCACAGAGGATTCAGGTTTGGTGGAGTCAAATGAGTCTTTACTTTTTCGTAGTGAGGAGGTTGAACTGCTTTTCTCAGAAGATTCCGTGGGCTTGGATGAGGGAGAGACTGAGCTGCTGGAGTCTTTGGAGGACCCTGCTGAGGTTCGTTTGGAAGCAGGAGATGCAGCTGAGCTTTGACTTTCCGCATTCTCTGTGGACTTTGGCTTAGTTGAAGAGGAGCTTTCACCATTGGGGTCTGCGTCTGCTGCGTCATCGTTAATTTCATCAACAGTGACAAAGTCGTCTACATTGAAATCCGGCTCACCAAAAGGGCGGCTCTCTGAAGAAACTTTCTTCTCTAAATTATCAACTTGAACCTAGATGGAAAAACCAAAAACAGTCTGTGGAGCCATGAAACAGCTTACCCTATAATCAGAGTGTAACTATCACAAATATAACCTTACTGACATTGTATATGGTTCCTTGTATGTAGAAAACTTACTATAATATACCAAATGTCTCCTCCTATATGATCAGGATGTCAGTAAACAAATTATGCCCCTCTGCCCCTCAGAAATGGCCATTTTGTAGCATTTACATACCTATAACACCTTAGAAAAGCATCACATTTTAATTTAACAACAATAATGGTTAAGAGGCCATGTAAGAATAGGCAGTGAAAGACAATCTACACTGAAAAAACAGCATTGAATTTTGTCAGTGTGATTAAGTGTTTGAGTTAACCAACAACCCCCCCCACAATAACCAAACAAAACAAAACAAAAAGAAACACCAAACATTAATACTTCATTACTATTTTAAATAGGCCACCAACAAGGGGTAAGAAATCCTCGTGGGTCTGATGAACGTTTACCTTTCTGTTTGGTGTGTCTTCATCCTGTGCCCTACTAGGGCTGCTGCTTTTGCTCTAGAAATGAAGATAAGATAAGAAAAAAGATTAAACCGAACTGATTTTGCGTTATTCTGTGCTGGTTTTGGCAAGCACTAAAATATGGCCTAAAATGTGTTTAGTGAGTGGTGATGCTAAGGACTGGACATGCACAAGCTTACAAAAAAATAAATAAGACTATATGTAATGATGACCTTCGCTTTAATTTATCAGTTCCAGAAATAATGCAAATCTAAAAACTGTATCATCAGCATTAGTTATTCACACAGCCTGCAGCTTTACCGCAACAATCGACAGTGTACTACTATACAATGCTCACATGTAATCTCCAAAATAAGGCTTTTAGTGTCTTAAGATATTTTGGGACAACACAGTGAAATTTAAAGTGTTACCTCTCTGTCCTTGCTCTGTGCCCTACTTTCTCGACCCTGTCTATGCTCACGAAGCGCCGCTGTAATGGCCATGAAAACGTCCTCGTTGATGTGAGGAAGTTTTGAGTCTTTTTCCTCAGACTTGACTGGGCTTGTTGCTGAAGGAGCAGCGCTAGAAGCGGCGGGGGCGGCGTTTGCATCAGGAGTAGTGACCAAAGTTTGTGGTGGCCCCTCTTCCTTCACTGCTGCTTTCTGGCCTTGCTCACTTGGCTGCGGGACAGCGGTCGATTCTGCGGCCTTCTCGGTTTCCAGTTCGAGGTTAAGTGTGTTCTCACCCGAGTCTTGCAGACGCTGTTTCAGACTCTTCAAACTGAATTTAAAAGCAAAGATGCCAGTAGGTTACTATGAAAAGAAGTTTGTTGTCACAAAATGTTAATGTGAAATAAGAAATTCCATTTCAAATTTCTAATCTAGAGTTGCTTATGTCTAAATCACACTCTTCTCTTTTTGCATCTTTGGGAACTGTTTACTATAGCACAACCTTGAGGAGTGCAGCAGTCATCATGACTGTTTTGACTCTGCCACTAAACCTGAAAATGAAAGATACTCACGACTCAATACGTCCGACTTTACTCCTATGAAGAGGAGAGAAAAAAGCACAAGGTCAGACAAGCATGAAGACACTTTAAAGAAAAAAAACACACAATCTAAAATCAATTTCCTCTTTGTCTCACTTCTGATTGTGGGACACACTTACCAAGAAGATAAATAGTCCTTGGTGACATTGCTCTCCATCACCTGTGTTAATCCACCAGGTTCAGCCATCTCAATGCATATCTGAGAAAACAGAAAGATATTACATCAGTGACAGTACAATTGTTTTCTTCCTGAGGATATTCGAGCAACACAGTGGTACTCAAAGGGTGCGCTACAGGCCCAATTTGTGAAAGTAACAGGACAGAGGTCCTGGCGAGTTTCTTTACTGCCCTCTACGATAGTACAAGGCAAAGAAAAAAAATCTTGGTGTTTTAAAATTGCAAATGGAAAATAAGTGCAAACATATTTCTATACTTTTGCAAGTTTTTGATTGAACAATAAAACCACGGAACAAGAAACACTAAAAGAATAACTTAGTGCTGCCTCAAACTGCAGGCATCTTCCCTGCTAGATGGGCCAGGACGAAAGGCTGAACAGGTCATAAGATTATCACTTGGTTGAGAACTTAGTGCATTTCAGGCAGTCCTTCACCAGTATTTGCAAAGGCATGTAAAATTCAGATTGCCTGCTGCAGGGACTGGCTGTACATGGAATATTTAAACTTGCTCAACTAGTGTTAAAAAAATATAGTCTCCTTCAGACTCATTTAAAAAGTTTCTCAATATTAAAAGAGCAGCAGACACCATGACAAGCCTTGCAGATGTAAAACGTGAAAAATTTGCAGGTGTTTATGAAATCGTACCCTGTTGGCAAGCGGCAAGAATCTGACAAAAGCAGCAATGGACGCCACCACTTCCATGATCATCATGACAAGGTCCACATTCACCTCGGAGACCTCCACACTCAGCAGCCGGTCCTCCAGAGACTCAGACTGTGGAACATGCTGAAAAACAACCAGTGTTAAGATCAGGGAGACCCGAGCCTGCTGCTTTTACAAGACAGATTTATGTGACTGCTGACTTACAGTGCTGCTCCATTTCATCATGCTTCTGTACATGCTCTCCTGTGAAAAGAGTAGAAGATGAAAGCGGCTCACATCAATTACTTATCCTCTGTTTGTAAAATAACTATTGAATAACTCTCCTCCTGGTTAGAGTGTTTTTAATGTTTTATTGACCCCATTTGATAAGATAAAGATTGGACTCCACTGTAAGTGAGAAGTAACTCGATCCTGGTTTGCATCTTTGTGGCAAAGGATTCATACTTCAGGACAGTAACGACATAACATATAACCAAAGTTTTCCAGGAACTATTTGATGCTTTTTGAGTCTCAGTGACTTTCCGCAACAGTCGTCAGACCTCAATTCCTCTTAACATGTAGCTGTGGAGAGACATCTCACAAAGGGCCTGAATAGCTAGCCCGCAAGGAACCTTAAGATGGGAAACGCTGAAGCTAGAAGGTTAGCAGCAACTGAAGTTTCAAAATAAGTGAGGGCATTGCTTAATAGTCAGTGAAACACTCCATAACCTATGTCTGGGTCTTTAACGTTTACACAGGACTGACTTCACAAGAAGCTCTGTGGAAACTTTAAAGTGGTGGTGGAATGACGTGGGCTGTCGTCTATGAACAGAAAAGTGGATAAAGTTCATGCAGCTTTTGTGCAAAGGAAGGAACAAATCCAGACAAAATAATAATAAATACTTGATACGAAATTCATGCATATTTTTAGTTTTTCCATTTCTTATTCAGATATTTATCAATAAGTGACTTATATGTATGTATATATTGTGCTATTTCTTACTTCTTGTATTATCTGTCTTTGTTACTGTTTGTACTGTAACCAACATAATTCCCCCTAGGGATCAATAAAGTATTCTGAGTCTCATTCTATTAATATTAGCCCAGAGAAGGATGATGCTGTGCTCACTCCTTAGAGGAGAAATCTTTTTTGATTGGGATCTGTATAGTTTGAGTGAAACAGGAGCATGCCCCTGATTTAACAGCCCCCGATTTTTCAGCTCCAATATTAATACCTCACTTGAACCAGGATGCACGTCTTGTAAAACAACGTGGATTTTGAGCATCCACTCTCCAACTGTAACTGGATCTTTGAGGTAATCTCTGGCGAAATCGCAGCACGCATCCCAGCTGTTAAAAAACACAAAGGCCTGGAGAGGAAGAAAGGGGAAAAAATGACGCAGAGGAAACATTCAATATTAATCATTAAATTGAATTAAATTTGCAAATGCAAATTTCTCTGTATCAGCCTGCTGGGTCTACTCCTCACCCTCCTCTGCAGTGATAAAACGATTATGTTGTAGTACAGAGTCTGAACAGTCTGATCAGGGAAGTAACGCCACACCAGCTTGGTGACATCCTCCTGTCTGTAGTTTCCTTCTGGCAAACCAGTCAACATGATCGTGGAGAACGTAGAACCTTGAGATTGGGCTTTCTACAAGACACAAGGTTCAAGAACCAAAGTTTATGTGAAGAGAAACTTTGCAGCACTTTTTAAAAAAATATATTACTATAACTGACCACATAGAGAAGACAAAATGAAACCAAGTTTAGCAGAAAAAGAGAAATGTGGCTTTTGAGGTCGGTATTTGGAAAAATGGACGCCTCTTGGTATTTACTCAAGGATTCCTGTTTAACACATGAAACCTTGGTTTATAAAATGCACTCACCTCAATGTCATCAGGTTCCCTGACAGTTAAATACTCTAGAAGTGTAAAACACACACAGTTAGTAACAGTCAACACTTTATATCTGGAAGTTAATTTTAGTTTCTCTCACCTGGGATTGTGAACCAAGGAGCGACAGTGGGGAACACAAAGGGACTAGTTGTCATTGTGATCCAATATGGTGAAGTGCTGCGTTGTGGGATGATCATATCTTCTGTTGGGACAGCTGCCCCGTCAACAGCAACATCGCTGTCTGGCAAAGCTTTGTGTGGCAATCTTGGTGCTGCACAAGCAAAAATACGTTTTAATTTTTTGTGGGGGAAAGAAAAGGAAAAAGCACAACAGGTTTTTAATGTTTACAGTGATCCAGTAATTTCAATGTTTTGACTTTTATTTTAACTTTAAGCACCTTTACAGATACCCAAGGTATCATAGGCATCAGGAAAAAAATGATTAGAGAGTTAGACCAAATGCCAGTCTGAAAAAGTGGAGTTTAAGTAATGGCTCTGGTTCATGTGTCTAGGGCAGAGATAAGCAGAAGGGAATTGACCGCTGATGGAGCAAAGACTTCTGGAGGGGCCAGAAAAGAGGTCAGAGAGATAACGAGGCAAATGAGCATCAAAGGATTTGTGGGAAGGAGAATCACAGTGTTAGTGAATCAAAGTTGAAGGAATGTGTCACAATAATTTATTGTGGACAACAATAAAGCAGGAGTTTTTCTTCACTTTATCCACAGTCCAGGGGAGAACTGACAAATATATTCAAGAGAAAAATATATTCTTCTCGGATGAGAGGTGAAACGTCTTCAAGCAACTTAAAGAAGTCCAGACGCCTTTCTTTGCAAGCTCCTTTGACTACGATGACCTGGATGACTGAGAACCTTCACAGACATATATTCAAAAGTGTTTCACAAACAGAAAGCTAAAGAAAGGCCTTACCAGATGACCTTCCATTAACTTTACCTATCTTTAAAAAAAAAAAAATCATATTTGTTTAAAATCCCATTTAAAACACACTTACGCAGTGAGGTACATCCACTGTGTGGTATTTCCAGCCTTGACAATTTGTGGCCGGTGGCCTGTTTTAGAAGGCTGTACCAAACACCAAGGCGATCAGCATCACGAAGAGACTCAAATTCGATAAACACCTGAAACACAAGAAAGAAAATTTATTCTGAACATTTTAATTTTATCTTCTAAATGTTAAAAATAAGTGCTAAGCACACGTGGAAAGAGTGAACTAAGCACAGCTTTATTGTGGAGTTCACTGGATTCAAAAGTCAGAAATCCTGGCTCAATGATGCACTGGAGCCGTGCTCAACGTGACCCCTGCACGAATGCTCTAATGTGATGAACACTAGTGCTTCACAGCAATCTGTCTTTACTATCTCTATGGTTTTGCGGTTGTGCTTTCCTCAAGATAAGTAGCATCCAAATCCAGACACATTATCTCTTTTTAAGGATGGATTTATGAGGGTTGGTGCATGTCATTTAGTTTGGTGTGTAAGCAGTTAATCTGTCAATTTTTCTGTATGGTTAAGAATACACTTACACAAGCACATATCTCATTCGGCCTTTCACAAACTTCTAACACATGCACTTGTTGGCATTTATGAGTGTTTATACCTTGTTGAGAAGAGGCAGGTAGTTTCTTATAAAATCCATTTTTTTCAAAGCTTCTCTGAGATCCCGGGACTCGCCTGGTGAGATGTTCCTGATGTAGATTGTTCGTGCTCCATTGTCAGTCACTTGCTGCTTCGAGAAAACCGGGTTAACGTGAAAAAAACAAAAAACCCACAAACAGTATGACATTCGAAACATTCTCATACTACAGTTCCAAGATCAAGGTCATAAGTTTGCACTTATAGCGGGGAAAATAAGTATTTGACACATCAGCATTTTTATCAGTAAGGGGATTTCCAAGTGGACCATTGACACAACATTTCCACCAGATGTTGCCATCAAGCCAAATATTGACGTCATACAATCAAATCAGAACATATAAGTATACAAGTTAAACCACAATAAATAAAGTGAAATGACACAGGGAATAAGTATTGAATACATGGAGATAACAAGGGGCAAAATGACATAGAAAGCCAGGAGATCACCTGAAATCTGTCAGTATTGATAGAGAAATCCTGTCCCCTATCAGTACCAATTGATATCAGCTGCTTTAGTCCTAATTGATGGCCTATAAAGGCTCCTCATTACCCAGAAGGCACACAGGAAAGACTTCATGATGGGTAAAAGCAAAGAACTCTCTCAAGATCTTCGTAATCTTATCGTTGAAAAGCATTTTGATGGGAATGGTTATAGGTGCATTTCCAGAATGCTGAATGTTCCTGTGAGCACTGTGGGGGCCATTATCCGGAAATGGAAAGTGCATCAGTTCACCATAAACCTGCCACGATCAGGTGCTCCACGCAAGATCCCTGTCCGAGGAGTCCAAAGAATAATCAGGAGGGTTCTCCAAGAGCCAAGAACCACTCGGACAGAACTTCAGGAAGACCTTGCATCAGCAGGTACTGTTGTTTCAAAGAAAACTATAAGCAATGCACTGAACCGCCATGGCATCCATGCACGCTCACCACGCAAGACTCCATTGCTGAACAAAAAGCATGTCAAGGCTCGGTTAAAATTTGCGCAACAGCATTTGGAGAAGCCTGTGGATTATTGGACGACTATAGTATGGTCAGATGAAAGCAAAATTGAACTTTTTGGCAGTCATTCTACACACCATGTTTGGAGAAGAAATGGCACTGCTCACCACCCCAAGAACACCATACCAACAGTCAAGTTTGGGGGTGGAAGCATCATGGTTTGGGGCTGCTTTTCAGCAAGGGGTACTGGCAGACTTCATATTATTGAAGGCAGGATGAATGGAGAGATGTACCGGGACATTCTGGATAAAAATCTGCTGCCATCTACCAGGAAGCTAAAAATGAAAAGAGGGTGGACATTTCAGCAAGACAATGATCCCAAACACAAGGCCAAGGAAACAATGAAGTGGTTTCAAAGAAAGAAAATCAAGTTGCTTGAATGGCCCAGTCAATCACCTGACCTAAATCCATAGAAAATCTATGGAGAGAACTGAAGATTAAAGTTCATAAAAGAGGCCCAAGGAACCTTCAAGATTTAAAGACCGTTTGTGTGGAAGAATGGGCCAGAATCACTCCTGAGCAATGCAGACGACTGGTCTATCCATACAAGAGGCGTCTAGAAGCTGTAATCACCAACAAAGGCTTTTCTACAAAGTATTGAATAAAGTGTGTTCAATACTTATTCCCTGTGTCATTTCACTTTATTTATTATGGTTTAACTTGTATACTTATATGTTCTGATTTGATTGTATGACTTCAATATTTGGCTTGATGGCAACATCTGGTGGAAATGTTGTGTCAATAGTCCACTTGGAAATCCCCTTACTGATAAAAATGCTGATGTGTCAAATACTTATTTTCCCCGCTGTATATTCACACAGCAGGTATGCACCCTGGCAGCTATCTTCTTTATTCAAATTTATAATTGCAGCTCGTGCTGTTTTTGATAACACTGGTTGAAAAAATATTTAAACCAATGTACACACAGTGCTGTGAAAAACGCATTTGGCACCTTCCCAATTTTGTAGTTTTTTTGCACACGTTTCAAATCATTAAACAAATGTTTAAAAAAAAAAAACATACAAAATGCAGTTTTAAATTTTTATTCCAGGAAAAAAAGTTCTCCAAACCTTTCCTAACCCTGTATGAATATCTGAAAAAACGGGTATGTCCCCATTTTTCAAGGTGTTGACTTGGATGTGAGTGCTTCCAGTTACGACTTTATACTCTGACTAGAGCTGGGCGATAGAACGATAACGATATGTATCGCGGTATAACTTTTACTCGATAGAGAAATTAAGCTATCGCGATAGACCTCGCCGCTCTTGTCCTCTTTAAAAAAAAAAAAAAAAAAAAAAAAAAAAGGTCAGCCAATCCAAATTAAGTAGCGCAGAGCCGAACCAATCACAGCCACAGCGTCACGTCGCGTGACTTGTTACGTACAGCACAAGTGCCAAGCCGCACGTGTGTTTGTTTGGGAAGCAGCCAGCGGGTAATGGAGGAAATGAGTGTGCCGACTAGAAAAATCAACCGAGCGTGACCGAAGAGAAAACAGATGATGGTTCCAATGCCGGAGAGATTGTGGAACGGAAGAGCCATAGAAGTTCCGTAGTGTGAAGGTATTTCGGCTATTTCAAGTCTGACAAAAAACAGAGTAGCGTGCACTGTAAATTGTGCCGAAAGCAAGTCTGGAAATACAATAAACTGGTGCATGCGTCACACTGTGCGCCACGTTATTGTTTCGGTTAAATGAATTTCTACAATACTGTTACTGTTAATTCTACTCTCTGCAGTGTTTAAATGCTTACACATACACACAGTTACTGTCCGTCCACACATACGACTCAGTTCTGCTTCTATGCCCCAGCTTTGTTTACTTTTTCCCACCGAGGCTTCTAGACTTCTGATTGGCCAACATTTCAGCACGGTTAGGAATCTAGCGCCTCCTGCTGCTTTGGCATGTTCATAGCAGCGTTTTCCTTCATTTCTGCCTTTATGTGTGGACGGGATTATTTTTTAAAACGGAAAATCTCAGTTTTCAAAAATACCCGTGTACGTGTGGACGTAGCCTCAGTCTCTGACTGGAAGCGCTAATTCGTCATTCGGCTTTTGTCAGACTAAAGTAACTGTTAAAACTGTTTGAAAAGCTAAGCTATACAACAAGGAGAGATTGAGAATTTCCTTTTAGTTCTCAGTTTATTTGATATTGACAAAAGTTAGTCAGTTTTGTCTGTTCTTCTGTAAAACAAACTAAGATTTATTTTTAGAATTAATATTTTGTTTCTAAGTGGAATTGACAATTTAGTCTGTTTCATTTGTTCTATTTTGAAACTTAAACGCTTTAGCGGCTGCCTTTTGTGTAGTTTGCAATATTTGCCTTTATTTATCTGAAAAAGTCTCATGTTCCTTAAGTACATCTATCCTGTTGAACTTATTATGGGAAATAAATATTTAAATAAAAACAAGCTGCTGATTATTTCACATTTTACTTGTGAGCAACGGCACATTTAAATCTTACAAATATAGTTATTTGGCTTATATCGTGATAGATATCGTTATTGCCTGAAATGAAAAAAACATATCGTGATATGAAAAAATCTCATATCGCCCAGCTCTAACTTTGACCAATAAATCTAAAGGTATTCTAGCATAGTCTTTGTTCCTGAGATATGTGTGTTACTTACATAGCACAGCCGTTTCATCAGAGACTTATAAAACTCAAGCTGAAAGAAAAAGAAAAAAAAGTTAAAAATCATTACATCACTTTGGATTCTGTTTGATTTATTTCAGCTTAAAGATGTTTTTGTTCTACAAAAAGAAAATATTTTTAAAAATTTATAATCACACTTTAAAAAAAGAAGAAGCAGAAACCGATTATTTTCGAATAATTTTAATAACATCTGTCACAACAGTAAAGTGCATTATCTACACACATTGCTTACCGGCGTCATTAAAATGTCGCCCTTCTCAACCTGCAGTCGAAGTTTAGACCCATTGAGAATAAAATCATGATTTTCTGATGCTAGCACGATGTTTTTAGCTGCCACTGCTGTCGGCATGAGGGCAAAAGCCTGAAGGAAAAACAAACCACCAAACACTGATTTCAACTGAATAATCATGAAGACAGGCACTCACAAAATATGTATTAACTAACTAAATGTTAGTTAGGTCATCTTAGAAAAGACATTTAGAATCCCATTAAAATGAAGGTAATAATCCAGCCCAATGCAAATTCATGGCCTGGTGCTTACCATGCGCGCCTGTGGTATAACGTAGATCGTATCGTCGTAATATTCAAATCTGTGTCGAGTGAGCAGACCGGCGATGTCCTCCTCTGCATAACAGCCATCGTGATACTCTGGCAGGTTGCTTATTAACAGCACCTTGTAATCAAGCGAAACAAGCTGTGCAAAAGAAAAGAAATTCAGAATCTGTTTACAATTGCAATTGAAGAAATTCCAGACAGAAATCTGAAAAATGCAAACATTAACTTATAAACTGTGCCTCACTTTGAGCACTGTCTACAACTATGAACACAATGAGGTACATCAGAATAAAATACCTATTACAAAATGTTTCTGATGGTAACTTTCTTTTTACTGTGCATATAATTTGCATATAATTTGAACATTTTAAACTGGCTTTTTAATAAAGGAGTTTTAGTATGTGTTAGTACATGAGATAATTGTTTTATTAAAATACTAAATTGGTAATCAAGAATCGTGCAATTCTATTAAGTGTCTATACTGACTACAAAATCTCTGTTATTGCGACATCCCTACTGAATTTTTAACATTTTTCTACATTTACACCTACTTGAGTGTCACCTGACAATGAGATATAACCCAACTATAAACTTTTAAAACAAATTGAACTATTTCAGATCAAAACTTAACCACTTTGACAAAGCATGTTTTTCTTACAGGTATAATTTAAGTGTTTTTTTAATGTTACCTTTGAATGGGGAAGTCTGACTGTCTTGAGACAACCTGTAAAGTGCAGAGCAAAAGAAAAACAGAAAATAATTATAAAATAGAAAATATCTTCACATTGAGAAATCTTTCATACAGATCTTTGGGGATTTCTTACGGATTCTTTCTGGACGCAGTTGCTCTTGTATCCGTTCCCCAAATGTTGGGTGGGTAGGAGCGACCGGCTGATCCTTTGAGATCTTCTTTGCAGTCACAGAGACTTAGAATAAAGGAAATGTAGTTAAGTTAAATAGTGGTAGTTTAGATAGGATGCAAATTACCCAGCTGATTTAAATAAAAATCTGAAAACTGTTCTCGTCATGAAGCACAGTCTTTAGCTTTTGATTCCATCCAACATCCTGCTGTCAAAGATACTCCACACTTGAAGATGTTTTCTGTCCACTTACCTTTGTCCTTTGTAACCGTTTCTACACTTTCAACTCTTTGCTTTGCCTCCACAGAAATCTCAGGTGATTTTCCTGCAGTCTGCTGTTGTGTTTCTTCTTGTAGAGCAGAATCTGAGCTCTGCTCGGTCTGTTCTGAAGCTTTGAGTGAATCTTCTGGACTTTTGATGACAGTTTGTGGTTTCTGAGGTGGATCAGTGGGTTTTGGTGACGATATATTTGGCTTGGTCTCAGCTGCACTAGTTGGTAGTTGATTCTCACTTGATATAGTTGGTAACGTCTGATTATCTTTGCCGTCAGTAGAAGTTTCAACTTCTGTGTGGTCCTCCCTTTCAGAAGCTTCACCTTTAGGCCCCATCGCAGATTCATGAATCTTTGTTTCAGGTTTCTTGTGTTTTGTCTCTACATCAGGCTTATCCTCTGACGTTGTTGATTTAGAAGGATCCACTTTTTCTTTTTTCAGAGTTCCTGCTGTTTTAGATTTCTGCGTCGTTGAGGCCGTTTCTGCTTTGGAAGTCAAGACTTTTGGCTCACCATCAACTGCAGCACCTTTAATTGGTTCAACAGCCTTCATAGCATTGGCTGTATTTTTAGGTGCCACCACAGCTTTTTTAGCACCGGTTTGAGACCCTTTGGGTTTACGTTTTCCTTTCAAATCACTGGTGTTATGCTGCTTTTCGGGACTCTTCGTAGATTTACTCTTAGATTTTTCGAGGCTTGAAGCTGCTTCTTCAGCCTTATCACCAGTTTTTACAGTTTTAGCTTTTTGCTCAGCTGAGATGTTTTTCGCTTTGGAAACAGAGACTTTTGCTGTAGTTTCCAGTTTAGTTTTTGTGGTTTTCTTGGATGCAATTTCCTGTAAACAAAGATAATTTTGGATTAATCAGATTACTGATCATTTTGCCACAGAAGAGCAGTGATGTTAATATATTTCTCAAGGGAAAACAAAGTTACCTTTTCATTAACAACACTGACAGTTACTTCTTTTATGTCAAAGTTCTTTAAGCTCTTCAGTTTCTCAGCATCTTCCTGTTTCTCGAAACACACAACTGCCTGGGTGTGCACAAACACACACACACACACACACACACACACACACACACACACACATTAATTTGGATTACTACCAAAACTTTTACATTACTACATTCACACTAAAAATCATATATGAGCACTTGTCAGTAGCTTACAAGTATTTGATGACAAGTTTGAGTTTTCCAAGCAAACTACAAGCAACGGTGGCAACTTGCAAGCAACCAATGCGATTCCAAGGATGTTTTTAGTGCAATGTGTATATATAGATTAAAAAAATGCATAATGCAAAGCAGCAAAATAAAAACAAAATACATTGTGTATGCTTTCATAGGATTAGACTTGAGCAGAAACTTTCTGACATTGCGATGTCTATATAAAAGCTCAGTATAATCCAAAGTAGCCATGAATGTGAGGGCTGCAAGACCACAGAAGAAAAGTAAGGATAACCAACTGACTTTAAACCGCATGATGAATGCAGGACAACAACCATGAATGGACAGTACATTTATAGAGAATTGTAGCTACGGTGCATAAATATCTATCTTAGATTGCAGAAGCAAACCAGGAGACACATTTTCTCTAGATTCACAAGCAGGTCAATGAACTCATCCATCTATAACAGTGAGCAAATTTCAGTGTACATACCTGTAATCTTGACCTAAACAAAACAACTGACTTGGTTTTTCCAAATTTCTCCACAGCAGAAATCACTTCACTGTGAGAGAGACTACTGACAATCCCTTGTAGCCTCACCATGGTTGGAGGGGAAGATTTAGCAGCCTGTGGAAACACAGCGAAGAAAAATCTGAACAAACCAAATGCAGATTTCATCATGACAATTTGACTCAAAGTTTGTGCTTGTATAAATTTGTGTTGAAGGATTTAATCTTGGTTTTGTGGCATCAACAATCACGTCACTGTCACTGACCACATTATAAATTGTCCAAAACTGTCCATTCATGAAAAAAGGCATCATGTGAAGTCACCTTGGTCTTCTCTGTGCTAGGCCTCCCTTTAACTGATTCTGGAGATGCAGAACGTGAGGACGATGATGTTGATGGGGACGACTTCATCTTGGCTAGCTCAGCCAGCAGGGCAGGAGCCAAAGTTTTGACGACAGTCTCCAGGTCAGACTGTTTTGATAAGGACTGGAGAGCTAAAAGACCACAGGTACAAAAGAGATTCGCACATTGGTGGGTCCCAAGTCTCAAAAATCATCTACTGCTTCTGAAAGTTTTATAATCGTAGAAAAAACTATACTGACATTTTCTGGTGGTACTGGTCTTTATTTATAATTTGCATTAGTATAGTTAATGTTATGTGTGTGTGTGTGTGGGGGGGGGGGGGGGGGGGGGGGCAACTTTGATCTTAGAAAAACCTAATGAGTACATACCAAAAAATACCATGAAGCAATTTTCAAACCTGATGTTTCCAGCAGTTTCTTTGCCAAGATCTTCGAGCTGCTCAACTTTCGCATAGGAGATGACCTCTCTGTCGACGATCGCCTCTCCCAGCTTCTCCTTGGTGATGAACGTTTCTCATCTCTTCTTCTCGGCGAGGATCGTCTCTCGCGTCCCCTTGAGCGTGATCGATATCGTGAAGAGGAAGGACGGTCATACCATGAGGAGTCAGAATGAGACCGGGACCTGAAAAAAGTATGGATCAAAGAACTTAATGACTCATAAACATCTCAAAGCACACATGCAGCATGGATACAAAAGGTAAATAGTCCACCAATTAAGTGTTTTTAAATTTACATTATTAAATAAATTACTTTTCGCCCTCTCCACTTGAGAGCTAAATCTTTTTGATTGATCCTAGTTCTCAAAATGTATGTTGGACAGACCTGCGATTACGTCTGGAGCTGTAGGGAGATCGTGATCGGCTTCTGTGTCTCTGCCTTCGGGGGCTACGTGATCGAGAACGGGAATGACTAATTCGTCTGTCCCTCCTACGCTCCAAGTCACGGCGGCGACGTGGACTGCCGGAGCGGGAACGGCTACTTCGTCTGTCCCTGCTACGCTCCGAGTCATTATGGCTGCGGGAGCGGGAACGGCTACTTCGTCTATTTCTTCTTCGCAACGAGTCACGATGAGTGCGGGGGCTGCGAGAGCGGGAACGGCTACTTTGCCTGTCCCTGCTACGCTCCGAGTCACGATGGCTCCGGGGGCTGCAGGAACGGGAACGACTCTCATGTCTGGTTTTCTTCTGGGAAGTCTCAGCAGAAGTTGAGGGAGAGGGCTTGGCACCTGATGCACTAACAATTGCATATAAAAAGAAAGGCACATGTTAAATCAAAGAAAATGAAAGCCTCCAATGCTGGCATGTTTTTTTATTCGCCAAATGACTTGAAATGAAGATAATTACCCTGGCAGTGATGCAATTTCACCGTTCCATTCTGGGTATCTGTGGAAAAACACAGATACATTTTTGTCAGATGTTGCAAGATAGAATGTCCTTAAAAATATATTATTGTTCACTAATCCAGAAACTCAGAAATGTATTCAGCCTTTCAACAATTTAGGTTAGGGAAAATGGCTCATGGTAAATGCTGCAAATCATTAAGGTGCTTTAAATTAAAAAAATACAAATGAACAGTTCTTAGGGAGCTATCCTAGCATTACAACCCTGGCATCATTTTGGCACACCCATGGTTGTGCTGCCCCAAAGATATCGGTTCATAATCACGAAGTACAGAGAAGAAAGATTGACCGCTTTCGCAGAAGTTTGCAGTTCTCGATGTGAAGGCTGGTATTCTGGTGGGAGACCCAATCCTAGTGGTCACAACAAAAAACAAACATTTAGACAAGGTTTATTATTATCAGGAGCAACGTTTGTCATTGACATCACTTGCTGATAAAAGGTCACTAAACTTTGCAGTGGCCTTAAAAAAAATTCTTAAAATATTAACAGTTAGTCCTTCACTGAACGCAGAAGCATTATAACATTAGCCAGGAGCCTGGATTGTATTTAAACCTTCATAGGCCAAAAACCAGGAACAAATAAGTGTGACACATCATACCTTTCCTGGGATAAAATTTTAAAAGTGAAATTATTTAGTATATATAGAAAACACAAGTCAAACATCTGATTACAAACAACCAAAACAAAAGGTCAATTAGGCTCTGGATTCTGGACTCTCAGGCTCTTCTTATGGCATCAAACTTTCCCGAAGCTCCAAGAAGGTCGTCTCAGGAGAGGCCAAGTTTGGATTAGGACAAAATGCACCACCTATGACGATCACAGTTGGAGTAGCGACAGGAAGATGACGTTGAAATAGACCAGAAGAGGAAGGTGCTGTTTCTTTGACAAGGAGCTCAAATGTGAAATTTGATGCAGCGAAGGAAGGCCAATCCATAAAGAGAGATTCAACAACAAATCAAATCAAATCTGGTGCTTGTGTAGCTCATGACTGGGCGCAGCGGGTGCTTATGTTTGTGGTAGTAAATGATGTTGCCTTTTGGGACACAGAAACACTAACTTAAAAAGAAAGTATGAGTAAAAAAAAAAAAAAAGAAGAAGCGAGTATTACACAAAAACAAGGTGCCCACTAATGTGAAATAAAGGACAAAACACACTATTCTTAACTCTAATGACAAAAGACAAAAAGGGGAACTTTCACATTCAGCAACAGTTCCAGAAAAAAGCAAAGCTGAATGTGCACTGTGGAACAGCAGCCAAGAACAGAGACAAATGAAAAAACAGCCGTCTTCCAACATTTTCTGATGCACAGGCTCTTCAGGTTTGCAGGTTTCTCCTCATCACGTCATCTGAGGCCTTGGTTCCATTGTTAGCAAAAGCCTTGAATGTCTTCGCATCAGTTTATGTCAATTTAAAAGAGATTAAATCTATCAATTGCAAGTACAGACCACTGAAGATTCTGAAGGTCTCTTATTAGTAGTGTTTTTCAATTACAATATCTGATAGACATATAGTTAAGTTTAGTCTGCACTGTAATCCTTCAGAAATTCTGGTACAGAATACTGAATTGCAGAAATATGTGAAAAATTTGTCCAAATGTTTGTATTCCAAGTTGGTAGTCTTCCTACAGTCATCATTATGCAGGAATAGTGTATAAAACAAACCAAATAGACTTTAAAGTAGCATACATGAAGTTTTTCCCAAACCACAATCCTATAATGGGATCCAAAATCAAATCAAAAACAAAAAACATTGCATGTCAAATAAATAAAAACCGACAGAAAGCAAAAACATCGAACAATCTTCCACTTACCTTCATCAGAGTACATTCCTTGTTACATAGAGAGCAGGTATGAGGAAAGACCCTAGGTGAAGCGGCAGTGTAGTCTTGCATCTGGGCCAGCACTGGGATATTCCCTGTCACTTCTACCTTTGCTGGAAGCTGCTTGGTGGAAGCGGGCTGCGGTATATGAATGAAATTCATGAGGTTCTGCATTAGGGGAGAGAGACCCGGAGGAACGGGCATCGTGAGACCTGGCATGAGGGACGGCTGTGGAACTGGCTTTGCAGCCGAAAAAACTTGAGACTGCAAAGCTTGTCCCATATGCACAGCTGGCTGATTCTGCATCTGCTGCAACCCAATCGGCAGGTTAGGTACCTGGGCCATCTGCTGCTGCTGCTTCAGTTGCTGCTGTTGTATCTGCTGCTTCAGTTGTTGCTGCTGCTGCTTCAGTTGTTGCTGCTGCTGCTGCTGCTTCAGTTGTTGCTGTTGCTGCTTCAGTTGTTGCTGTTGCTGCTGCTGCTTCAGTTGTTGCTGCTGCTGCTTCAGTTGTTGCTGTTGCTGCTGCTGCTTCAGTTGTTGCTGTTGCTGCTGCTGCTTCAGTTGTTGCTGTTGCTGCTGCTGCGTCTGCTTCAGTTGTTGCTGTTGCGTCTGCTTCAGTTGTTGCTGTTGCGTCTGCTTCAGTTGTTGCTGTTGCGTCTGCTTCAGTTGTTGCTGTTGCGTCTGCTGCTGCTTCAGTTGTTGCATCTGCTTCAGTTGTTGCTGTTGCGTCTGCTGCTGCTTCAGTTGTTGCGTCTGCTGCTGCTGCTTTGGTGGTGGTTGTTGCATTGTCTGTTTCACCTGTTGCTGTTGTACCTGCTTCTGCTGCATTTGCTGTTTTTTCATCTGCTCAGAAACATTTGATACTTGCCCGTGAGTCTTACTCTTTTCTTTGATGTGACTGTCGCTGCTGCTGCTGCCAATGAGTACAAGGCCAGGTCGGCTTGGATGCACACTACGAACTATATTAGGAGTTAGTTGGCTTTTTGATGCTGAATGGCGATCTGGCTCTGGATTTTTCAACGGAAGGGCTTTAGTGACTTCTGCTTTAAGAGGTCTTATGTCTGTGTCTGTCTTTGGCAGAGAGAAACCTTTGAAGATTTCTTGAGATGACTGGTTCGGTTGGGTGTGCAGTTGTTGAGCTGGATCGCTGCTTCGCATTGAGCCATGACTGGTAAAAGAGCTGCCTTGATCACGGGAAGAAACCAAGGTGCTGTTTTTCACCTCTGTCATACTTTTTTGCAGTGGTTCTCGACTGTGACCGCTACTATCATAGGAGCCCATCAGCAGCGTACCTCCACTTCCACCACTACTAGCTCCACTGTTGCTCCTTCCAATTTCATCCCCAAAGCTCCCAGTATATTTTCCAGTATGTCCATAATCAATCACTTTACTTGGTTGGACAATAGGTGACAATTCATCCTGATGCATCCCTTCCCCTCTTGAAGTACTCAACCTTTCCCTTCCACTCATACTTGTGGTGGAATGAGGATCATAGTAGGATTTTGATGGATCTGCTGTGGCAGATCTCTTTGCCTTTTCCATGCGGATTTGTCGTAAGATAAAAGGCAGGTTGTCAGGAGTCATCTGATCTTCGGGATATGAGATCAGATGTTCCAGGTCCTCTTTTTCAAGTCCAAACTGCATAAGGATGTTCACAGCTGTTTCTGAAGTGTACTTGGGACGAGTAGACTCTGCAGAACCCACAGGTTTGCCTGGCACTGGGTAGTCATAATCACCTAAGCCTGGAATGGATTGCACATTGTGCTCTCTTTCATTCGAGGCATTAAACCTACCGTCACCAGTGCTTAGATAGCTCAATGAAGCAGATGATGAACAGTATTTAGACGAATCATCCTCAGTTTTCCGTTTGTAGCTTGGCAACCAGTCCATGGAGCTAGTGCTACTTGCAACATCAGGAGGTCTTTGAGAGTTTGAGGACAACATGTAGGAAGTCACATCTTTGCCTGAAGAATCATACTCATGTCTTTGAGTAAAATGACTGCTCTTGTCTACAGGCTGATTTCTCACCTCCTCTCTGGCTCTGCTTATATGCATGTCTATGGACCTCTTTATGTCCTCTTCCATTGAAGTCTTACTCCCTTCTGGCCTGTAGCTCATTATTCCCCCAGATTTTGCAGGAGTCGCAGATGAAACTCCAGAAGAGCTAAAACTGGACCCAGGCCCAAGATGAGGAGATGTCTTATGAGAGTCTCTCTCTGCCTGCATACTGGACTGTCCATAGCGCCCCTGGGCTGAACTTTGATTCCCAGAGGCATAGGGGTTATATGAGGGATGGGACATGGTGTTAGCAACCTTCAGAAGGTTCAGTAGACTGATGGCTGCAGCTGTCGGGCAGGGGGGTGTTGTGGGTATAAATGGGGCAGGTGTGTTGGTTCGACCATCAACAGCAATAGCGTTATTTATCTGTGTCAACGCAAGGTGGGTTTTCAGCTGAGCCAGCCGCAAGCATGCAGCTTGCTGTCCGATCAGTAAAAAGCTCCCTGGGAGCCCACCCAGTAGGGGGCTCTGTTGGGGCCCTGGTGCAGGAGAAGGGGCGTAACGCTTCAATGACAATGGAAAAGCTGGAAAGTTAAAAATAAAGAAAACAAAGAATAAAGGTTAATCAGTTGTACTGGGCCTCAGAATCTTGGAAAGATGAAATCCATCGTCCGGGAGGCCTTTTCTTAATTTGCAGACTCTGCTTCCCGAAGATCATTCATTCATACGGATTCATTCTGTTAGTATCATCTTCAGGTCTTCACTAGTAAGAAGGAAAGGTGGAAACAAAAGCATCAAAAACAGAGAAACAGAGAAAACATGAGATTTAAACAATAGAGACACAGGAGACAACAACAACAAAATAGAAAGGAGGTGTTAATCTTAGAAGAATAAGCTTAATAGATCTTCCAAAGCAGCTTATCTTATCCTCCTCTATCTTTTGCATGTCCCTGATCTGTGGATAGAGACACAGAACATACACGCTAGCCGTCCAACATCTAGATGTTTCTAACAAGACCCATGATTAGTACCCAATAAGGTCGAACTAACATATGCACACAAATTTTGCTACACGGGTGTGGTTTTTTATTATGACGATCTCCAAGTCCAGTCCACAAGTTGCAGTGCTGTGCTGGGTAGGCAGCATTCAGAAGCGAGATGACGTATGGCTTGGAAAGTTGGTGAAGGAAGCTGGATCTGCTGTTGACTTTCTGGTAATGACAGCACACAGATGGACCTCAACCGGTGCAAACTGCCATTGTCATGAACACATCCTCCTACCCCCTAAACATGATCGCATAAACCAAAGGAGCATGCTCAGTGGCAGGTTGGTGGCATAGAGCAGCTTATGATGATCTTCTGTCTCCTCAGAGGACACGATTAGACTCCTCCGCTCATCTTGAATTACAGCAGATAAGGGACTCAAGTTGAGTACCATAATTGATGCTCTGTTGTCTGCTTGCACTTAATTTAACTGGTTATATAAGCTCTCTCCACTTTCAGTGACTTTAGTGTCACTGTAAAATCATTTTACACCGTGGAATAATTTAATTAATCCGTACACTATCTGCACAGACCGTGTACCTGATCATTATGCAAGTACTTTTTACAAACTTTTCACATATGCAACAGGCTATGTTCCGAGAAGTGCAGTAAAAGCGTCCCAACAATTCTTACATTAAACAACAGCAACAGTGAGAGAAAGCATTGTCACGAATGAAAACCAATGACGATTTTCTGAAAACCTTTGCAAACCTCAAAAGAAAATTAGTTTGTAAAACTGCAGCTACAAACTACTGAACGTTTGCTGTTTGCTCCCTTTGTGCTATGATGGCTCTCTAATTTTAGGGACAAACTGTTATCCAGTGCAAAACTGGACTGGTGCATGTCTTCTATATAGATCCTTGCTACCAAAGTCATCAATGATGACATCAATGATGACATCAATGCCAAAATAAGAGACAATGACAATATTTGGAGGCCAAAAGTGAACACAACAGATTTCCCTCAATGTTACTGTTTTTTTTTTTTGTTTGTTTGTTTGTTTGTTTTGGGGGGTGGGGGGGGCGGTTGTATTGCTTGTGTTAGCTAGGTTATGCTTAAAAGTAATTTAAGAGAAAGTGAATTGCATAGATACACACACCTACCAGATGTAAAGAAGAATAACGCAATAGGAGAAAAGAATGAAATAAATGTTTAAAAAAAACATAGATCCTTAAGTGGTAATATAGAACAACACAACTAACCAACAGCTCAGCTAAACACAACATGATTAGTTGTTAATGACATTAGGGCTGCACAATATTAGGAAAACCTGCGATGTGCGATAACTATGATCAATACTGCGATAACGATATGACTTGCGATAAAATAAATATAAAAAAAACCAAATACATAATTTCTGTTTTACTGCAAGTTTTATTTAAAGAAAGCTGCTGTATTAGCAGTGTAACAACAAAGTGCACTTTAACATTGAAACATTGCCCCCATAAAAAGATTTCTGAGGCTTGAATTCTGAAAGACATCCTTCCTGGTCTCTAGAATTAGTTTTAAATACATAACTTAAATTATACTGCAAATTATCTCAATGCAGTTGTTCATCATTTTACCACTCACCAAGTAGTTATGATGTAAGTCAAAACTGGAGAGGAAACTTTACTGTAGTGCTTGCGTAGTTTTCCGCTTGGCTCAGTTCAAACATGACGGTCTTGCGACATGTTTCGTACATTTGTGGAATGGCGACATGTGAAAAGTAGTTTCGTGAGGGGATGCGGTATCTCCGGTCCACTTTATGTATCAGACTGGTGAAGCACTCTCTGCTAACTGTATTTATAGGCATCATGTCTTTGTCAAAAAATGTGTAATGGCCTCTGTTATTTCTTTGTAGCGCTTTGACGTTTTCTCATAAGGAGTCCCACTTGAAAAACTCTAATACAGAGACGGCTGTTGGACTGCGGTGCTCTTTGTCTTAACATTAGCAACCTTTGTTTGGCTAGCCCTGTCTTTCTGGAACTCTTCAAACAGTTCTCTGTGGTTGTATTGAAGATGATTGTTCAGATTAGTCATGTTTCCTCTGGTGGTTGCCACGAGTGTTCGGCAAGTTTTGCAGAGTACCTGTGTTTGGAGAACGTCGTCTTTATCAAATCCAAAGTACCTCCAAATAAGCGAGGTACTATTTTTTTTTTAGGCACGAGGGGTTTCTTTGATTGGTAAATTCTTTAAAGCACGTGTGTAAACATTTTAAGGTACCCAATTATCGCAGTTTACGTCGTCTTTTGCGATGGGCCCATCGCGCAGGCTGATATCGCGATGACAATAAATTTTCAATTTATTCTGCAGGCCTTAATGACATCTGTAGTTTTAGTCAGCCTACCCTACATTGCAGCCGTCTTTACACTGCCTTTAAGTAAGCACCTGCAGCAGTGGAAAAGTGATTTTTGCTCACTGCACATGCGTGGAAGCAGGTTAATGACAGGGGATCTTTTCCATAGTCTGAGCGTCCAACTGTCTTAATGTCTAATTACAGCTGGGCGATAGAACGATAACGATATGTATCGCGATATACCTTTTACTCGATAGAGAAATTAAACTATTGCGATAGACCTCGCCGCTCTTGTCCTCTTAAAAAAAAAAAAAAAAAAGGGTCAGCCAATCCAAATTAAGTAGCGCAGAGCCGAACCAATCACAGCCGCAGCGTCACGTCACGTGACTTGTTACGTATAGCACAAGTGCCAAGCCGCACATGTGTATTTGTTTGGGAAGCAGCCAGCCACCGTACCGCCCGGGTAATGGAGGAAATGAGTGTGCCGACTAGAAAAATCAACCGAGCGTGACCGAAGAGAAAACAGATGATGGTTCCAATGCTGGAGAGATTGTCGAACGGAAGAGCCATAGAAGTTCCGTAGTGTGAAGGTATTTCGGCTATTTCAAGTCTGACAAAAAACAGAGTAGCGTGCACTGTAAATTGTGCCGAAAGCAAGTCTGGAAATACAATGAACTGGTGGATGCGTCACACTGTGCGCCACGTTATTGTTTCGGTGAAATGAATTTCTACAATACTGTTAATTCTACTCTCTGCAGTGTTTAAATGCTTACATATACACACAGTTACTGTCTCTCCACACATACGACTCGGTTCTGCTTCTATGCCCCAGCTTTGTTTACTTTTTCCCACCGAGGCTTCTAGACTTCTGATTGGCCAACATTTCTGCACGGTTAGGAATCTAGCTCCACCTGCTGCTTTGGCATGTTCATAGCAGCGTTTTCCTTCATTTCTGCCTTTATGTGTGGACGGGATCATTTTTTAAAATGAAAACGGAAAATCTCCGTTTTCAAAAATACCCGTGTACGTGTGGACGTAGCCTCAGTCTCTGACTGGAAGCGCTAATTCGTCATTCGGCTTTTGTCAGACTAAAGTAACTGTTAAAACTGTTTGAAAAGCTAAGCTATACAACAAGGAGAGATTGAGAATTTCCTTTTAGTTCTCAGTTTATTTGATATTGACAAAAGTTAGTCAGTTTTGTCTGTTCTTCTGTAAAACAAACTAAGATTTATTTTTAGAATTAATATTTTGTTTCTAAGTGGAATTGACAATTTAGTTTGTTCTCTTTTGAAACTTAAACGATTTAGCGGCTGCCTTTTGTGTAGTTTGCAATATTTGCCTTTATTTATCTGAAAAAGTCTCATGTTCCTTAAGTACATCTATCCTGTTGAACTTATTATGGGAAATAAATATTTAAATAAAAACAAGCTGCTGATTATTTCACATTTTACTTGTGAGCAACGGCACATTTAAATTTTACAAATATAGTTATTTGGCTTATATCGTGATAGATATCGTTATCGCCTGAAATGAAAAAAACATATCGTGATATGAAAAAATCTTATATCGCCCAGCTCTATGTCTAATGCCAGGCCACTGATAACCAATACCATCACGTCTGGGATGAGTCTTAAGAGCGGGGTTAACGTCAGGGCTCGCAAAATCGCTAGCCCGACGTCCCGGGGCTAGCGATTTTTCCAGTCGGGCTACCAAAATCTATCTCTGCCCTGCCCGTCGGGCTATTGTAGGAAGGAAAAATATATGTCAATGCTTTTGCATTCTTTCGGAAATGTAGCTGGGTAATTATGTCATTGGCATCAGTGAGCCAGAATTTGCGCTTGTTTTTTGCTTTCACTTTGCAATCGTGCGAACTGTGTATGGAGAGCGACAGTACTGATTGGTGAGTGACAATCATTTGCGCACCAATTCCTCTGACATCGTCTTATCAGTCGTTAGCCTACTATGCAAACATGATAAGTGAAATCTCCCGCAGCAAGCTTAAACATGTGATAGGTTGATCGCGCAGAGAATCGCTCAGCGTTATGTGAGCGCGTGTGTAAAAGCAGCAGGATATATATTTTAGTTTTGCTGAGCCAAATAAGACAGGTCAGGGTGAAGAAGTGACAGCCAAAGAAAAGCTTACCACAAAACGGAAAAGTTATGGCAAATCAGACTATAAGGCAAAAAGAAAGTGCAGCTTTATGGTTTCATGGACAAAAGAATTTCTGTGGCTGCAATATGACGAGCTAAATAACCAGGGGTGCACATAAGTGGTCGGCAGGTGCGCATTTGCTGTCAAAATAAAAAACGCACACAAGATAAGAAGTTGCAACGCGTGTTTGCGCACATAGGATTTTCTGGAGGAGGACAGACATTTGTTTAGAACTCTTAAAGATGTCAAGAAGCTCCTTTAAGCAATTACTTTGGTGTTCCTCCACCTCCAAAGAAATGTCAGGAGTCCGAACCACAAAAGAAGCACGTATTCTCAGAAAAGTGGTTGCAGGAGGTGAGCTGGCTTCAAACAAATGATGAACGCACAGAGATGTGGTGCGGAATGTGCCGTGAAAATCCCACTCTAGCAGACAAAAACACTGCCTTTTATATGGACGCAAACGCGCGCTGCAACTTCTTATCTGGTGCGCGTCTTTTATGTTGACAGCGAATGCGCACATGCGGACCACTTATGTGCACCCGTGTAAATAACATAATGTTCTGCCGGGTGTGTTGTTGGTTTTCTCTCGATTTCTGAGTCGACAAGCGCCTTTGTTACTGGGACCAGTAATTTTAAGAAAGGCCCCCATTAGAACCCATGAGAAATGCAAGAAATGCATTATTGCTCAGTCTGCAATATCTTTCCCAGAACAAACACCAATTGCAAATAACATACTAAAAATAAACCTGAAAAATCTCTTTAGAACAGCGTACTATGTTGCAAAGAGTGAACTACCACTGGCAAAATTTAGCAGTCTTTGCAAACTTTAAAAAAAAGCAAATGTCCTCGATCTTGGTTCCACTTGCCTCTTACCTGTGATTTCAGTGGAAATTTCAAATTCAGGATCTGACACAGACTGATTGATGTTCTACACAGTTCTTACAAGTTTATAGAAATTTCTGTTCAATTAGAACCAAGTATTTGAGTTGATGATTGTAATTTTTATACAATGTTGTAATTTGTGTTTCAACAATTTTTTGATTGTTTTGGTTCCGTTACAATATTATACATTAAAGTATAATATTGTAAAGGAAACAAAAAATGAAACAAAACATCAATCAAAAAATTGCTCGCTTTTTTATTCGGGCTACTTAAATTTATTTTGGGCTACCAAAAACTGAAGAGTCCCTGCCCGAAGGGCTACCAGGGATTTTGAAATTTTGCGAGCCCTGAACGTGCATCACTAAAGGAGAGAAAACTTTAATACAAGCCAGGTCTGTGGAGTGGGGGCTTATCATAAGTGAAGGACAAAGTGAAGGACAAGTGGTTGTTTTTCTCAATCAGTAGAATTCATATTGTCAGTATTTGTTGTAAATGCTGCCTTTTATGAATGCATTTAAAATGTGTTGTGGGATTGTGTAGTGTGGCTGTTACCGTGGGTTCTCCCACCTAACTAGCTTGGAATGAAAATAAAGGAAAACGGTGGCTGTGGGGATACGTTGGATAACGACAGTCATGCCACTGAGTTAAGTCGGATTGCGCAAAATCCGTGCAGCAGTGAGATATGAGGCGAGACCATAATCCACCAGTCCAGCCACAAGGAGGCAAAAAAGGCAAGGCAATGTATGCAGCTACCGAGGAGCACTGCAACCTCCTGCAGGCCCGCTTACAAACTACCACCACAAGTCGACAAACAGCGGCTGTAAGGAAAAGCTGATCGCTTACAGGTTTGTTTGGGGTTTTTTTTTTTTTTACAACAACTCGGGGTACATACCGTGCTTTATATGTGTGGAATCCGTTTGTTCTGATGTGCTCAAATGAATCCTCACGAAGAACTTCTTGCAATCTACAGCGTTGCTAACGGAAAGGAAACGCTAACCACGTGACCCACCGCAACGTGTTCCGTTTCAGTGGTCTGCCTTCAAAATAAAAGGACGAAGGGAAACGACAACTTTCAAGATACTGTCGTAATTCCACTAACGCATTCCATGCATCATATTATTATTATTATTATTATTATTATTATTATTATTATTATTATTATTATTATTATTATTATTATCATAAGGAATTAGCACTTGTTTTTCTTTTTTAAAATTTGTTTACTTTTTAGAAAAATACAACTGTGAGTTCTAAATTTTTTATTGAGTGTGTTATTGGAAGTTTCCCTACATCTTCCTCTGTGATGGCTTATAGTGGCCGCAGGATAAGTGTACTATAATTAATTTTTCACACGGTGGCGCTATTTCCATAGGAAAACAACTCATATATAAATGTCCTTGATGATGATCTATCATATCTTTTTTTACTACTATAACACAGCCTGAATTTTAATATGTGAAATTACTTTTACACCCCATCACCAATGCTGCACAGATTAATTTTACATTATAAAAATATAATTTATGTTGTGACTGTGAGACATGAGTAAGTTTGCGAAAAGGAAGCATGGGAAAGGGGGGAAATAAGGTATGATTCTCCCTGAAATAAACTTTCTGCCAAATAATTATAATACTAATGCAGTCACAAGTAATAATATCACAAGTACCCCTTTTATTCATAAAATTTTAATATATTGAATGATGACTGCTTAGTCCTCCGTAAATATGAAAGCCCCGATGTGCGCAGAGGTTCGGGACCATAAGTCTTATTGTAAACATACCACGGCAGACCCGACGATGTTTCCATGAACACGCTTTTCAGCATCTCTTTATTGACCACTTTTCACACACGGTTGCTGTACGCATACAGCCGGCTGTAGCTTTTCAGCTCACAGCCCGACAACACAACAGCAGAGAGAGCACAGACTTTAAGGCGGCGAGGCGTGATTGCGCCTCAGGTGCGTCCGACTCCCCTGCAGACCACGCCCCGCCACACACATTAACCAGGTAAAATACATATTTAGGCAGAATTTTGGAAACATCTAGTTTTTTTAGAAGCATAGTGCTTTTTTTCCAATTACTTTTTAAAAGTCAGGTCAAGGCTCCAAAAGCCCAAAGGCGAAATGAGGGTGGCAGCTCACAACAGTTTTTGTTTGCTACATGTATCATTTTAGTTCAGCTGGGTGTCTTTCCTTTTGTTATATTCCTTTAAGAGTTCAAAATGTGTTAATTACATAAATAAAATGTAATTTTCTCTGTAGCACTTCATGGATTTCATAAGCAACACACCTTAGTTGCTCTGTGGATTATTTTAAAAAGCAGTTAAAAACTTTTCTGTTCAAACAAGCCTTTTGTTGATCTACGTATTTTATATTCTTTACATTATTTACATTTGATCTTTTACATTGTGTACAATGTCTATTGATTGTATTGTTTAATTTAATATTTGTGTACAGCGCTTTGACTGACTGTCTGTGAAAAGCACTTAATAAATAAACTTTACTTACTTTAGTTGTTCACACAAAGCATAAAGGTAAAAAAACAACAATATATACAGTGTTATCTTCATTTTAGATTTCAAAAAGTATTTGCGGCTCCCAGTGTTTTTTTTGCGTGGAAACCCGGTGGCTCTTTGGGTGTTAAAGGTTGCTGACCCTGGCCTAGGCCATCTGCTACGGTGTTGTCTGCGGGGGTGGCAGCATCTCTGCTGGGGACAGGAAGAGAACAGGCTGATATGGAGGGCCAGCTCTGTTCTAGGATGCCCTCTGGACCCAGTGGAGATGGTGAGTGTTAGGTCTAAACTTGCAGACCTCGCTGTCTCAGTGGCCTGTTACTGTGAAGGAAGCAAGACACTCAGAGCTCCATCGGTTTTTACTTGCAAGGGAAGTCCGGTCAGGTCTAGAGTTGTAAACTTAGCCAACTCTGAATTCGGCCTCCCCTCACAGTCCTTTTATCAAGAACAGTAGTTACACAAACATTTCATTTATCATATGACAGTTAAGACACTCACATGTGAACATGTACGTCTGTGATGTGTGTGTGTGACATTTTCTGCTACACCACATATCACTGTGACCTTTCACTGATGTCCCTAGTCACCCCATGTATGGCGTAACCTTTTAACAAACCAGTGTGTAGAAAAGAGGTGAGCATTCTTGAGAATGGAGGCTAAGCTGTCATCCCTGTTGGACAGCATCTCCCAGCCCATGCAGGAGACTCTGACAGCACTGAGCAGCTCCTTCAGTGGCAGGCTCTGGCACCCATGATGTGGGATGGAGAGATTTTGCCGGTCTTTTCTTTCCTACTGCTGTCAGACTCCACAACAAAGACTTCGCAGCTGACCAAACACACAAATCCACACATGTGCAATTCTCTTTTTCTGACTAAATTGTATTTTATTCTGTTTTATTGTGTACAGTATCTTATTCTTATTATCATATATTGCAGTATTTTTTCTAAATTTTCGCTGCTGTAACATTGCACTGTCCAGTTTTGGCTTGTTAGATTATAATATTATTTTATGCCATGTTAGACCCCTAATTAAAGATTGTGAATTATTATGTAGTTTTAGTTTGCATTATTCTCCTGAATTAGAAGAAGCTGATAACTATTGCATCAGTTAAACTGATTTGCATTAAAGTAGACTGCTGATTTATTGTGAATGAATGATATTGTTTTATGATGCATTATACTGCTGAGTTATAAGAAATACTGTTTGCAGAAAGTCATCGCCTTATTTGTCTGATTAGAAGAGAACAGAACATACTGGAGTTTTCTGCCCCATCTCAGCAGGAGCAGATAAACAGGGAGCCAAGGTCGTAGCTTAGGCGCTGTGTGAGACAAAGCATGTGAATGTTTAGGCTTTTATGATAAGGTGGAGGCACCAGAGGCTATAAGAGTTTGAGCAATGCTCCACCATTTTGAGATCTGAGACTGTCTGCATCAGTGTCCATCTCCCACGCGTGTGATCATTAAAATCATCGTTTGACTCAACCCGACCGGACCAGTGTTGTTATTGTGGTTTTTCTCTTGTCTCCATCCCCAATAATTTTGAACCTAACAGGCTGTAACTAAACAAATTTCCCACGTGTGGAACTAATAACGGTTATATAAAAATAATAAAATTATAGCACACCAGAAAGATAGTCAGGAATTCTGTGTCATCAAAGATGAAAAAACAGGGTGACACAAAACAAAGGTGCGTGAGAAAGAATCATATACTCTGATGAGGGGACTGATTTATTTTAAATAAATGTACCACTGATGGTCTACTTGTCCTGTTTGTGTTTTGGGGTCTTTGTGTCCGGTTGTCTGAGTGCTTTCCCATTCTCATCTCCAGCCCCACACCTACTATGAGAGGAGGTTAAGCAGATGTGTTGTTCTCACAAGGCACTGCTCCACCTCCGCACAGTGTATTTACATCTCAGTGCCTTCAACCAGCCTCAAACAAACTCTGGGCTTTATTTACTGACCTCTAGTGGCAGTAAGGTGACATTGTTTTTTTGAAATTAGATTTTGCCGTTTTCCATTTGGCATCGTAAACCAAGATTTTGTGTTCTTCTCCGTTAAGCACACTGATTTGCCATGTAATGAAATGTGGTATGTATAATATTACTGTCTCAATGTTAAAATGCTGGGTTAAAGAGTGAAAACAACGACACAGACACTTAAAATTCTCTTAAGCCTTAAACCTCTCTTATCAAGAGTTCAGCTTTCTCATTTTGAACCTCACAGCTTCTGACCGAATTTGGTGGTTTGTTCAGCTTCAAACTTGAGCCAGTGAGTCTGGAAAGTGGGAGACACACTCAGGTTGATGGACCCTTTTCTTCTAAAGAAACTGAAGCCAAAGATGTAAATGAGCAAAAAAAAAAAAAAAGATTTAATAAACTATTAACACCTGTCAGGTACCTCCTGATGACCTGTTAAGTAAATTTATTAATTTTTCAATAACATTTTCACATAAAAGATAAAATAATAACAACATTTTAAAACTGTGCTCTTCACCAGCCTGTACAAACAAAAACAAAACAATTTATGAATGAAGACATATCATTTACAACAAAAGGTACCACACGGTGATTAGTTTAGTTTCTGAACTAGTAGGATCAAAAACATTGGCTTGTTCTCCACAGTGATGTGTTAAAATAATCAGTAGATCAGGTCCATCAGTCAGAAACAGAGCCTTGAGACATCTGAGATGACGTTGTTGAAGCTCTTTGTCGACGTTTCTCATAATATTTCTACAAAAAAAACAGAAAAGTGAGAAACCAAACATCGTTAGGCCAAGAGTGTGATTTTGTGTACTGAATGGTGTGTGCGCATGCGTACCTGCAGGTTGTTGTAGTGTTTCTGGCTGCAGCAGTGGAGTTCCTTGGCGGTCTTCTCATTCAGGTAGAAAACAGAGCAGATGTTACAGAAAAATCCTGATTTTGGGATCACAAACTCCTGACCTGCAGAGGAGTAGAAACAGGAAAATTAGACAAGTGTTAACACAGCATTTGAATCGCGTGCGTGTGTGTTTATGTGTGTGTCTCACCGAGGGGGCTATTGGGGTTGAACTGAGGCAGTCTGAAGTCTGCTACAACACACGGAGACTGAGAGCGAGATCGCTTTGCCTCAGGTCCAACAAGCTCCCTCCTGCGTTTGCCCACAACTGAAAATGGAAAGAGCGACACATTAATCATCAACAAATCTGCTGCAGGAGCCACCGGGTTTGTAAAATATTAAATTATAACTTAAGTAATTAAACAAATGATTTTTGATTTATTTGAAAAGGTGAAATGTTTGTCAGCCACTTTATTAGGTACACTTGTTTGACTGCTCATTAATGTAAATCTCTAATCGGCCAATCACATGGCAGCAACTCAGTGATGTAGGTATGTAGACATGGTCAGATGACCTGCTGAAATTCAAACTGAGCATCAGAATGAAGAAGAAAAGTAATTTCGTGGACTTAAATGTGGCATGTTTGCTAATCTTAGCATTTCACTGATGGGATTTTCCCAAAGAAGCATCTCTAGGGTTTACACAAAATCGTCTGAAAGACAAAATGAGCAACAGTTCACTGGAAGAAAATGCACTTTTGAGTTCAGATGAGAATGTAATAACTCAAATAAACACTTATTACAACCAAGGTATGCAGAGGAGTATCTCTGAACACACAGCACATCCAACATTGAAGCAGATGAGCTGCAACAGCAGAAGACCACACTGGGTTCCACTTCTCTAAGCTAAGAACGTAAAACTGAGGGACCAATTCACACAGGATCAGCAACGCTGTAAAAGAAAAAAAAAGTCTCAATTTCTGCTGTGACATTAGGATGGCAGTGTTAACTGAAAAGACACGACGTCGTACTCTCATCCACAGCGCTTTATTCGTTCCGCCATTTTTCACTCACAACAACAACAACCCTCTCGCGGGCAACAGAACTCTTGCGATAAAACAGAAAATAACAAGTTAACAATCTCCCTCTTTCTTAAAAAATAAATAAAATAAAAGTATAAACACATCCCTGTAAACATTTGTATACATATATGTATATATTTATATAAACAAAAAAACATTTCAAAAGTGCTTTGCTTTACTTGAAGCATACTATCATTGCACACAATAAACAATGGTACATTTGAATGCAAAGACAACTTTGTAAATAAAGGATTACAGTATCCAGAGTCCTTCATCTAGCGCCTTTAGAAGGGCTAAAGGTGAAACTCCCTTTTTTGTCAGACAATCAGCAAGTTGAGATTTTGAATCTGACCAACAAACCTGTCTGATTTTCTTGGCTTGTATGAGCTCTTTAATGCTGCTCATTTCTAGCCTCAGTCTCTTCTCTGTAACCTGCTTAGTAGACTTGAGTGCATCAAACAAGGAATGATTATCAGTCACGCAGATCAAAGGAAGAGCGTTCAGACCAGTGTTACCAGTTGTAAGCTCAGAAAAAAGTGTTGCCAGGAAGAGCGCACTGTCTATTCCATCTGACATGGCAAGAGTTTCTCCTGCCAGTGTACTTCTGACCATGCGCCTGATTTTTTTAGACTGCCAGAAGAGAGGACAAAACTTTCCTCCTTTACCCATAAGGACGATTAATGCCCCTCCTTGAGTACCGCCATCAGGAAGGTTGCCAAATGAAGCATCACTGAAAACAATCAATGCCAGATCCTCACTGTTACCCAAGTGCTGAAACTTAAGAGTCACTTTCTCTGCCTTAAGTTTACGGATAACTTTGTTCACTTCATGAATAGACTGTACAGTTGCATCTTTGATATTAGATCCAAGGCTACATGTGTCAAACATAACATCAGGCCTTGTTTGTTTGGCAACCCACAAAATCTGTCCTATTTTTGACCTGAGTTGCTCACGTTCTGTTTCACTTAAGGAAGCCTCCCTCTGTACAGCCCGTGCTGCTTGTAACTGAACCGGTTGTAGGTTGTCAATGTAAAGTTGTTGATGCACCTCTATTACATCATTAACTGTACAAATGTCCATACCAACATAAGAAAAACTGTCATGTTCTTCACGGCCCACAAGGAAGGTAGATTTCAGTACAGGAATGATATGAGTTGCAAAGTGACTTGAACCAGCCCAAAGGAAATCATCAACGTGACATGCAAGCACTCCTGTAACCTCAGATTGTTCATTCTGCCAATAGAACACTGCAGGATCAACCTGTGATATTTTACCACCAGTTTTGAGCATAATGTCTTTGACCTTATTGTACCAATAAAGTGAAGCATCTGCAAGTCCATAAACACACTTTTTCAGTTTCCATAGAACATTGTCCTTGCCAGCTTCAGGTGGGGGACGAAGATGGACGTCTCTTGACAGTTCCATTCCCTGCAAGAAGGCAGATTTAATGTCCATTGAATTTACTCTCCACTTGTTTTGACATATCACAGCTAGCACCAGTCTGAGGGACTCAGACGCACATGTTGGAGACTCTTTCAGTAGTTCTTTAGTATTTACCTCTTCAAACCCCCGTGCCACAAGTCGAGCCTTTGGGACAACACCATTAGTAGTTTCTTTGAGTGTACAGACCCATCTAGTAGACACACATTTTTGACCCAGGTCTTTCACTTCATCAAACACACCATTACTTTGCCAGCTCTCAATCTCCTGCTGCTTAGCAGAATCAAAGGAAATATCTTTTGTTATGAGTACATCTGCATCTCTGTTTTCAGCTTCAGTGCAAAGACCATCAACAAGTGACATGTCTACAGCTTTCTTTTCACCTTCACTACCATCATGCTCAAGATATTGCACATTGTACCAGTTTTTGTATTGCCCTTTTGCTTTTCCCGCTCTGCCTAGCACTCTGGCTGTGTGTTGAACACCGTTGTCTCTGTTGGTAAAAGCAATCAGCTGTCCTGATCTTAACTTTACATTAGCAGAGACATGATCAGTGGGTGTAGAGGGCTCATTTGCAGTTTGTGTGACAGACATGTTTTCTGTAGTGTTAGTTTCTCTGTCAATAGTGATGTCTTCTTCCTCACTAATACTCTGTTCACCATCGGGTGTGTCAGTGTCATCATTTTCAACTGCGTCTTTGTTGTCATCATCAGTAGTACTGTGTGGTTTTTGTTTATCTCCAGTCTGTGAATCCACTTTAGTCAATCTTGACTGGTGTACTCTTACAAGAGTCCCCCCATGTCTTACAAATACAACAGTTCCATCCTGCCCAATAACTACACCTGGACCCTTCCACTCTGTACAGTCGACTCGTTTGTAGTATACTTTATCTCCTGCCTCATATTTGTCATCTGTAGGCCTAAGTTGTTTGCGTAGTGCTCTCCTGATCCTTTCTGAACACTCTGCCTCAGTAAATGCTTTCCTGGAAGCATGTAATGCTGAGATATGTTCAGCTACTCTTGCACTTACAGTTGTGCCCTCTAAGGCAGGTGGCTTATCCATCAACACAGAAGGAAGGTTGGGGTTTTGGCCAAACACAAGTTGATGTGGACTATAACCATGTACATTAAGCATACTGTTTTTGGCCATAAGGGCCCAGTCTAGCGCAGTGTGCCAGTCACATCCACGTTCCTTTTTTACCTTCAGGAGGATTTCTGTAAGTGTCATGTTATGTCTCTCCAGTAGTCCGTTGCTCCAGGGACTATACCCCGCCGTTGTTTTTACCTCAATGTTGAAGTTTTCAGCCATGTCCCGAATGTCTGTGTTGTTGAACTCTCCGCCGTTGTCTGTGTAGAGCCGTCTGGGGGCACCGTGAATGCTTATCCAGGTGTGAATGAAGGAGTTGACAATCTCTGCAGCTTTCTTTGTCTTTACGATGCTGCCGGCACTGAAGCGTGTGAAGTGGTCGATGATGTGAAGGTACCACACATTGGGCTCCAGCTCATGTAGATTCATCGCTACTGTCTCATTATACTCAGAAGCCAGGGGTAGACCAACAGCAGGTCTCGGCTTGGTTTTGCAATATTTCTGACAAATGTCACAGTCACGAACTATCTCTTGTAGAATAACTGCACATTGTTTATCTGTATTGCCAGAGCTTTGGATGAGCCTCAATAACCTCTCTGCAGATGCATGACCAAACTGCTTATGAAGTTTCACAAGGACTTTCTGTTTCTCTTTTGTAGACATTTCAGCAGTTACCATGAGAACTTCATTTTCATTGCAGTTTTCTGTAGTATTTTCATCTCTAATGTCCACGCAATAGTGTCCCGAACTAGTGAGCTCTAGGGGAACAGGCTGCTTGAACATGACAACACTGTCATTCTCCATGTCTAGAACAGTCCCTGCTTTCTTGAGAGACGTTTTGCTCAGTAGTAGTGGAATGTCAACAGGAACTACTTCACTTTCAATGTCACATTTTGTTTGTCCAATTTTGACTGGAAGTTTCACTTTTCTGCTGGAATACACTACAATACCATCCCCAAAGCGAAATGGTCTGGAGCTGGGGGTTTCTGATTGCAACAGCTTGTTTACTTGGCCTTGGCTGAGGTCACGCATGTAACTATCTAGCCACTTCTGACCACAAACTGTACGTGTACATGCAGTATCAATAATGGCTGACCCCAGTGCCTCAGTCAGGAAGATTTCAGAGTCTGTCATTGAGGCTTTAGTGTACAAAGTAATGTTACACTCCTCCACTTTCCCATCTTCAGTTAGCTTTACTTGGTCACCATTACGATGAGGACAGTCTTTCGCCCAGTGGTATCAGAATCAGAATCAGAATCAGAATACTTTATTGATCCCTGGGGGAAATTATTTTTTGTTACAGTGCTCCATTTTAAACCAACATTAAGACAAGACAGACAATACGCTAACTAAGAATAGTACAATATATACATATATATACATACATACATACATAAGTCACTTATAAATAAATATTTGGAAAAGAAACATGTGTAGTTGTAGCAGCAAACAGTGTGTTAAGTGGATGCGTTGTACAGGGAGATGGCCACAGGCAGGAAAGATTTCCTGTGTCGTTCACTGGTGCTTTTTGGTAATCTCAGTCTCTCACTGAACGTGCTCCTGTGACTGACCAACATGTCATGGAGTGGGTGGGAGGTGTTATCCAACATTGTCTTTATCTTGGACAGCATCCGCCTCTCCGACACCACCTTGAGGGAGTCCAGCTCCATCCCCACAACATTGCTGGCCTTACGGATCAGTTTATTAAGTCTGTTGGCATCTGCGACCCTCAGCCTGCTCCCCCAGCATGCAACAGCATAGAGGATCGCACTGGCCACAACAGACTCATAGAAAATCCTCAGCATTTTCTGGCAGATGTTGAAGGACCTCAGTCGCCTCAAAAAATAGAGACGACTCTGGCCCTTCCTGTAAAGTGCTGTGGTGTTTTTAGCCCAGTCCAGTTTATTGTCAATGTGTACTCCAAGGTATTTATAGTCCTCCACAATGTCAACACTGACCCCCTGGATTGAAACAGGGGTCAAGTGTTTCCTGGTCTTCCTGAAGTCCACGATCAGTTCCTTGGTCTTTGCCACGTTGAGCTGCAGATGATTCTGCTCACACCACGTGACAAAGGAGTCGACCACAGCCCGGTACTCTGTCTCATCATCCCTGCTGATGCATCCAACCACCGCAGAGTCATCAGAAAACTTCTGAAGATGGCAGGTCTCTGTGCAATGGCTGAAGTCTGTGGTGTAGAGGGTGACGAGGAAGGGGGAGAGGACAGTCCCCTGTGGTGCCCCTGTGTTGCTGATCACCTTGTCAGACACACACTGTGGGAGACGTACATATTGTGGTCTTCCTGTCAGGTAATCAACAATCCAGGACACCAGAGAAGCATCCACCTGCATCGCCTCTAACTTATCACCCAGGAGGGTCGGCCTGATGGTGTTGAAAGCACTGGAAAAGTCAAAAAACATGACCCTCACAGTGCTCGCCGGCTGGTCCAGATGGGTGTAGACACGATTGAGCAGGTAGATGATGGCGTCCTCTGTTCCGAGACGAAGCTGATAAGCGAACTGAAGGGGATCCAGATGTGGTCTTATTATGGGTCGCAGCTGGTCCAGGATGAGCCTTTCCAGGGTCTTCATGATGTGGGAGGTCAGTGCCACAGGCCTGTAATCCTGGGGGCCACTGGGACGAGGCGTCTTTGGTACAGGGACGAGGCATGATGTCTTCCACATCACCGGGACCCTCTGCAGACTCAGACTCAGCATAAACAGTTTATGAAAGACTCCACACAGCTGGGGGGCACAGGCCTTGAGGACAAGGGGACTCACTCCGCCTGGTCCAGCAGACTTGCCTGAGTGAAGTCTCCTCATTTGCATCTCAACCTGGTATTGAGTGAAGGTGATGGGTGGGGGAGGGGTGTCAGGACTCTCACAGGAGGCAACATGTGAAGAGAGAGGCTGGCACAGTGGTGTGGCTCTGGATTCCAGGCTGACTGCAGGTGAGGTTGTGGGGGTGGGAGCAGACACTGTGGTGTCGAATCTATTGAAAAACAGATTCAACTCGTCGGCTCTATTCTCACCTCCCTCAGCTCCCCTGCTGTTGGTTGGCCTGAATCCAGTGATGGTCTTCATGCCCCTCCACACCTCTCTCATGCTGTTCTGCTGGAGTTTCCACTCCAGCTTCCTCCTGTAATTGTCCTTAGCCTCTCTGATCTTGTCCTTTAGTAACACCTGGATCTTCCTCACCTCCTCTTTGTTGACCCCTCTGAAAGCCCTCTTCTTGTTGGGCTTTCATATATATATATAAATATATATATATATATATATATATATATATATATATATATATATATATATATAACATATGTAAGTGCTCTGACAAATAGCACATCTTGTTCGCTTGCCAAACTTGTCAAGTGGGTTGGTACCTTGTAGTGGTTGTCGCTGTCCACTCCGCGACGAAGTACCGTTGTTTCGTTTGTATTTGGGACCTTTTTGTTCCGTAAAGAAAACTGCTTCTTGGTTCAGTTGAATTCCGCTGAAAACTCCGGTTACTTTCCCTCCGAAAATCCGTTTCAGTGCAGACTTCATAGACGCAAACGTTAAGTCCGTGCACGCTGTCAGTGCAAGCTGTCGACTTTTCTCATCAAGACTAGCTGTATCTAGAAGCTTAAATGCTAGCACAGCGTCAGGCAGCGTCATGTTGTACTTTTTCATCCGGTTATAACGCTGTTCAAAGTCTATAATGTAGTCTGCCATGGACACGCTGTGGTTCTTTGCAATGGAGTCAAAACACGAGTAGGCTTCATAAGCGCGGTCTTTCTCTTCTCTCTGAAACACCGCGTCAAGTTTTGCAAGCAGTATTTCCATACCGTCATCTTTGTCCAAATCTTCCACGGGTATCTCCATGGCCATTTCTCTGGCTCTTCCCTCGAGCCCCAGCGCCACCGCGAGTGCCTGTTTCTTTTTATCCAGCTCCGTAACTCGTCTCCAGATATTGACTTCATTCTTCCAGCATTCGTATGGCCTGGCTTCATCAAGCTTTGGTGGTACTTTGTAATTGGAAACCATCCTCTGCTACCAATGTTAACTGAAAAGACACGACGTCGTACTCTCATCCACAGCGCTTTATTCGTTCCGCCATTTTTCACTCACAACAACAACAACCCTCTCGCGGGCAACAGAACTCTCGCGATAAAACAGAAAATAACAAGTTAACAGGCAGGGTCAGAAAGCTTGGATCCATCCTGCTTTGTATCAAAATTTCAGGCGGATGATGGTGTGGGATATATTCTTGGCACACACTGGGGCCCTTAGCACCAACCACAAAACATATTACCACCACCACAAGGTAGTGGAAATGCATCTCAAAGCTATTAGTAGGCTAACAGAAGCAGGCTATACAATTTTTCTTTTAATATTCAGTTTACTGTGTTTTCGCTGTCAGAGTGATGCAGTTTGTTGATTTAAAGCAGCTCTTTGTACCTTTAATGCCAACCGTGCTCCATCCATCCTTCTCCTCTCCCTCCTCTGTCTCCTTATCAGGACACTTAGACTCTGGCTGCTGTCCAGCAGAGGCAGGTGCAGCATCAGGCTGGGTCTCTGCTTCCTCTTCGGTCCTCTGGCTCTCCGCCTGGCCATCACCTGGCGGTGCAGATGAGTCTCGGTCCTGTGATAAAGTGGGATTAACAGAAGCTGGAAGCAGTGGTTCTGTTGTTTCCTCCTCTTCCGTCTCTTTTGTGCTCTCTGGTTTCCCTCTAGCAGATTTTCTCACTGTGGGAGGAAAAAAAACATTAATTAAGCTTCATGTCTCAGAGCTCTGACACGACTTTATCCCAGATGCCAGCCACTGGAGAATATATGTACGGATGTTATGCATTTAAAATACAAAATATGAGTAACTGTATTCCATTATAGTTACTCCTTAAATAGGTGATAATTTATTGAAATAAATGGATTAAACTGCCGTATTTTTCTGTTTCATATGTTAGGCCCTCTCTACTTTTGGTACATTGCTGGAAACCCAAACAAAACACACAATGAGAGGGTCTAATGTAAGTGTCCTGTGTATGTGCGCCAGTTACACGACCTGGAGACAGCACAAGAGATGGAAAGTTGATTCTGAAAGCAGAGCCTTTCAGCGTCGGCAGCGGGAGACTGAATATATGTTTACAGACATGCTGGTAAACCCGTGTGTCTTATTAGTGGAGCTAATGTGGCTGTAATTAAGGAATTTAATTTAAGACGGCACTACGAGACAAAACGTCAGAATAAGCCGAAAAACCTAAATGCAGAGCAGAAACTACAGAAAGTAGAAGAGCTAAAGAAGAATCTGACATGTCAGCAGACTTTTTTCACCAGAGCAAAATCACAAAGTGAAGCTGTTGTGAAAGCAAGTTTTATTGCATCAGAGGAGAAAGCCACATCAGCCTTGCACTCTGAAGAGCTTCATGATGAAGGTGTGCAACATCTTGTGTCCAGACAAAACGCAGATTTTGGCAAATGTGAGCCTGAGCAGAAACGTATGTCAAAGTGAAACTGCCCTGGGACAAACTTGTTGGACTTACAACAGATGGAGCGCTGGTGTTGTGCGGTGAAAAAAGCAGACTAATCAGCAGGATGCTGATGCAGGAGGAGAAATGTACCGGTGAGTTGACAGCATATCACACACCAGGAAAGGCTGTGTGGTAAAGTCCCAAAAATGGAGCATGTAATGATCACCGTAACACAAACCGTAAATTTTATCTGAGCTAAAAGTTTAAATCACCGTCAGTTTCAGTCTTTTATGTGGGAAATAGATTCAGAGTTTGCCGACATTCCTCATCATACAGAGGTCTGCTGACTGAGTTGGGGAAAAGTTCTCAATATAGGTTTATACCACGTGATATAGAAGCTGTGCCGTGTGATGCTAAAATTAGCAAGGAAAAAAGGAAAAAACAACGGAGAGAACGTCAGGGATGACGAGAAAGTGACAGGAGAAAATCCGTCCCAGTCAACCACCCAAACATCAATAACGGGAACCTTCCCTATACCCGTCGAACTCCCGCAGGCACAAAGAAATTACGGAGGCTATCACTTATCACCTGACCAAAGATATGGCTCCCATCAACACTGTGCAAAACGAGGGATTTAGGAAAATGATCAACACCCTAGACAAACGCTACACAGTGCCGTCCCACAACTATTTTTCTATTGTTGCACTACCTGCTCTATACACGCAGTGTCGAGCAATGGTGGAGACGGAATTTCAAACAGTACAACATTTTGCGGCAACAACAAAACGTGAGACAATTGTTGTTTTTATGTTTATTTATTGTTTTTATGTTCAGTTTCAACTGTTACAAAGTTGATGTGCAGTTAATAAGTGCAATAAATATTTATATTGGAAAAGAAAATCGTGAGAGAATCGTGATCTCAATTCTAAGCCAAAAAATCGTGATTCTCATTTTATGCAAAATCGTGCAGCCCTACTACCTACTACAGTGGGGCAAAAAAGTATTTAGTCAGCCACCGATTGTGCAAGTTCCCCCACTTAAAATGATGACAGAGGTCAGTAATTTGCACCAGAGGTACACTTCAACTGTGAGAGACAGAATGTGGAAAAAAAAATCCATGAATTCACATGGTAGGATTTGTAAAGAATTTATTCGTAAATCAGGGTGGAAAATAAGTATTTGGTCAATAACAAAAATACAACTCAATACTTTGTAACATAACCTTTGTTGACATTAACAGAGGTCAAACGTTTACTATAGGTCTTTACCAGGTTTGCACACACAGTAGCTGGTATTTTGGCCCATTCCTCCATGCAGATCTTCTCGAGAGCAGTGATGTTTTGGGGATGTCGCCGAGCAACACGGACTTTCAACTCCCGCCACAGATTTTCTATGGGGTTGAGGTCTGGAGACTGGCTAGGCCACTCCAGGACTTTCAAATGCTTCTTACGGAGCCACTCCTTTGTTGCCCGGGCGGTGTGTTTTGGATCATTGTCATGTTGGAAGACCCAGCCTCGTTTCATCTTCAAAGTTCTCACTGATGGAAGGAGGTTTTGGCTCAAAATCTCACGATACATGGCCCCATTCATTCTGTCCTTAACACGGATCAGTCGTCCTGTCCCCTTGGCAGAACAACAGCCCCATAGCATGATGTTTCCACCCCCATGCTTCACAGTAGGTAGGGTGTTCTTGGGATGCAACTCAGTATTCTTCTTCCTCCAAACACGACGAGTTGAGTTTATACCAAAAAGTTCTACTTTGGTTTCATCTGACCACATGACATTCTCCCAATCCTCTGCTGTATCATCCATGTGCTCTCTGGCAAACTTCAGACGGGCCTGGACATGCACTGGCTTCAGCAGCGGAACACGTCTGGCACTGCGGGATTTGATTCCCTGCCGTTGTAGTGTGTTACTGATGGTGACCTTTGTTACTTTGGTCCCAGCTCTCTGCAGGTCATTCACCAGGTCCCCCCGTGTGGTTCTGGGATCTTTGCTCACCGTTCTCATGATCATTTTGACCCCATGGGATGAGATCTTGCGTGGAGCCCCAGATCGTGGGAGATTATCAGTGGTCTTGTATGTTTTCCATTTTCTGATGATTGCTCCCACAGTTGATTTTTTCACACCAAGCTGCTTGCCTATTGTAGATTCACTCTTCCCAGTCTGGTGCAGGTCTACAATACTTTTCCTGGTGTCCTTCGAAAGCTCTTTGGTCTTGGCCATGGCGGAGTTTGGAGTCTGACTGTTTGAGGCTGTGGACAGGTGTCTTTTATACAGATGATGAGTTCAAACAGGTGCCATTCATACAGGTAACGAGTGGGGGACAGAAAAGCTTCTTACAGAAGACGTTACAGGTCTGTGAGAGCCAGAGATTTTCCATGTTTGAGGTGACCAAATACTTATTTTCCACCCTAATTTACAAATAAATTCTTTACAAATCCTACCATGTGAATACATGGATTTTTTTCACATTCTGTCTCTCACAGTTGAAGTGTACCTCTGGTGCAAATTACTGACCTCTGTCATCATTTTAAGTGGGGGAACTTGCACAATCAGTTGCTGACTAAATACTTTTTTGCCCCACTGTAAGTCTTTTCTCCCCTACAGTAAATATATTGTCTATTCAGTCAGATTTGGGCTTACAAGCCAAGAACAAACAGGAATTTGCAGGATGTGATTGCTACATTCATGTAGTTGTGAAAAGCAATGACAGTATACTAAGTAATCCAAAGTATTCAGAATACGTTACTCACACTGAGTAACTTAACAGAATACATTTTAAAAGTAACCTTCCCAACACTGACCCGGGGTCTGCTTGGTTCTCTTCCTGGGTCGACCTCTTGTCCTGGCAATTACCGCCTCCTTCTTCACAGTCTCTCCCACCTCGTCCACCATCACAAAATTGAAACTCTCCTCTAAAACAAGAAATCAGAGGTCACAGGCAGTATTGACAGTAAAAACTTTCATTTTGTGTTGAAATATACCCAAGTTAAATGCTGTCTTCTAAGAGGGCGATGTGGGAAAATCTCCATTTAAATAAAACAATATTTCTGTCAAGCATAAAGTTTCCTGTTTCTCCTAAGGGATGATATAGGTTTAAGTTTAATCTAAATGCTTTTCTTGAAGTTGAACTAGTTGAATGAGACAATTCTTAGCAAGGTAGATGACTACCTTAGTTAGGCACACCCAAATTTTTCAAGCGCCTCACTTAACACTGCAGTTTGACATGTACACTTTTTTTGCTTTTTTATTTAAGTGTTTATTGAAGTTATGCATAAAATAAAATGTACAATATTTGATGGCTTCCTTTGTTCTAAGACTCATATGTACAGTTGTCTGGATGACCGCCATCACTTCAAGTAGTTTTCCTTCATGCAGGTATGAAAAAACAGAGAAAGAAAAGGAAAAAAACAAAACACACAAACAAAGAAACATGTGTACAGTGTTACTGTTTCAGATATTGAGGAGGGGTACAACACAACACTGGTCCAGGAGGGTTAGGTCAAACAATGATTTTAATGAACACACGCGTGGGAAGATGAACACTGTCACACAATCAGCATAGATCTCCTCCTAACAATACACAAGGCGTTGTATTATATCATCAGGGTATTATTACGCCCCCTCTTGCGTCAAGCAGATACAACACATGCATAAGTTTCGGAACCACAAATGTTCTGTTAATGACTTTTGACTCATTTGAAAAGAACATTGTCTCCGTCTCCACGCCAGGTGCTTCCTGTAGATCTTCTTGCTCTTGCTTATCTCTGGAACATCAGACGCACGTCCTGCAACAAACTGTCACTTATGCAGGCACAAAATGCAGTTACAAGCTTGCAAACTAGGCATGAACTCTTACCTAGAAATGAGTCTACCTACTAGGGCTGCACGATTAATCGTTAGAAAACCGCGATCTCGATTCATACTTATGTGCGATCTCATTTCCAAATGGCAACGATTAAAAAAAGAAAAAGAAAAAAAAAGACGACGACGACTGTACCGCATTTTAATCCGGGACGTAATCTGCGTGAAAACAAGCGCTCACTCTTCCTGCTCAACAAATGACAAGGGCGGAGCCTTATACCACGTGATATAGAAGCTGTGCCGTGTGATGCTAAAATTAGCAAGGAAAAAAGGAAAAAACAACGGAGAGAACGTCAGGGATGACGAGAAAGTGACAGGAGAAAATCCGTCCCAGTCAACCACCCAAACATCAATAACGGGAACCTTATACAGCGCTTCCCTATACCCGTCGAACTCCCGCAGGCACAAAGAAATTACGGAGGCTATCACTTATCACCTGACCAAAGATATGGCTCCCATCAACACTGTGCAAAACGAGGGATTTAGGAAAATGATCAACACCCTAGACAAACGCTACACAGTGCCGTCCCACAACTATTTTTCTATTGTTGCACTACCTGCTCTATACACGCAGTGTCGAGCAACGGTGGAGACGGAATTTCAAACAGTACAACATTTTGCGGCAACAACAAAACGTGAGACAATTGTTGTTTTTATGTTTATTTATTGTTTTTATGTTCAGTTTCAACTGTTACGAAGTTGATGTGCAGTTAATAAGTGCAATAAATATTTATATTGGAAAAGAAAATCGTGAGAGAATCGTGATCTCAATTCTAAGCCAAAAAATCGTGATTCTCATTTTATGCAAAATCGTGCAGCCCTACTACCTACTACAGTGGGGCAAAAAAGTATTTAGTCAGCCACCGATTGTGCAAGTTCCCCCACTTAAAATGATGACAGAGGTCAGTAATTTGCACCAGAGGTACACTTCAACTGTGAGAGACAGAATGTGGAAAAAAAAATCCATGAATTCACATGGTAGGATTTGTAAAGAATTTATTCGTAAATCAGGGTGGAAAATAAGTATTTGGTCAATAACAAAAATACAACTCAATACTTTGTAACATAACCTTTGTTGGCAATAACAGAGGTCAAATGTTTACTATAGCTTTTTACCAGGTTTGCACACACAGTAGCTGGTATTTTGGCCCATTCCTCCATGCAGATCTTCTCGAGAGCAGTGATGTTTTGGGGCTGTCGCCGAGCAACACGGACTTTCAACTCCCGCCACAGATTTTCTATGGGGTTGAGGTCTGGAGACTGGCTAGGCCACTCCAGGACTTTCAAATGCTTCTTACGGAGCCACTCCTTTGTTGCCCGGGCGGTGTGTTTTGGATCATTGTCATGTTGGAAGACCCAGCCTCGTTTCATCTTCAAAGTTCTCACTGATGGAAGGAGGTTTTGGCTCAAAATCTCACGATACATGGCCCCATTCATTCTGTCCTTAACACGGATCAGTCGTCCTGTCCCCTTGGCAGAACAACAGCCCCATAGCATGATGTTTCCACCCCCATGCTTCACAGTAGGTATGGTGTTCTTGGGATGCAACTCGGTATTCTTCGTCCTCCAAACACGACGAGTTGAGTTTATACCAAAAAGTTCTACTTTGGTTTCATCTGACCACATGACATTCTCCCAATCCTCTGCTGTATCATCCATGTGCTCTCTGGCAAACTTTAGACGGGCCTGGACATGCACTGGCTTCAGCAGCGGAACACGTCTGGCACTGCGGGATTTGATTCCCTGCCGTTGTAGTGTGTTACTGATGGTGACCTTTGTTACTTTGGTCCCAGCTCTCTGCAGGTCATTCACCAGGTCCCCCCGTGTGGTTCTGGGATCTTTGCTCACCGTTCTCATGATCATTTTGACCCCACGGGATGAGATCTTGCGTGGAGTCCCAGATCGTGGGAGATTATCAGTGGTCTTGTATGTTTTCCATTTTCTGATGATTGCTCCCACAGTTGATTTTTTCACACCAAGCTGCTTGCCTATTGTAGATTCACTCTTCCCAGTCTGGTGCAGGTCTACAATACTTTTCCTGGTGTCCTTCGAAAGCTCTTTGGTCTTGGCCATGGCGGAGTTTGGAGTCTGACTGTTTGAGGCTGTGGACAGGTGTCTTTTATACAGATGATGAGTTCAAACAGGTGCCATTCATTCATTCATAATTTACAAATAAATTCTTTACAAATCCTACCATGTGAATTCATGGATTTCTTTTTCACATTCTGTCTCTCACAGTTGCAGTGTACCTCTGGTGCAAATTACTGACCTCTGTCATCATTTTAAGTGGGGGAACTTGCACAATCGGTGGCTGACTAAATACTTTTTTGCCCCACTGTATGTGTGTGTATGTGTGTATGTGTGTCTCGACCTCAAATGCACTCTGTCTCCCCTCGCCAACTAAACTCATGACCTCTTAGCAGATAGAAGCCACTCTCATATGTGTAACAACCTAACTGAAACTATATACGAAATGTATTGAATAAATGCTTTAATCAAATGCCACTAGATACAGTTTGTAACTATATACATCCAGAGAGATGGCAATTGAAAAGCCAACACACTAAGTAGCTGATTAGTACGTTATTATAAAAAACAAACAAAATAAACAAATATTTAAACAGCCATTCCTTCAGTGATGAATATCAATGATATCTGGCCTTATGGAACTCACACAGTGGAGCCATTTTCCCCAGTGTTTTACATATTTCTCATACTCAAAATTCACTAAAATAAGTAATCTTTTCCATATTATGAATCTCCAAAGTTACATCAATATAGCTGTTTAATGTTGGTGGATCCTTTTGGTCAGTGCCTTTTTATTTGCAGCTAGCAGCACACAAAGTAAGTATTTATACATACCCTTTATGTCTGAGGGTATGTATTCTAAAAATATGGATTTGAAATCAAAGTGTAAATATGTACTAAATGTGTTTTGCATCACTGTATGGACGTCTATCCAGTAATTCTTAATATTCTTACAAACCGAAATTATATGGTAGTGGTGTGAGGTTTCGTAGCCACAGTTCCTCCAACATTCACAACTTCCATCATCATAATGCGCCTTTAAAGCTGGGGTAATGAAAAAACAAGCAAAACCTTTCTAGCAGAACTTCCAAATATGTGATTTTGTTCTTCTCCAATGAAAAGAACAAATGTTTTGCCATTCCTCTTCTGTAATCACCAGACCTCCCTCTTTCTCCCATCTTTCTTTTATATACTTGGTTGAATAATTGCTGAGATCATGAAGACTTTTGTATATTTGTGAGATTACACCTTTCCTAATTTCTGACTTATGAGCATTTAAAAAGAGTTGGATAAATGGCCTCGCTGTAGTAGGTATTTGGTTTTTAATGTTTCGAGTATAAAAGTTTCTTAACTGTAAGTATCTATAGTGGTTTTGGTTTTCTAAATGAAATGTTTGCTTTAAAGTTTGGAAACTCACAATTTCATCTTCCTTTACAATACCGCATATCAATGTAATTACTTTACCTATCCAGTTTTTAAAACTAGGGTCTACATGATTTGGTGTAAATTCCGAATCATATGCACACCATTTTAATAGTTTTATATTCTTCTGCAGCTTATTTTCTTTTGCCACCATTTTCCAAACACCTAGTGTGGCCTTTAGCCAAGGATTTCTTATTTTGGAAATGTAGTCCTGTAGATTTCTACCTGTATGTGCATATTGGTTATTGTTTTGCATTCAATTTCCTTCCAACACTGCCCTGCTCATTGCTGAAGTATAGTTTTGGGGGGGAAATTGATGTCCATAAAGACAATATTGATTTGTAAATGATTAACTAACAATCTTGTGTTTGTGCTTAAAGTGCTTTGGCACTCTTTGGCAATATTGTAGACAATATTAAACTTAATCATCACATCAGCCTCCTCTGACGACCTGTTTGCTGCTGCCTGCCGCTGAAAGGCAGTGGTGAGAGGGGACACTTGCGCAGTGCATTCATCACGACATATGTGTTTTCTGGATACATTGTGCTTTTTCAGCGTTCAGAGGTTGATGGCTCTGTGTCAGAGCACTGGCTATGAATTTCAGACGGATCAGGACTTAACAAAAAAGTTATCAATAGTTCTTTTCATCTTTTCTCATTACCCACAGCTACATCCACTTCTATTGGGCCTAGGCTACTCACTAGGGCTGGGTATCATCACTGATTTCTATGACATGAAGGAAATTTTCCTGGCCTGGCTTTTTATAGCAGATAAATATAAGAGAAATATTAAAAAATATTACCGTAAACCGTTTATTTTGCGACACCACGAAACAAACGATAGCGTAAAATGAAACGATAGATGTTTTTATATCGTCATCCGATATATATCGTTATATCGAACAGCCCTAATGTCAGAGGGAATTCATGACGATGTTTATCAAATGTGAAGCGCAGTTTGCTGCTTCTTTTGCTGCTGGATCAGTGAATTTTGGTCTGAGAGAGACAAAACCTGCTAGGGCTGAACGATATATCGCATTTGCGATAATATCGCGACATGATCAAGTGCAATTTTCTAACCGCAAAGGCTGTGATTATACTCTGGACATGTCCAAATTCATGGGCTGCATCCTCCTGAGGCCGCATTTGTAGACCGATTACGTCACAGCGACGCGCCGAAGGCTGTCCAAATTACTACCATATCCCAGAATTCATAGCGCGGCCCAGCCAAACTCCAGTTTCCAGCAATGGCGGCCGCTACTAAGTTTTAAAATTACTCATACTAATCTTTCAGGATCACAAAATAAACTTTTAACATATTTTCAGGCGAGAAAGTAGTTGTGTAAACATCAAATATCTGCTCGGTTTATCAAGATATCGCATATTTGCAAAAGTGCTTCGACGTTTTCAGAGGCATCTGCTACCCACCAGCTCGACAGCTAGCCGGGAGCTCGAGGGTTACTGATGCGGCCGAGAACGGCACAACTCCCGGCACATCATTTTCAGATCACCGCGGAGTTTCGCTGCTCGGGTTAAACGTAATATATACGTCACTTAGACAACCTAAAAATGTTATTGTTGGGCTTTTTTCAGTGTTTTGTTTGTTCGTGAGTAAATCGGTTTGGCTGAGATTAAAGTTATTAGATTAGATAAAATAAAACTTTATTAGGTGGGTTCCTCCTTGGTTTTCACACAGCTGACTAAACGTCAAACAGAAAACTTATTAAACAGAAGTATGAGACAGTCGAGAATTTACACCAGTGTCTGGTTATATTTTAGATAGCAAGAAGCAGACGGCCGAGTTTATTAAACTCCACCGAGACAGCGGTGACGCTAATCAGAACTAGACCGTCCAATTTCACGCCTTTAAATTTTAAAGGCATGTTTGTGTGTGTGTTTATACAATTGCTATTATGTTTGCACTTTATGTGTAATGTTACTGACTGCAGAGATCAGTAAGATGTGTGTATTTTTTATTTATTAGTTTTATTTATTTAATATTATTTTTTAATTTAATGACTGTCTAGTAGTTCACAGATGTCGAAAAACTGAGTGTGGTAAAGCCACTGGTTTTTTTTATGTATATTTCTGCAATCTGCACATTGTACTGACTTTCATTTTAATGTTTACACCAGGGTTCCTTGTCAGCACTTTATGCTCAGATGTTTGTAAGCTAAAAATAAACTATTGTGTATGTTCAAATATACTGTTGTGATTGAAGAAGTTAAATAAAAATGTCAGTCATCAATTCATGCATCACCTCATGTCATCATAACAGAGGTCTGTCTTCCAGGAAAGAACAGTTTAAAATTAATGTAATATAGTATTGGCCATACTATATGATGTATTGCTTGTCTTTGTTTAATAATACAGAAGACAAAGACCTTAAAAAATAATCGCATATCGCATCGCAATCGCAATATTGGGGCAAAAAATCGCAATTAGATTATTTTCCATAATCGTTCAGCCCTAAAACCTGCTACTCAGAATCAAGAAAAAAAAAAAAGACAAACACAAAGCGCAGACCCACCAACGCATCAGAATCAGTGAGCTGTCGGCTTTCAGCCCGACGGTGTGTCCGTGTACAGGCCGTTGGGTGAGAAAGCCGAGAAAGAGAAAGCTGATTCTGATGTGTCGGGTCCGCTCTGTGTTTACGTCTTTGTGTGGAATCTGTTTACCTGCTCTCTCGTTTGCTGTTTGGTGGTTGTTGAAATAGTTTTGTGAGCTTTAACCCGAGATTCTGGTGTTTCTGGCAAAATACATTTATATTTAAAACTCTATTCAGGATTTAATGAATCAATATCGCTTAATTCAAGATACTCAACTCTCTCTATCCACCTGCACTTTCAAACATGTACTAAAGACTACAGGAATATCTGGACTTTCAGAGTTGCAGAGACTTTTTTTTTTGTTACTCGAACAGCTGGTCGCACCGGTGTGACCTAAGGTTTATTTTAGTCGCACCATTGAAAAATTTGGTCACATTTGTGACGCACTCTAGAGCCCTGCCAACAAAAACTATGCTGTACACATTCGCTTCTCCTCCACAAAATCTGACCGTGCAAATCAAACTCTGTTGAGGTGGTGGTTTGAGTGTGTGACTAGGATGCCTCCTGGGAGACTCCTAGGTGCTTTGGTTTACATTTCTTCAGTTCTGAACAGCAGAGCAGGCTTTCTTGTTCAAGGTCATTTGATGTCCTATTGGGAGGAGGCCCCGGGGCAGATCCAGCAATGAGACTATCAGGGAAGTCTGAACTTCCGACTGCCCCCACGACCCGAACTCGAACAAGCAGTTAAAAAAATGGATGGATGGAGAATGAAACTGACCTGTTTCATCATGTTTGCGTTTAGCAGATCCTGATGTCTTCTCTGCTTCCTCTTTTACCTCAGCTGCTGTCGCAAAAGTCTAAAAACAAAGACACGAAATCACGACCATCGAGTTTTCTGTTTTTACTAAAGAGGAAACAAAGATGCTCAAATAAATCTCAACATTACCTCTATGTCTGCGGCCTCCACCAATTGGCTCTCCTGTGTTGGTGGGCGGGGCTCCACTGTGCTTTCCTCTGCCTTTTCCCCCTCCTCCTCTTCTTCTTCTTCAACAATCTCATCCAGAGTGATGAGCTCTGCAGGTTCTCCCTTGGTGATCTCCCTGCTCCAGTCCTGACCCTCCACTGCTTTTTCCTCCCCAGCATCATCTGCTCCCACCTCATCCAGAGTGACCAGCTCCAGGGTGTCTTCCTCCAGATTTGTCTTTTCTTCTGGTGCAGCAGCCTCACTTTGGGACCCAGTGGCCTCTTTAGTATCTGTTTTTGGCTTCTCTTCCTTCGTTGCTGTACCAGACTCGTCTTCAGTAGATAGAGCATCACTAACCTCAGCAGTGTGATCCAAACACTCCTCTTTATCGACCACCTCCTCATCATCTGCATTTTTTGGCGATGCTGAGTCCTTATCGTCTTTAGGCACTGTTGGCTCTTCTGTATTCTGGTCTTTCAAAGGCTCATTGTCAGCCGTCTCATCCTCAACCAAGTCAACAATCTGATAAATGGCCTCCTCCTCATCAGCCACTTTACTAGATGCAGCATTCTTTAAGGCAGCTTGTTTTTTAGTTACTTTAGTATCCTTCTTTGGTCTTCCCCTTCTTCTTTTTTCCGGAGTTTTGGCCCGTTCATCCTTAATAACTTCATCCTGCACTGGGTCTACTATTGTAAAGGTGGCATTCTCCTCGCTCTTCTTTGTTGGTGTGCTCTCTTTCACTTGAGTCTGCTGAGGTTCCTCCTTGTTTGGTTCCTGAGAATCTCTGGCAGGTGTCGGCCGCCTCCTCGTTGGTGTCTTGTCTTTTTTTGAGACGTCTTCTTTAGTTTCTCTTCCTCCTCTGGTTGACCTTGTTGTGATGGTTGGTTCGTTCATGGCAGCCTTACCCTCCACTGAGTCTAGGATCTCGGACGTAGATTCCTCTTCCCTGACGGTTTTTATACATGTAACTGTGGAAGTTGGCGTCTTTTTATCTTCTTTGTTTCCTCTGGCCGACCTCCTTCTACCAGGCCTCTCTGTGGTGGAGACATCTTGAACAAATTCATCTTCAACAGAATCCACTACCTCAAAGATCATCTCCTCCTGTGTCTCTTTCTCCTCTCTTTTAGATGTTCTTGTTCTCGGTCTACCCCTTCTTGTTGGTCTTTCAGCTTGTTTAGCCACTTCAACGTCTTTCTTGGTTTTTTCCTCCTTGTTCTCAGCCTCTGCCTGGGTCTCTGTGGTCGGTGGCTCTTCTTCCACAGAATCAATTACCTGGTAAGCTTCTTCCTCTTCTTCAGTTCCTTCAGTGACTGCTTTCGAAGTATTAAGTTTCTTCTCGTCATCTTCTCCTCTGGTGTGATCATTGACTGAATCTAACTTCTCAGAGGCTTTCTGTTTAGTAACATCTGCTGAACTGCCTTTGTTTTCTTGTTCTTCATTATTTGGAGTTTGGCAAAATGCTTTGGAAGCTTTGCTTGATTTTTCTGAGAGCATCTCCTCATTCATTTCTTTTCCATCTCCACTGGACCTTGGAGTTTGGTTCATGCTTGGATCCAACCCTTCTTTTTTATCAGCTGCATCTGGTTCTTGAATCTTTTCCTCAGACAGCTGCTTTGCTGTGGCACCTTCATCTTTGACCAGATGACTGTCCCCTTGGACTGTACTGGCTTGGTCTTCACTAACGTTGTCTATCACATAGAGAGGAGCATCCGTTTCTGTTTTACTGGACTCCTCTGAGCCTTTATCATCAATGCTGTTCAAGACCTGACTTTCCCCCTCATGCGAACTCTGGGTTTGCTCAGGCCCTGATGACTCTGTTTTAGTCTCTTGGTTTGAGTCTTCATCTATCTGTTCATCTGTTGGCTTGTCGATCGAATCAAGGATCTGGTAACTTTCACCATCATCCTCCTCCTCCTGTGGATATTTCCCCACATTGTCTTTTTCCCCATCTTCTTTGCTTTTCTTTGACTCTTTGTGTGCGTCCTTACATTCAGTCTCCAGAGTCTGTGTTTGGCTCTTCATCCCTAATCCCTCTCCCTCTGCAGGTGGTTGTGTCTCTGATGATGTTTCCACTTTAGTTTGATTTTCCTTTGCTGACACTTTGAGGTCAGACTTTGTTGCTGCACTCTCCTCTGTTAGCTCTGCAGCAGCGGTTGATGCCATTTTTGAACGGGTCCTATAACCCGAGGACAAAGAATGCGTCAATTTGTCTGGAGGTTTGCTTGGCTGTGTTTTCTCACCAGAAAAGGAAACAGGCTTACTGACACTCACAGAGGATTCGGGTTTGGTGGATTCAAATGAGTCTTTACTTTTTCGTAGTGAGGAGGTTGAACTGCTTTTCTCAGAAAATTTCGTGGGCTTGGATGAGGGAGAGGCTGAGCTGCTGGAGTCTTTGGAGGACCCTGCTGAGGTTCGTTTGGAAGCAGGAGATGCAGCTGAACTTTGACTTTCTGCATTCTCTGTGGACTTTGGCTTAGTTGAAGAGGAGCTTTCACCATTGGGGTCTGCGTCTGCTGCGTCATCGTTAATTTCATCAACAGTGACAAAGTCGTCCACATTGAAATCCAGCTCACCAAAAGGGCGGCTCTCTGAAGAAACTTTCTTCTTTAAATTATCAACTTGAACCTAGATGGAAAAACCAAAAACAGTCTGTGGAGCCATGAAACAGCTTACCCTGTAATCAGAGTGTAACTATCAACAAATGTCCCTCTGTCCACAAAAACCTCCTATATGACCAGTAACCACATGACCAATATTCTCAGAGTGATTAAGCGTTTGAGTTAGCCCAGCCGCCCACCCCCACCACCCACAAGAGAAATCCTCGTGGGTCTGATGAACTTTTACCTTTTCGTTTGGTGCGTCTTCATCCTGTGCCCTACTAGGGCTGCTGATTTTGCTCTGGAAATGAAGATAAGAAAAAAAATTTACTGAATTAATTTCGTATTATTCTGTGCTGGTTTTGATAAACACCTAAAATATAGCCTGAAATGTGTTTAATGAGTGGTGACGCCAAAAATTGGACATACACAAGCTTGCAAAAAATAAATAAGACTATATGTAGTGATGACCTTCGCTTTAATTTATCTGTTCCAGAAATAATGCAAATCTAAAAATGGTATCTTCCTCATTAGTATAGTGGACAGTATCTCCGCCTGTCACAATGGGGAGTGAGTAATCTCCTTCTCTGCTCTGCCTTCGGCTGATCAGGTGTCACAGACGTAAACTGCCAGTCTACTACTTATGTGAAATACAGACTTCGAAAACACTTTCCCCGTGATTGGAAGGTCGGGGGTTCAAATCCACTGAACGGCTACCCTGAGGTAACCCTGAGCAAGGTACCAACCCTACACATGGTACGCCTGCTTAGTGGCTGCCCACTGCTTCACTGAGTGAACGGGTCAAATGCAAAGAGAGTAATTTCCCCAGGGGGATCAATAAAGTATACATTATTGTTATTATTATCAGCATTAATTATTCATACAGCCTGCAGCTTTACCGCAACAATCAACAGTGTACTACTATACAATGCTCATATGTGATCTCCAACATAAGGCTTTTAGTGTCTTAAGATATTTTGGGACAACACAGTGAAATTTAAAGTGTTACCTCTCTGTCCTTGCTCTGTGCCCTACTTTCTCGACCCTGTCTATGCTCACGAAGCGCCGCTGTAATGGCCATGAAAACGTCCTCGTTGATGTGAGGAAGTTTTGAGTCTTTTTCCTCAGACTTGACTGGGCTTGTTGCTGAAGGAGCAGTGCTAGAAGCGGCGGGGGCGGCGTTTGCATCAGGAGTAGTGACCAAAGTTTGTGGTGGCCCCTCTTCCTTCACTGCTGCTTTCTGGCCTTCCTCACTTGGCTGCAGGACAGCGGTCGATTCTGCGGCCTTCTCGGTTTCCAGTTCGAGGTTAAGTGTGTTCTCACCCGAGTCTTGCAGACGCTGTTTCAGACTCTTCAAACTGAATTTAAAAGCAAAGATGCCAGTAGGTTACTATGAAAAGAAGTTTGTTGTCACAAAATGTTAATGTGAAATAAGAAATTCCATTTCAAATTTCTAATCTAGAGTTGCTTATGTCTAAATCACACTCTTCTCTTTCTGGATCTTTGGGAACTGTTTACTATAGCACAACCTTGAGGAGTGTAGCAGTCATCATGACTGTTTTGACTCTGCCATTAAACCTGAAAATGAAAGATACTCACGACTCAATACGTCCGACTTTACTCCTATGAAGAGGAGAGAAAAAAGCACAAGGTCAGACAAGCATGAAGACACTTTAAAGAAAATAAAAACACACAATCTAAAATCAATTTCCTCTTTGTCTCACTTCTGATTGTGGGACACACTTACCAAGAAGATAAATAGTCCTTGGTGACATTGCTCTCCATCACCTGTGTTAATCCACCAGGTTCAGCCATCTCAATGCATATCTGAGAAAACAGAAAGATATTACATCAGTGACAGTACAATTGTTTTCTTCCTGAGGATATTTGAGCAACACAGTGGTACTCAAAGGGTGCACTACAGGCCCAATTTGTGAAAGTAACAGGACAGAGGTCCTGGCGAGTTTCTTTACTGCCCTCTACGATAGTACAACTTTTTGTTAAAAGAACAAAAAAATCTTGATGTTTCAAACTTGCAAATGGAAAATAAACGCAAACATATTTCTATACTTTTGTAAAGTTTTTGATTAAAGAATAAAACCACTGAGCAAGAAACAATAAAAGAATAACTTAGTGCTGTCTCAAACTGCAGGCATCTTCCCTGCTAGATGGGCCAGGACGAAAGGCTGGACAGGTCATAAGATTATCACTTGGTTGAGAACTTAGTGCATTTCAGGCAGTCCTTCACCAGTATTTGCAAAGGCATGTGAAATTCAGATTGCCTGCTGCAGGGACTGTCTGAATATTAAAACTTGCTGAACTAGTGTTAAAAAAACAAAGTCTCCTTCAGACTCATTTAAAATGTTTCTCAATGTTAAAAGTCTTGCTTAAAGCTGGAAACAGAATAAAATAAGATAAACTTAAAAACATAGTTTAAAAACCACTTGATCATCACAGTATAAGAAAGTTACACCACTTAAACTTTTTTAATGTCTTCATTTTCCATGTTAACCACTTATTGCTCTCTTTATCTTCCCTGATTGAATTTTTTCTGATTTTCACTGTTGGTGGAATTGTGCATGCAGCTCACTCAGGTTGCATAGGCAGTCCAGCTCCTCCTGAATGGCAGTCACAAGAAGATCTGCCATGTCTAACAGTGCGGCCTCAACAGTGTGGAGAAAATATTAGGAGATGGTGTGTTATAATGGTTTGTAGTGATGGGATTTCCAACTCTTTTTAGAGAACCGGTTCTTTCGGCTCGGATCACTAAAAATTTAGAATTTTTGTAATCATCTTGTCCTTTTGGGGTATAATAAAACCCATTTTTTGAAGATTACATTTGTGCCTGTGTGTTCCTGGCTGCTTGGTTCATGACAGGGCCATAGAAGAGCAATGACCATTCAGCAGGTATCCTCTACTTTGTACAAGGAGAAGGACTGCTAAAGCCAAACTGAAGTTCTCTGAATTCTAACTGACTGTTATTCTGCAATGATCAAGTGCAATGTTCCCTCTAATTTTTCATGTGTCTGAGCGAACGCACAAATTCCATGAACGGTCCCTTGGACCACTGTGAGCAACAGCAGACGTGTGCACTGTGGTCACGCCACCAACGAATCCATCCAAGTTACATGGTTTATTAAAAATAGTCAAATTACAGCATTTACATTTATGTTAGACTACTTTTAATTAACTGCTTTAGCCCACTTATAATGAAAATTAGAAAAGAAATCGTGTTCATGATCTGTGTAGTATGTTAACACTATTGGAAGTAAAAATAACTTTTTGAAAACAACTTTCTTTTTTGTTAGATTATAAAGCTCTGACTTGTATTATGAGTCTGTGGTCTGGTAGAGAGTCCTGTAACTCTCTGACTGCAAAATACAGTATATAATGACCAATGTTGGGCAATTAATTATATAGTTCTTCACAAAGTTACTGAGTTATGCAAACAAAGGTTTTTGCAGCTGTTTACCCCAAAATGCAGTCCAGGCTTCTTTTAAACAAACATTTCAAACTATTTACAGAACAATCAGCTGTTCTGCATCAAATTTGATGCCAAACAAATTTTTTGTGCCACTCCAAAACATCCCCCTTCCTAAACAACTAAATGCCATGTTGCCATATCATTTTTTGATTGGTCTAGATGGTACATTTTTCCACCAATAGGAAAGGGTAGGGTTTTTTTGGTTTTGTTTTTGCTCACAGGCTCAGAGTGCTTTCAAATGTTTTCCTTATAAAACGCAGTTTTTACCGTTTCTTCCCGCAGTAAATATAAACAATGATAGTATTCAGGAAGAAAACCAAACATCGCATATTTTTATCATAACTCTGGTTTTACGTGGCCAATCAACACAATTTAAAAACTGGTGTAACGTCCACACGTTTTCCATCAATTGTTCCGTCTGTCCTGCTCACATCTCCAATGGTTGTACACGTTGTCATTAACGTGGCTTCACTCCACAGCAGCCACGCCACTTTGCTAGCTAAAACACCGGTGTTGGCACATAAGGACGCTGTCATAGCCTGTCAGCGACGTTGATTAGCTGCGTATATACGAATGTGAATCGCGTGATTGGCTGGACTATGGGATAAGGTGGCAGCCAGTCACTTACTGACTAACACTGCAAACCAGAATTGTTAAAGCTTTAATTTAATTTCAATTCAGGTTAGATTTTTTTTTTTTTTAGGTTTTTTCTAACCCTAACCCTGTGCGCAGAGACCGTGCCAGAAGTGCGCAATTGCGCACGCACGCAGCTTAGAGGGAACATTGATCAAGTGTTCCCTTAATTTTATTAAGCAGTTTAAATTGAACCAAACTGTACCAGCTTTGCGGGTGAAATGTAAGGCTTAAAACCTTCTGAAGACTTTTCAGAAAAAGCTGCATTTTAAGAGCAGCAGACACCATGACAAGCCTTGCAGATGTAAAACGTGAAAAATTTGCAGGTGTTTATGAAATCGTACCCTGTTGGCAAGCGGCAAAAATCTGACAAAAGCAGCAATGGGAGCCACCACTTTCATGATCATCATGACAAGGTCCACATTCACCTCGGAGACCTCCACAATCAGCAGCCGGTCCTCCAGAGACTCAGACTGTGGAACATGCTGAAAAACAACCAGTGTTAAGATCAGGGAGACCCGAGCCTGCTGCTTTTACAGGACAGATTTATGTGACTGCTGACTTACAGTGCTGCTCCATTTCATCATGCTTCTGTACATGCTCTCCTGTGAAAAGAGTAGAAGATGAAAGCGGCTCACATCAATTACTTATCCTCTGTTTGTAAAATAACTATTGAATAACTCTCCTCCTGGTTAGAGTGTTTTTAATGTTCTATTGACCCCATTTAATAAGATAAATATTGGACTCCACTGTAAGTGAGAAGTAACTCGATCCTGGTTTGCATCTTTGTGGCAAAGGATTCATACTTCAGGACAGTAACGACATAATATATAACCAAAGTTTTGCAAGAACTATTTGATGCTTTTTGAGTCTCAGTGACTTTCCGCAACAGTCGTCAGACCTCAATTCCTCTTAACATGTAGCTGTGGAGAGAGTTCTCACAAAGGGCCTGAATAGCTAGCCCGCAAGGAACCTTGAGATGGGAAACGCTGAAGCTAGAAGGTTAGCAGCAACTGAAGTTTCAAAATAAGTGAGGGCATTGCTTAATAGTCAGTGAAACACTCCATAACCTATGTCTGGGTCTTTAACGTTTACACAGGACTGACTTCACAAGAAGCTCTGTGGAAACTTTAAAGTGGTGGTGGAATGACGTGGGCTGTATTCTGAGTCTCATTCTATTAATATTAGCCCAGTGAAGGATGATGCTGTGCTCACTCCTTAGAGGAGGAATCTTTTTTGATTGGCATCTGAATAGTTTCAGTGAAACAGGAGCATGCCCCTGATTTAACAGCCCCCGATTGCTCCATTTTCATACCTCACTTGAACCAGGATGCACGTCTTGTAAAACAATGTGGATTCCTAGTCTCCGTCTCCGCTCTTCAACTGTAACTGGATCTTTGAGGTAATCTCTGGCGAAATCGCAGCACGCATCCCAGCTGTTAAAAAACACAAAGGCCTGGAGAGGAAGAAAGGGGACAAAATGATGCAGAGGAAACATTCAATATTAATCATTAAATTGAATTAAATTTGCAAATTTCTCTGTATCAGCCTGCTGGGTCTATTCCTCACCCTCCTCTGCAGTGATAAAACGATTATGTTGTAGTACAGAGTCTGAACAGTCTGATTAGGGAAGTAACGCCACACCAGCTTGGCGACATCCTCCTGTCTGTAGTTTCCTTCTGGCAAACCAGTCAACATGATCGTGGAGAACGTAGAACCTTGAGATTGGGCTTTCTACAAGACACAAGGTTCAAGAACCAAAGTTTATGTGAAGAGAAACTTTGCAGTACTTTTTAAAAAATATATTACTATAACTGACCACATAGAGAAGACAAAATGAAACCAATGAAAAAAAATGGACGCCTCTTGGTATTTACTCAAGGATTCCTGTTTAACACATGAAACCTTGGTTTATAAAATGCACTCACCTCAATGTCATCAGGTTCCCTGACAGTTAAATACTCTAGAAGTGTAAAACACACACAGTTAGTAACAGTCAACACTTTATATCTGGAAGTTAATTTTAGTTTCTCTCACCTGGGATTGTGAACCAAGGAGCGACAGTGGGGAACACAAAGGGACTAGTTGTCATTGTGATCCAATATGGTGAAGTGCTGCGTTGTGGGACGGTAATATCTTCTGTTGGGACAGCTGCCCCGTCAACAGCAACATCGCTGTCTGGCAAAGCTTTGTGTGGCAATCTTGGTGCTGCACAAGCAAAAATAAGTTTTGTTTAATTTGTGTGTGTGTGTGTGTGTGTGTGTGTGTCAGGTTTTTAACTGACTTTCAGTTTAACTTTAAGCACCTTTACAGATATCCAAGGTATCATAGGCATCAGGAAAAAAATGATTAGAGAGTTAGACCAAATGCCAGTCTGAAAAAGTGGAGTTTAAGTAATGGCTCTGGTTCATGTGTCTAGGGCAGAGATAAGCAGAAGGGAATTGACCGCTGATGGACCAAAGATTTCTGGAGGGGCCAATGAGCATCAAAGGATTTGTGGGAAGGAGAATCACAGTGTTAGTGGATAAAAGTTGAGGGAATGCGTTGCAATAATTTATTGTGGATGACGATAAAGCAGCAGTTTTGCATATGTTGCAACCTTTCTCGGACTTCACTTTATCCACAGTCCAGGGAAGAACTGAAAATATATTCATGACTGTTTCACAAACAGAAAGTGAAGGAAAGATTATTATCCAGACTCTGTGTGATAGATGTGATGTGTTTCCACGATGGTGGAGATGGGAGCAGCTGGTGCAGCACTGGAGACAAAATAGATTTTGCAATATCTGGTAGTGAGGAGCCACAGCCCTGAGCTCAATCATACTGTTGAAATTTTTGAGGAAACTTCAGAATAACCGGGGTTACTGGCAGTGTTAGTTATTTCGGACCTGACTACTTGTATTTCAGTATTGATAAAACTGAACTCCGAAAATATCTCTAAGTTCCTCTTTTATGACTTCAGACAGTTCTCCTCGCAGGGGGTTTAGTGTTGGCTTTCAGTTCTTCAGCAGTCATGCCTGCCGTTTCAGTTAGGTCGGATGAGACTTAGTTCGATTCATCTGTATCACGTTGGCGCGTGGTTCTTCAGGCCGTGAGGTGTCTTCTTTCCACCAGAAAGTCTCACAGTAGTCTGTGGTTCAGCCCAATAAGTCCTTATTTTGTTCTCTAAGCAAACTTTAGGAGTTCAGAAAGTGACATTTATAAGAGAATTTTTCAGAATTCTGCAGCTCTACTAAGTTGTGTGTTACACCATGTCTTGCTCTATAGCGCCCGTAATTAGATGGATTTTAATCTGTCTCTAGTATCAGTATGCTTTTGCCACTCCTTGTAATCTTCAACTCACTTGCTTTTTTTGTGCATCACCCACTAAGATGACAATATTTGCCGTATTGTCCAAAGACAAGAGTCTCTTTGGACAATACGACCAATGTATAACATCAGTAACACACTACAACGGCAGGGAATCAAATCCCGCAGTGCCAGACGTGTTCCGCTGCTGAAGCCAGTGCATGTCCAGGCCCGTCTGAAGTTTGCCAGAGAGCACATGGATGATACAGCAGAGGATTGGGAGAATGTCATGTGGTCAGATGAAACCAAAGTAGAACTTTTTGGTATAAACTCAACTCGTCGTGTTTGGAGGACGAAGAATATTGAGTTGCATCCCAAGAGCACCATACCTACTGTGAAGCATGGGGGTGGAAACATCATGCTATGGGGCTGTTTTTCTGCCAAGGGGACAGGACGACTGATCCGTGTTAAGGACAGAATGAATGGGGCCATGTATCGTGAGATTTTGAGCCAAAACCTCCTTCCATCAGTGAGAACTTTGAAGATGAAACGAGGCTGGGTCTTCCAACATGACAATGATCCAAAACACACCGCCTGGGCAACAAAGGAGTGGCTCCGTAAGAAGCATTTGAAAGTCCTGGAGTGGCCTAGCCAGTCTCCAGACCTCAACCCCATAGAAAATCTGTGGCGGGAGTTGAAAGTCCGTGTTGCTCGGCGACATCCCCAAAACATCACTGCTCTCGAGAAGATCTGCATGGAGGAATGGGCCAAAATACCAGCTACTGTGTGTGCAAACCTGGTAAAGACCTATAGTAAACGTTTGACCTCTGTTATTGCCAACAAAGGTTATGTTACAAAGTATTGAGTTGTATTTTTGTTATTGACCAAATACTTATTTTCCACCCTGATTTACGAATAAATTCTTTACAAATCCTACCATGTGGATTCATGGATTTTTTTTTCACATTCTGTCTCTCACAGTTGAAGTGTACCTCTGGTGCAAATTACTGACCTCTGTCATCATTTTAGGTGGGGGAACTTGCACAATCGGTGGCTGACTAAATACTTTTTTGCCCCACTGTACCTCACCCAAAGCAATCCCACAGTACAGGAAGGCCAGCAGGACAAAAGCAGCTACCCTTACCAGACAGGTTTTACAGCCAAAAAAACAACCCACCATATTCAGGGTATTACCAGATGACCTTCCATCAACTTCACCTTTTTCCCCCCGTTTAAATCACATTTATTTAAAATCCCATTCAAAACACACTCACGCAGTGATGTAAATCCACTGTGTGGTATTTCCACCCTTGACAATTTGTGGCCAGTGGCCCGTTTTAGAAGGCTGTACCAAACACCAAGGCGATCAGCATCACACACAGACTCAAATTCAATTAACACCTGAAACACAAGAAAGATAAAATTTACTCTAAACATTTTAATTTCACATTCTAAATGGTAGAAAATGGAACACATGGAAACAGTGAGCTAAGCACAGCTTTATTGTGGAGTTCACTGGATTCAAAAGTCAGAAATCCTGGATCAATGAAGCACTGGAGCCGTGCTCAACGTGACCCCTGCACTAATGCTCTAATGTGATGAACACTAGTGCGCATGAGCATATGAAGAATCATGTGCTACAGCGAACAGATTACCTGCAGTCTCTCTTTACTATCTTTATAGTTTTGCAGTTGTGCTTTCATCAAGATAAGTAGCATCCAAAACCAGTCACATTATCTTGTTTTAATGTGTCTGTCAATTTTGGGGGGATAGTTAAGAATACACTTACATAAACACATACATCTCATACAGCCTTTCACAGACTTTTAAAACATGCACTTGTTGCTGCTTATAAGTGTGTTTATACCTTGTAGAGAAGAGGCAGGTAGTTTCTTACAATACCGATTTTTCCCAAAGCTTCTCTGAGATCCCGGAACTCGTCTGGTGAGATGTTCCTGATGTAGATTGTCCGTTCTCCAATATCTATCCCTATCTGTTTCGATAAACCCGGGTGAACATTAAAACAAACCAGAAACAGTATTTAGTTTAACAATATTTCATGCTTTCTTAAACTACAGTTCCAAGATCAAGGTCATAAGTTTGCACATATAGTCACACAACAGTATGCACCCTGGCAGCTATCTTCATTATCCAAACAATTTATAATTGCAGCTCTTGCTTTTGTTGATAACATTGTTTGAGAAAATATTTAAACTTAGCTGTGTACACAGAAAACCACTTTTGGCCCTTTCCCGGGTTCTTAGTTTTTTGCATGTTTCAAATAAAAAGACAAAAACAAAAAAAACAAAAAAAAACAATTTTTTTTAAAATACAAAATGCAGTTTTGAATGAGGATTTAACTTATTGCAGGAAAAAAGTTATCCAAACCTTTCCTAGCCATGTGTTAATATATGCTCATATTTTTCAAGGTGTTTTGACTTGGATGTGAGTGCTGCCAGTTATAACTTTATACTCTATACTTTATAAGGTATTCTAGTGTAGTCTGTGTTTCTGAGATATGTGTGCGTGTTACCTTCTTAACATAACACAGCCGATTCATCAGATATATATAAAACTCAAGCTGAAAGAAAAACAAATAGTTAAAAGTCATTACATCAAATAAATGTTGGATTCTGTTAAATTGATTTCAGTTCAAAGAGTATTTTTTATTACTTATAGCCTCTACAAAATATTACATTTTTTTTTTTTTACTTACAACCACATTTTAAATAGATTGAACATTTAAAAACATCAGCTTGCTTTTAAGGATACTGTTTCCATCAACAAGCAGAAACAGATTTTCAATTATTTTTAATAACATATCTCACAACAGTAAAGTGTATTATCTAAACACAGTGCTCACCGGGGTCGTTAAAAAATTCTTGTTCTTCACAACCTGCAGTCGAAGTTTAGACCCATTGAGAAAAAAATGTTTATCTTCTGATGCTAGCACGATGTTTTTGGCTGCCATTGCTGTCGGCATTAGGGCAAAAGCCTGAAGGAAAAACAAACAAACACTGACACACTGCGCTCACAAAATACGTAATAACTAAATGTTAGTTAGGTCGTCTTAGAAAAGACATTTAGAATCCCATTAAAATGAAGGTAATAATCCAGCCCAATGCAAATCCATGGCCTGGTGCTTACCATGCGCGCCTGTGGTATAACGTAGATCGTATCGTCGTAATATTCAAATCTGTGTGGAGTGAGCAGATCGGCGATGTCCTCCTCTTCATAACAGCCATCACGATACTTAGGCAGGTTGCTTATTAACAGCATCTTGCATTTAAGCGAAACAAGCTGTGCAAAAGAAAAGAATAAAGTCAGCGTTTTAGATTAGTTTACAATTGAAGAAATTCCGGACAGAAATCTCAAAAAGGCAAAACATTCAGTTAGAAACAGTGCCTCACTTTGAGCACTGTCTACAACTATGAACACAATGAGGTACATCAGAATAAAATACTGAGTACAAAATGTTTCTGATGCGGATTTTGGTTTGATTTCTTTTTTTTCTTTTTTCTTTTTTAAACATAGTACAGCTCAACCTTGACTCACTGATAAAAAAAAAAGGCAGTAAGAGTCAGCTATGAAAGTACTTTTCATTTAAGGTGGATCCTTAAAGAGTGATAACTGATTCACAAAAGGCAATGTGTAAACAGCACTACTGCGCTTTTCAAACTCAGGAAGGAAAAACTGTTTCTGTAGTAAAATATTTAGTATACACATCCAGAAATGCATACACTATTATATATTGTACATATATTTATTAGTTTCAGGTTGGCCATTCTTGTATTTTGCTCGTTTGTGTTGTTGTGTTTGCACATCTCTGTTGCTTGTGGGGCTCGCACACAAGAATTTCACTCGCATGTGCTGTGCCAGTGTGCCTGCAAATGTGATGTGACAATAAAAGTGATTTGATTTGATTTGATAGTAGACTGTTTAAAAAGAAAAGCTGGGCTTCTATTAATTTGTGAGGAACTTTCATCTCTTATGCTTCTTAAAAGGTTCTTTAGTTTTAAAACAACTTGCTGAGGTATTCAAGCCCCCTACTTAAACCCCTATTTTTTTAAGCACTCAAAACCACCATGTCCTGGATGATTGTGCATATAATTTGAACATTTCAAATTAGCTTTTTAATAACAGACTTTTTTTTTGCCTGTCCCGTTTGGCTCTTTTGCCATCAGAATTATTGTCTAAAGGCGAGGAAAGATGCCCAACGGATTTACTTTACGGATTTACCAAATTGACCATCCCAGCCTTGCCATAATGGTCCATTTGATTCACCTTTTATTGTTTATTTTATTTTCATTTGCTGAATACGGGACAGACTTGACTGGGGGAAAGAAGGGGAGAAGGAAAGGGGGAGAGAAAAAAAAACAGCTGAGAAGAGGGACGGGGGGGGGAAGGGCAAAAAAAAACCCCCAAAAACCAACAGAATAAGCAGAGAGAAAAAAAAAATGCATATATCGATCACCTGTTGAGAAAGAAAAAAGAAAACAAGCAGAAGAGAACAAGAGTAATATAATAAACAACATCACAATGATATATGGGAATATGACAGTAAATACTAAATATTAAACATTATTGTGCAGCACATAAGATCAACAGAACACAGTGTGCTTTGAGGTAGGAGCCAAAAGGGGTGTAGTTTGTGGGTGTGATCACCCGTGTGTACACCTGTGAGCATGGACGCGCTTGTTTTTTTAAAAGGTTCCTTCTTGTAATAATCTGCTAGAGGGTGTGGGGGGGCCACAGCCCCGTCCTCCAGGGTATGAAGCAGGTATGGAGGAGATCAAAACTCCAGACATCCAGAGGCCCTCAGAACACAAGAGACCTAGGAAGACCAACAGAGGGGCAGCCGCGCCACTGTCCCAGAAAGAGCTGAGGAGAGTCCCAGATGAGGGCTCACTCAGCAGCCGCGGAGCAGAAGCCAGGGGGGGTTGCAGTGACGTGCCCATGAGCTCCGCCGGCAGCCAGCTGTGCCTGGGTGACCGAGCTCCAGGCCAAGGGGCCCGGGGCACTCCACCTCCGGAGTGGCCCGAGCGAGCCCCAGGCTCCAGGCCCCGATAAGCGGCCACCAAGGAGTGAGCCGGTGTGTACCTGGACGCCCTTCCCCGGACACAAAGAACCACCAATGCACCGATGTCTGAGGGAGTCCGCCACCGGCAGGGGAAGTGGTGGGGGGTGGAGATAGGCCTCCATACCTTGGATGGCCTGAGATGTCCCCAGAGAGGTGGCGTCTGATACCCAACCTGACATATAGACACAGACATACAGGCACACACAGACACACACATCCATTCCCACCCTCATGCTCTCATATGCACTTACTCCACACTCAACCAACGTGGAGACAGACATAAAGAGACGCTGTACACACAATCACACTCCCCAAGCGTACTCTATGAACAGTGTTGGGGAGTAACGGAATACATGTACCGCCATTACGTATTTAAAATACAAAATATGAGTAAAAATTCAATTTAAAATTTTGTTGTTTACTTTTAAAATTACCAATAACACTGCACCAAGCTATCTTAAGGAACTTTTAAACCCATATGCTCCTGCTAGGGCTTTAAGGTCATCCTCACAGTTACTGTTGGTTCAGCCCAGATCTCGACTGAAATCTAGAGGTGATCGATCGTTTGCTCTAGTTGCACCGGAGCTGTGGAACAATCTCCCGATTGGCATCCGGGCGTCTGATTCTATTCATTCTTTTAAATCACGGCTCAAAACATATCTTTTTAAACTTGCCTTTTCTACCAGTTAAATGCTGGCTTGCTTGCAGTGACCTATTGTATTAAATTCTCTGCTTTCTTTCCATTATTGGTGTCTTTTATCATGGTGGTACAGTCTTACCTTGCTATAACCTATGTGTTGCAGTTTACTCTTATTGGTGGCTTTTACCTGTGAACATAATCCGTTACTTTTATGAATTTGATGTTAATGTGTGAACTGTTTTATTTTTTATTGTTTTATGTAAAGCACTTTGGTATGCCCAAGGCTTTTAAATGTGCTCTATAAATAAAGATTGTTGTTGATTGTTGTTAACTGTATTCCGTTACAGTTACCGTTTAAAAAGGTGGTATTTAGAATACAGTTACTTTGTTGAAATAAATGGATTACACTGCGGTACTTTCCTGTTTCATATTGTCGCGGGTCAGGACTGTTTGGGTTTTGTTTGACAGCTACGTTCTGTTGTTCCAGGCGGCAGCGTTACGGTTGCCATGGTTACAGGGCAACGCTCTCTCTCTGCAACTGTGTGTTTCCTGGGTGAGAGAGCGCCTTTTCGTTGTTGTTGTTGTGCTAAGCTAACAGGCGGAATGCTACAAGCATAGCTCTAAAGAATGTAGCATCATGGGCAGTGTAGTCCGTGTTGCAGGGAGAATGGACTGCCATACACGTTATGGGTCTGTGAGCGCGAGGAGGGAGAAAAAGGGGAGTGGAAAGGTACGAGTTGTCATCGAGGAAAAACGGGAGCTGGAAGCATGTAAATATAATAATAACCACTTCAGCCAAGAAGAGTGCCTGACGAGCCCAGTTGTAAGTAAGCTATTAAGACTCGACTGTACACCGTGTTCGTGTTTTCCTCTGAAAACAATAAGTTCCGTTGGAGCAGCCTTTCGACGCCTCTCTCTGTCTCTCGCAAGAAAAGTTGACCCACACAACAAAGTAAAGCTATTTTTTGGCTACGAGCCGACAGGGACCCCGCCGTATTAGTCAGAGGTCCCTTTACTACAGTTCGGAGTCGCGGACCTTCAGTAATAGTAATAAATCACACAGCAATAGTACATTCACGTAGTTGTAAAAAGCATGATAATATATTAAGTAATCCAAAGTATTCAGAATACGTTACTGTCATTGAGTAACGTAACGGAATACGTTACAGAATACATTTTGGGGCATGTATTCTGTATTCTGTAATGGAATACATTTTAAAAGTAACCTTCCCAATACTGTCTATGAACCAGGTCTAGGTACCCTTGCCCCTGGAGGGGGGAACTGCACCCAGACCCAGGTGGTGTTACCCTTTTCCCTGTGGTGGGGAGAAGCAGACCGCCCGACTCCACAGCAGCAGGGAGGCCCCACATTCCAGGCTGCAGTTGGACGGCCAACTCCTCCTCCTAGCCCCCCCGCTCCAGCAGGCCGCAGAGAACAGGGGTGAGAGAAGACTCCAAACCTCCCTCCGGCCGCTTATATGTAGTGTTGATGCATATGTGTTCTAAGGTGCATTTAAAACCCAGGAGGGCATGGAGCTACCTGCCAGAGAGCAGCAGGTAAGCGCATAGCCCCTCCTGCTAGCCCTCAATGTATATGTGTATTTAAAATTGAGAGGTGGGCAACGACGCCAGGGGTGAGGTGTACAGACTTTTAATATGTGTTAGTATACAAGATAATTTTTCGCCATCTTACAATGCTGTGATTGCAGCCATTCTCCAACTCTCTGTGAATAGTACTCATGGCCATTGATCAATGGGTTTTGATCAGTGGTTGTTGATCAATGGTCATGAGAATTTGCATAATTAAAATTAAGGGACTGACTTCCCAGCCCACTGTTCTTTCAGTGGGCTGATTTCAGTCATTATGCAAATGTGCTGTTTATAAGATTTGGGGAAACCTGCAGTCAGCTGAGACTGAAGAAGTCAGTTGGATGAGTGACGAAACGTTTCTCCCACAAAACGCTACGTCCAGATGAACAGAATCAACTTTTGGAGATACACGATAATTATTTTGTTTTGGTACTAAATTGGTAACCATGCTTTGTGTAATTCTATTAGTGTATGTAAATCTCTGGTATTGCGACATACCTACTGAGTTTTTAACATTTTTCTACATTTACACCCACTTGAGTGTCACCTGACAATGAGATATAACCCAACTATAAACTTTTAAAACAAATTGAACTATTTCAGATCAAAACTTAACCACTTTGACAAAGCATGTTTTTCTTACAGGTATAATTTAAGTGTTTTTTTAATGTTACCTTTTTACGGGGAAGCCTGACTGTCTTGAGACAAACTGTAAAGTGCAGAGCAAAAGAAAAACAAAAAAGTAATTATAAAATAAAAATTATGTTCACACTGGGAAATCTTTCATACAGATCTTTCGGGATTTCTTACGGATTTTTTCTGGACATAGTTGCTTTTCTATCAGTTCCTCAAATGTTGGGTGGGTAGGAGCGACCGGCTGATCCTTTGAGATCTTCTTTGCAGTCACAGAGACTTAGAATAAAGGAAATGTAGTTAAGTTAAATAGTGGTAGTTTAGATAGGATGCAAATTACCCAGCTGATTTAAATAAAAATCTGAAAACTGTTCTTGTCATGAAGCACAGTCTTTAGCTTTTGATTCCGTCCAACATCCTGCTGTCAAAGATACTCCACACTTGAAGGTGTTTTCTGTCCACTTACCTTTGTCCTTTGTAACCGTTTCTACACTTTCAACTCTTTGCTTTGCCTCCACAGAAATCTCAGGTGATTTTCCTGCAGTCTGCTGTTGTGTTTCTTCTTGTAGAGCAGAATCTGAGCTCTGTTCTGTCTGTTCTGAAGCTTTGAGTGAATCTTCTGGACTTTTGATGACAGTTTGTGGTTTCTGAGGTGGATCAGTGGGTTTTGGTGGCGATGTATTTGGCTTGGTCTCAGCTGCACTAGTTGGTAGTTGATTCTCACTCGATATAGTTGGTAACGTCTGATTATCTTTGCCGTCAGTAGAAGTTTCAACTTCTGTGTGGTCCTCCCTTTCAGAAGCTGATGATTTTCGTGCTTCACCTTTAGGCCCCATCGCAGATTCATGAATCTTTGTTTCAGGTTTCTTGTGTTTTGTCTCTACATCAGGCTTATCCTCTGACGTTGTTGATTTAGAAGGATCCACTTTTTCTTTTTTCAGAGTTCCTGCTGTTTTAGATTTCTGCGTCGTTGAGGCCGTTTCTCCTTTGGAAGTCAAGACTTTTGGCTCACCATCAACTGCAGCACCTTTAATTGGTTCAACAGCCTTCATAGTATTGGCTGTATTTTTAGGTGCCACCACAGCTTCTTTAGCACCGGTTTGAGACCCTTTGGGTTTACGTTTTCCTTTCAAATCACTGGTGTTAGGCTGCTTTTCGGGACTCTTCGTAGATTTACTCTTAGATTTTTCGAGGCTTGAAGCTGCTTCTTCAGCCTTATCACCAGTTTTTACAGTTTTAGCTTTTTGCTCAGCTGAGATGTTTTTCGCTTTGGAAACCGAGACTTTTGCTGTAGTTTCCAGTTTAGTTTTTGTGGTTTTCTTGGATGCAATTTCCTGCAAACAAAGATAATTTTGGATTAATCAGATTACTGATCATTTTGCCACAGAAGAGCAGTGATGTTAATATTTGTATTTCTCAAGGGAAAACAAAGTTACCTTTTCATTAACAACACTGACAGTTACTTCTTTTATGTCAAAGTTCTTTAAGCTCTTCAGTTTCTCAGCATCTTCCTGTTTCTTGAAACACACAACTGCCTGGGTGTGCACAAACACACACACACATTAATTTGGATTACTACCAAAACTATTACGTTACTACATTCACACTAAAAATCATATATGAGCACTTGTCAGTAGCTTACAAGTATTTGATGACAAGTTTGAGTTTTCCAAGCAAACTACAAGCAACGGTGGCAACTTGCAAGAAACCAGTGCGATTCCAAGGATGTTTTTAGTGCAATGTGTATATATAGATTTTAAAAAATGCATAATGCAAAGCAGCAAAATAAAAACAAAATACATTGTGTATGCTTTCATAGGATTAGACTTGAGCAGAAACTTTCTGACATTGCGATGTCTATATAAAAGCTCAGTATAATCCAAAGTAGCCTTGAATGTGAGGGCTGCAAGACCACAGAAGGAAAGTAAGGATAACCAACTGACTTTAAACCGCATGATGAATGCATGACTATAACTAATGAATGGACAGTACATTTATAGAGAATTGTAGCTACGGTGCATAAATATCTATCTTAGATTGCAGAAGCAAACCAGGAGACACATTTTCTCTAGATTCACAAGCAGGTCAATGAACTCATCCATCTATAACAGTGAGCAAATTTCAGTGTACATACCTGTAATCTTGACCTAAACAAAACAACTGACTTGGTTTTTCCAAATTTCTCCACAGCAGAAATCACTTCACTGTGAGAGAGACTACTGACAATCCCTTGTAGCCTCACCATGGTTGGAGGGGAAGATTTAGCAGCCTGCGGAAACACAGCGAAGAAAAATATGAACAATATGAACCAAATGCAGATTTCATCATGACAACTGGACTCAAAGTTTGTGCTTGTATAAATTTGTGCTGAAGGATTTAATCTTGGTTTTGTGGCATCAACAATCACGTCACTGTCACTGACCACATTATAAATTGTCCAAAACTGTCCATTCATGAAAAAAGGCATCATGTGAAGTCACCTTGGTCTTCTCTGTGCTAGGCCTCCCTTTAAGTGATTCTGGAGATGCAGAACGTGAGGACGATGATGTTGATGGGGACGACTTCATCTTGGCTAGCTCAGCCAGCAGGGCAGGAGCCAAAGTTTTGACGACAGTCTCCAGGTCAGACTGTTTTGATAAGGACTGGAGAGCTAAAAGACCACAGGTACAAAAGAGATTCACACATTGGTGGGTCCCAAGTCTCAAAAATCATCTACTGCTTCTGAAAGTTTTATAATAGTAGAAAAAACTATACTGACATTTCTGGTGGTACTGGTCTTTATTTATAATTTGCATTAGTAAAGTTAATGTTGTGTGTGTGTGTGTGTGTGTGTGGGGGGGGGGGGGGGGGGGGGGGGGGGCTGGGCTTTGAGCTTAGAAAAACCTAATGAGTACATACCAAAAAATACCATGAAGCAATTTTCAAACCTGATGTTTCCAGCAGTTTCTTTGCCAAGATCTTCGAGCTGCTCAACTTTCGCATAGGAGATGACCTCTCTGTCGACGATCGCCTCTCCCAGCTTCTCCTTGGTGATGAACGTTTCTCATCTCTTCTTCTCGGCGAGGATCGTCTCTCGCGTCCCCTTGAGCGTGATCGATATCGTGAAGAGGAAGGACGGTCATACCATGAGGAGTCAGAATGAGACCGGGACCTGAAAAAAGTATGGATCAAAGAACTTAATGACTCATAAACATCTCAAAGCACACATGCAGCATGGATACAAAAGGAAAATAGTCCACCAATTAAGTGTTTTTAAGTTTACATTATTAAATAAATTACATTTCGCCCTCTCCACTGGAGAGCTAAATCTTTTTGATTGATCCTAGTTCTCAAAATGTATGTTGGACAGACCTGCGATTACGTCTGGAGATGTACGGAGATCGTGATCGGCTTCTGTGTCTCTCCCTTCGGGGGCTGCGTGATCGAGAACGGGAATGACTAATTCGTCTGTCCCTCCTACGCTCCAAGTCACGGAGGCGACGTGAACTGCCGGAGCGGGAACGGCTACTTCGTCTGTCCCTGCTACGCTCCGGGTCATGATGGCTGCGGGAGCGGGAACGGCTACTTCGTCTGTCCCTGCTATGCTCCGGGTCATGATGGCTGCGGGAGCGGGAACGGCTACTTCGTCTGTCCCTGCTACGCTCCGGGTCATGATGGCTGCGGGAGCGGGAACGGCTACTTCGTCTATTTCTTCTTCGCAACGAGTCACGATGAGTGCGGGGGCTGCGAGAGCGGGAACGGCTACTTTGCCTGTCCCTGCTACGCTCCGAGTCACGATGGCTCCGGGGGCTGCAGGAACGGGAACGACTCTCATGTCTGGTTTTCTTCTGGGAAGTCTCAGCAGAAGTTGAGGGAGAGGGCTTGGCACCTGATGCACTAACAATTGCATATAAAAAGAAAGGCACATGTTAAATCAAAGAAAATGAAAGCCTCCAATACTGGCATGTTTTTTTATTTGCCAAATGACTTCAAATGAAGATAATTACTCTAGCAGTGATGCTATTTCACCGTTCCATTCTGGGTATCTGTGGAAAAACACAGATACATTTTTGTCAGATGTTGCAAGGTAGAATGTCCTTAAAAATATATTATTGTTCATTAATCCAGAAACTCAGAAATGTATTCAGCCTTTCAACAATTTAGGTTAGGGAAAATGGCTCATGGTAAATGCTGCAAATCATTAAGGTGCTTTAAATTAAAAAAATACAAATGAACAGTTCTTAGGAAGCTATCCTAGCATTACAACCCCGGCATCATTTTGGCACACCCATGGTTGTGCTGCCCCAAAGATATCGGTTCATAATCACGAAGTACAGAGAAGAAAGATTGACCGCTTTCGCAGAAGTTTGAAGTTCTCGATGTGAAGGCTGGTATTCTGGTGGGAGACCCAATCCTAGTGGTCACAACAAAAAACAAACATTTAGACAAGGTTTGTTATTATCAGGAGCAACGTTTGTCATTGACATCACTTGCTGATAAAAGGTCACTAAACTTTGCAGTGGCCTTAAAAAAATTCTTAAAATATTAACAGTTAGTCCTTCACTGAACGCAGAAGCATTATAACATTAGCCAGGAGTTTGGATTGTATTTAAACCTTCATAGGCCAAAAACCAGGAACAAATAAGCATGACACATTATACCTCTCCTGGGATAAAATTTTAAAATTTTAAAAGTGAAATTATTTAGTATATATAGAAAACACAAGTCAAACATCTGATTACAAACAACCAAAACAAAAGGTCAATTAGGCTCTGGATTCTGGATCAGAATCAGAATCAGAAGTATTCTGATTCTGATTCTGATTCAATTAGGCTCTGGATTCTGGACTCTCAGGCTCTTCTTATGGCATCAAACTTTCCCGAGGCTCCAAGAAGGTCAGCGCAGTAGAGGCCAAGTTTGGATTAGGACAAAATGCACCACCTATGACGATCACAGTTGGAGTAGCGACAGGAAGATGATGTTGAAATAGGCCAGAAGAGGAAGGCGCTGTTTCTTTGACGAGGAGCTCAAATGTGAAATTTGGTGCAGCGAAGGAAGGCCGATCCATAAAGAGAGATTCAACAACAAATCAAATCTGGTGCTTGTGTAGCTCATGACTGGGCGCAGCGGGTGCTTATGTTTGTGGTAGTAAATGATGTTGCCTTTTGGGACACAAAAACACTAACTTAAAAAGAAAGTATGAGTAAAAAAAAGAAAGAAAAAGAAGCAAGTATTACACAAAAACAAGGTGCCTACTAATGTGAAATAAAGGACAAAACACACTATTCTTAACTCTAATGACAAAAGACAAAAAGGGGAACTTTCACATTCAGCAACAGTTCCAGAAAAAGCAAAGCTGAATGTGCACTGTGGAACAGCAGCCAAGAACAGAGACAAATGAAAAAACAGCCGTCTTCCAACATTTTCTGATGCACAGGCTCATCAGGTTTGCAGGTTTCTCCTCATCATGTCATCCGAGGCCTTGGTTCCATTGTTAGCAAAAGCCTTGAATGTCTTCGCATCAGTTTATGTCATTTTAAAAGAGATTAAATCTATCAATTGCAAGTACAGACCACTGAATATTCTGAAGGTCTCTTATTAGTAGTGTTTTTCAATTACAATATCTGATAGACATATAGTTAACTTTAGTCTGCGCTGTAATCCTTCAGAAATTCTGGTACAGAATACTGAATTGCAGAAATATGTGAAAAATTTGTCCAAATGTTTGTATTCCAAGTTGGTAGTCTTCCTACAGTCATCATTATGCAGGAATAGTGTATAAAACAAACCAAATAGACTTTAAAGTAGCATACATGAAGTTTTTTCAAAACTACAATTCTATAATGGGATCCAAAATCAATTCAAAAACAACAAACATTGCATGTCAAATAAATAAAAACCGACAGAAAGCAAAAACATCGAACAATCTTCCACTTACCTTCATCTGAGTACATTCCTTGTTACATAAAGAGCAGGTATGAGGAAAGACCATAGGTGAAGCGCCAGTGTAGTCTTGCATCTGGGCCAGCACTGGGATATTCCTTGTCACTTCTACCTTTGCTGGAAGCTGCTTCGTGGAAGCGGGCTGCGGTATATGAATGAAATTCATGAAGTTCTGCATTAGCGGAGAGAGACCCGGAGGAACGGGCATCATGAGCCCTGGCATGAGGGACGGCTGTGGAACTGGCTTTGCAGCCGAAAAAACTTGAGACTGCAAAGCTTGTCCCATATGCACAGCTGGCTGATTCTGCATCTGCTGCAACCCAATCGGCAGGTTAGGTACCTGGGCCGTCTGCTGCTTCAGTTGCGTCTGCTTCAGTTGTTGCTGTTGCGTCTGCTTCAGTTGTTGCTGTTGCGTCTGCTGCTTCTTCAGTTGTTGCATCTGCTTCAGTTGTTGCTGTTGCGTCTGCTGCTGCTTCAGTTGTTGCATCTGCTTCAGTTGTTGCTGTTGCGTCTGCTGCTGCTTCAGTTGTTGCGTCTGCTGCTGCTGCTTTGGTGGTGGTTGTTGCATTGTCTGTTTCACTTGTTGCTGTTGTACCTGCTTCTGCTTCTGCTGCATTTGCTGTTTGTTCATCTGCTCAGGAACATTTGATACTTGCCCGTGAGTCTTACTCTTTTCTTTGATGTGACTGTCGCTGCTGCTGCTGCCAATGAGTACAAGGCCAGGTCGGCTTGGATGCACACTATGAACTATATTAGGAGTTAGTTGGCTTTTTGATGCTGAATAGCGATCTGGCTCTGGATTTTTCAACGGAAGGGCTTTAGTGACTTCTGCTTTAAGAGATCTTATGTCTGTGTCCGTCTTCGGCAGAGAGAAACCTTTGAAGATTTCTTGAGATGACTGGTTCGGTTGGGTGTGCAGTTGTTGAGCTGGATCGCTGCTTCGCATTGAGCCATGACTGGTAAAAGAGCTGCCTTGATCACGGGAAGAAACCAAGGTGCTGTTTTTCACCTCTGTCATACTTTTTTGCAGTGATTCTCGACTGTGACCGCTACTATCATAGGAGCCCATCAGCAGCGTACCTCCAGTTCCACCACTACTGGCTCCACTGCTGCTCCTTCCAATTTCATCCCCAAAGCTTCCAGTATATTTTCCAGTATGTCCATAATCAATCACTTTACTTGGTTGGACAATAGGTGACAATTCATCCCGGCACATCCCTTCCCCTCTTGAAGTACTTAACCTTTCCTTTCCACTCATACTTGTGGTGGAATGAGGATCATAGTAGGATTTTGATGGATCTGCTGTGGCAGATCTCTTTGCCTTTTCCATGCGGATTTGTCGTAAGATAAAAGGCAGGTTGTCAGGAGTCATCTGATCTTCTGGGTATGAGATCAGATGTTCCAGGTCCCCTTTTTCAAGTCCAAACTGCATAAGGATGTTCACAGCTGTTTCTGAAGTGTACTTGGGACGAGTAGACTCTGCAGAACCCACAGGTTTGTCTGGCACTGGGTAGTCATAATCACCTAAGCCTGGAATGGATTGCACATTGCGCTCTCTTTCATTCGAGGCATTAAACTTACTGTTGCCAGTGCTTTGATAGCTCAATGAAGCAGATGATGAACAGTATTTAGACGAATCATCCTCAGTTTCCCGTTTGTAGCTTGGCAACCAGTCCATGGAGCTAGTGCTACTTGCAACATCAGGGGGTCTTCGAGAGTTTGAGGACAACACGTAGGAAGTCACATCTTTGCCTGAAGAATCATACTCATGTCTTTGAGTAAAATGACTGCTCTTGTCTACAGGCTGATGACTCACATCCTCTCTGGCTCTACTTATATGCATGTCTATGGACCTCTTTATGTCCTCTTCCATTGAAGTCTTACTCGCTTCTGGCCTGTAGCTCATTATTCCCCCAGATTTTGCAGGAGTCGCAGATGAAACTCCGGAAGAGCTAAAGCTGGACCCAGGCCCAAGATGAGGAGATGTCTTATGAGAGTCTCTCTCTGCCTGCATACTGGACTGTCCATAGTGCCCCTGGGCTGAACTTTGTTTCCCAGAGGCATAGGGGTTATATGAGGGATGGGACATGGTGTTAGCAACCTTCAGAAGGTTTAGTAGACTGATGGCTGCAGCTGTGGGGGGTGTTGTGGGTATAAATGGGGCAGGTGTGTTGGTTCGACCATCAACAGCAATAGCGTTATTTATCTGTGTCAACGCAACGTGGGCTTTCAGCTGAGCCAGCCGCAAGCATGCAGCTTGCTGTCCGATCAGTAAAAAGCTTCCTGGGAGCCCACCCAGTAGGGGGCTCTGTTGGGGCCCTGGTGCAGGAGAAGGGGTGTAACGCTTCAATGACAATGGAAAGCTGGAAAGTTAAAAATAAAGAAAACAAAGAATTAAGGTTAATCAGTTGTACTGGGCCTCAGAATCTTGGAAAGATGAAATCCATCGTCTGGGAGGCCTTTTCTTAATTTGCAGACTTCCCGAAGATCATTCATTCATTCGGATTCATTCTGTTAGTATCATCTTCAGGGCTTCACTAGTAAGAAGGAAAGGTAGAAACAAAAGCATCAAAAACAGAGAAAAAGAAAAAACAAGAGATTAAAACAATAGAGACACAGGAGACAACAACAACAAAATAGAAAGGAGGTGTTAATCTCAGAAGAATAAGGTTAATACACTCAACAAAAATATAAACGCAACACCTTTGTTACTGCTCCCATTCCCCATGGGATGGACGTAGAGACCTAAAATTCATTCCAGATACACAATATAACCATCCCTCCCAAACAGTGGTCACAAATCAGTCCAAATGTGTGGTAGTGGGCACATCTGCCATATTGAGATAATCCATCCCACCTCACAGGTGTGCCACATCAGGATGCTGATCTGACATCATGAGTAGTGCACAGGTGTACCTCAGGCTGCCCACAACAAAAGGCCACCCTGGAATGTGCAGTTTTGTCTCACAGCAAAATGCCACAGATGCCACAAGCAATGAGGGAGCGTGCAATTGGCATGCTGACAGCAGGAATGTCAACCAGATCTGTCGCCCGTGCATTGAATGTTCATTTCTCAACCATAAGCTGTCTCCACAGGCGTTTCAGAGAATATGGCAGCACATCCAACCGGCCTCACAACCGCAGACCTCGTGTAACCACACCAGCCCAGGACCTCCACATCCAGCAGGTTCGGGATGTGCTTGACCGGCGTATACGACAGCGTGTACCAGTTCCCACGAATATCCAACAACCTCGCACAGCCATTGAAGTGGAGTGGACCAACATTCCACAGGCCACATTTGACAATCTGATAGACTCCATGCGACGATGTGTTGCACTGCATGAGGCAAATGGTGGTCACACCAGATACTGACCGGTTCTGGGTCCCCAGACCCCCAATAGCGCAAAAAAACTGCACATTTCAGGGTGGCCTTTTGTTGTGGGCAGTCTGAGGTACACCTGTGCAATAATTATGATGTCAGATCAGCATCCTGATGTGGCACACCTGTGAGGTGGGATGGATTATCTCAATATGGCAGATGTGCCCACTACCACACATTTGGACTGATTTGTGACCACTGTTTGGGAGGGATGGTTATATTGTGTATCTGGAATGAATTTTAGGTCTCTACGTCCATCCCATGGGGAATGGGAGCAGTAACAAAGGTGTTGCGTTTATATTTGTGTTGAGTTTAGATCTTCCAAAGCAGGTTATCTTATCCTTCTCTATCCTTTGCATGTCCCTGATCTGTGGATAGAGACACAGAACATACACGCTAGTCGTCCAATGTCCAGATGATTCTAACAAGACCCATGATTAGTACCCAATAAGGTTGAACTAACATATGCACACAAATTTGTGTGCATATGTTGCTACACGGGTGTGTTTTTTTATTATGACGATCTTCAAGTCCAGTCCACAAGTTGCAGTGCTGTGCTGGATAGGCAGCATTCAGAAGAGAGATGACGTATGGCTTGGAAAGTTGGTGAAGGAAGCTGGATCTGCTGTTGACTTTCTGGTAATGACAGCACACAGATGGACCTCAACCGGTGCAAACTGCCATTGTCATGAACACATCCTCCTACCCCCTAAACATGATCGCATAAACCAAAGGAGCATGCTCAGTGGCAGGTTGGTGGCATAGAGCAGCTTATGATGATCTTCTGTCTCCTCAGAGGACATGATTAGACTCCTCCGCTCATCTTGAATTGCAGCAGATAAGGGACTAAAGTTGAGTACCATAATTGATGCTCTGTTGTCTGCTTGCACTTAATTTAACTGGTTATATAAGCTCTCTCCACTTTCAGTGACTTTAGTGTCACTGTAAAATCATTTTACACCGTGGAATAATTTAATTAATCCATACACTATCTGCACAGACATTGTCCTGATCATTATGTAAGGACTTTTTACAAACTTTTCACATATGCAACAGGCTATGTTCTGAGAAGTGCAGTAAAAGCGTCCCAACAATTCTTACATTAAACAACAGCAACAGTGAGAGAAAGCATTGTCACGAATGAAAACCAATGACTATTTTTTTGAAAACCTTTGCAAACCTCAAAAGAAAATTAGTTGGTAAAACTGCAGCTACAAACTACTGAACGTTTGCTGTTTGCTCCCTTTGTGCTTTGATGGCTCTCTAATTTTAGGGACAAACTGTTATCCAGTGCAAAACTGGACTGGTGCATGTCTTCTATATAGATCCTTACTACCAAAGTCATCAATGATGACATCAATGATGACTCAATGATTTCCCTCAATGTTACTATTTTTGTTTGTTTGTTTGTTTTGGGGGTGGGGGGGGTGGGGGGCGCGGTTGTATTGCTTGTGTTAGCTAGGTTATGCTTAAAAGTAATTTAAGAGAAAGTGAATTGCATAGATACACACACCTACCAGATGTAAAGAAGAATAACGCAATAGGAGAAAAGACTGAAATAAATAAATGTTTAAAAAAAACATAGATCCTTAAGTGGTAATATAGAACAACACAACTAACCAACAGCTCAGCTGAACACAACATGATTAGTTGTTAATGACATTAGGGCTGCACAATATTAGGAAAACCTGCGATGTGCGATAACTATGATCAATACTGCGATAACGATATGACTTGCGATAAAATAAATATAAAAAAAACAAATACATAGTTTCCGTTTTACTGCGGCTTGAATTCTGAAAGACATCCTTCCTGGTCTCTAGAATTAGTTTTAAATACATAACTTAAATTATACTGCAAATTATCTCAATGCAGTTGTTCATCATTTTACAACTCACAAAGTAGTTATGATGTAAGTCAAAACTGGAGAGGAAACTTTACTGTAGTGTTTGCGTAGTTTTCAGCTTGGCTCAGTTCAAACATGACGGTCTTGCGGCATGTTTCGTACACTTGTGGAATGGCGACATGGGAAAAGTAATTTTGTGAGGTGTCTCCGGTCCACTTTATGTATCAGACTGGTGAAGCACTCTCTGCTAACTGTATTTATAGGCATCATGTCTTTGTCAAAAAATGTGTAATGACCTCTGTTATTTCTTTGTAGCGCTTTGACGCTTTCTCATAAGGAGTCCCACTTGAAAAACTAATACAGAGACGGCTTTTGGACTGCGGTGCTCTTTGTCTTAACATTAGCAACCTTTGTTTGGTTTGCCCTGTCTTTCTGGAACTCTTCAAACAGTTCTCTGTGGTTGTATTGAAGATGATGGTTCAGAGTAGTCATGTTTCCTCTGGTGGTTGCCACGAGTGTTCGGCAAGTTTTGCAGAGTACCTGTGTTTGGAGAACGTTGTCTTTATCAAATCCAAAGTACCTCCAAATAAGCGAGGTACTATCTTTTTTTTTAGGCACGAGTTCATATTCAGTAGCGTTCTCGTCATGCGTCTCGCTCTCAGCCTTTACAACTCTGACTCGTTGCTGCAGCGTTGTTCGCTCACCACCTGCGTAGGAGGCGGGCCTCTAATCCATTTAATTGGTTAATGCCGTGAAGGGCTCTATTCGACTGGTCAAATGTATAAAGGGGTTTCTTTGATTGGTAAATTCTCTAAAGCACGTGTGTAAACATTTTAAGGTACCCAATTATCGCAGTATACGTCATCTTTTGCGATGGGCCCATCGCACAGGCTGGTATCGCGATGACAATCAATTTTCAATTTATTGTGCAGGCCTTAATGACATCTGTAGTTTTAGTCAAGGATTTAGTTAGCCTACCCTACATTGCAGCTGTCTTTACACTGCCTTTAAGTAAGCACCTGCAGCAGTGGATAAGTGATTTTTGCTCACTGCACATGCGTGGGAGCAGGTTAATGACAGGCGATCTTTTCCATAGTCTGAGCGTCCAACTGTCTTAATGTCTAATGCCAGGCAACTGATAACCAATACCATTACGTCTGGGATGAGTCTTAAGAGCGGGGTTAACGTCAGGGCTCGCAAAATTGCTAGCCCGACGTCCCGGGGCTAGTGATTTTTCCAGTCGGGATACCAAAATCTTTCTCTGCCCTGCCCGTCGGGCTATCATAGAAAGGAAAAATATATGTCAATGCTTTTGCATTCTTTCGGAAATGTAGCTGGATAATTATGTCATTGGCATCAGTGAGCAAGAATTTGCGCTTGTTTTTTGCTTTCACTTTGCAATCGTGCGAACTGTGTATAGAGAGCGACAGTACTGATTGGTGAGTGACGATCATTTGCGCACCAATTCCTCTGACATCGTCTTATCAGTCGTTAGCTTACTATGCAAACATGACAAGTGAAATCTCCCGCAGCAAGCTTAAACATGGACAGACATTTGTTTAGAACTCTTAAAGATGTTGAAGCAAGCTCCTTTAAGCAATTACTTTGGTGTTCCTCCATCTCCAAAGAAATGTCAGAAGGAGTCCAAACCACAAAAGAAGCGCGTATTCTCGGAAAAGTGGTTGCAGGAGGTGAGCTGGCTTCAAACAAATGATGAACGCACAGAGATGTGGTGCAGAATGTGCCGTGAAAATCCCACTCTAGCGGACAAAAACAGTGCCTTTTATAAGGACGCAAACGCGCATTGCAACTTCTTATCTGGTGAGTGTCTTTTATTTTGACAGTGAATGCGCACATGCGGACCACTTATGTGCACCCGTGTAAATAACATAATGTTCTGCTGGGTGTGTTGTTGGTTTTCCCTCGATTTCTGAGTCGACAAGCGCCTTTGTTACTGGGACCAGTCATTTTAAGAAAGGCCCCCATTAGAACCCATGAGAAATGCAAGAAATGCATTATTGCTCAGTCTGCAATATCTTTCCCAGAACAAACATCAATTGCAAATAACATACTAAAAATAAACCTGAAAAATCTGTTTAGAACAGCGTACTATGTTGCAAAGAGTGAACTACCACTG